AAAAATGTCCAGCTTATATTTAACTGAATTGTATAAATATTGAAAATTTCTCATTTTATTTTTATTAAACATTTGTTATTTTTTATTAGCAAAAACAATATCAACATTTAAGAATCTATATTTCATTTATTCATTCATTCATTCATTCATTTGACTTGTTTATTGATGCATATATAGGCTATAATTTAAATTATATAACAGTACCTTGGACAGCTACAGTGCCACTAAAGCTTTCAAACAAAAGTCCAAAAAATTAAAGTTTTAAAGTTTAAATTAATTTTCTCCGGTGACGGCCGACATCACAACACGCCGTATAACCGTCCTTCAGGTGGTAGCCTATAGCTGGCATTAAATTACAAAACAAGCTGTCTGGGCCTTGAATTAAAAAAAGTTTAGTTAAACCAAATCAAAATGGTCAAAATAACATCCTACAGCCCGTGATAAAAACGCACAGTGTTTACCAATTAAGTGAATGTAAATATTTTATATGATTGTTGTTATTGTTATCATTATTATTATTAATTGTAATTAATTAATCAATTATTTATTGTTATTTTATTGCCATTTGGACATTGTTCTTTTACTGTATGACAAACAACACAATCACGAAAACCAAAACTTATCTGTAGAAAACGCATAGCCTATGTGTTTGCATGTGTTATAATCTATTTTTCCCCATAAAATAAATATTGACTAAATAAGTCCACTAAAGCTGCTTTACTTAATCATAAGTGGTAGGCCTACCTACCACAACAGAAAAGTTTAGGCTGCTAGTTTAAATACGAAAGCAGCCTAATATGGACGACCAGATGATACGAGTATTTAAGAGAAAATCTACATTTTTATAAAATTAATAAATAAAATTAATAAAAATTATTTATATATTTTTTAAATTATTTTTTCCCCTATCGTTAAGCATGCTGGCTACTCATGTGAGACTAAAACGAAGTAGATAAGTAAAGCAGGGTTGTAGCCAATTATCTTTATATTGGCCAAGCCCTTTTAATTGGATTAAATCTATCAAAATTATGTTCGCATCCTTTATGCTTTTTCTAATAATAAAAAGATCTCAGGATAACCTTGGCCTAGGCTATCTTAAAAAAAAGCATCTTAAACAAAATTTCTATCAGCCCAAACAAATTTAAATATTTTAAAATATGCGGGTAGCTGATATCATTATCTTTCATTCAATATTTTAATAAAAGAAGCAACACTAACGAAACTTTCAGGTACAATCCAGCACAAATGAAACGCACACAAACGAGACTATTTTAGTAAATATGTAGCAACTGGGGTAGAGAGACCTCTTAATGATCTGATATTATTTTTTACAAATCATATTTTTGCAGCACAAACGAGCACAATTTGTGAGAAAACGAAAGTAACATATTTGTGCACAAATATAAATATCTGTTGTTCATTTTCATGGCACAAACCAGCACAAATCTAACCAAATATTTTGGTTAAATCCAAACAAGGAAAACAGATATTAACGGCACAACCAGCACAACTGAATGACACCTGTTTGGTGCAATATAGAGTTACGTCGCGGCTCCCAAAGTGTTTTGATTAGGCAATATCTAAACAATACAAACAGATAAAGTGTTTATTTTAATGGCATACACCAGCACAAATCCAGCACTAAAGAATGTCACCTGTTTTGTGCATTTTAGAGGAAATAATGGGGCGCTGAGTGACGTCGCGGCTCCCGAAATGTTTTAATTAGGCAATATCTAATCAATAAACATAGATAAAGTGTTAATTGTTATTGCACAAACCACCACGAATCCAGCACTAACATATGACACCTGTTTTGTGCAATTTAGAGGAAATAATGGGGCGCTGAATGACATCGCGGCTCCCGAAATGTTTTGATTAGACAATATCTAATCAATAAACATAGATAAAGTGTTTATTTTAACGGCACAAACCACCACAAATCCAGCACTAACATATGACACCTGTTTTGTGCAATTTAGACAACCTGGGGTGGAGAGTGACGTCACGGCTCCCGAAATGTTTTGATAAGGCAATATCTGAACAATAAAAATAGATAAAGTGTTTATTTTAACGGCACAAACCAGCACAAACCGAGCACAAACGAATGAGACCAGTTTGGTGTGATTTAGACAACATGGGGTGGAGAATGACGTCACGGCTCCCGAAATATTTTGATTATATCTAAACAACGAAAATAGATAAAGTGTTTATTTTAACGGCACAAACCAGCACAAACCCAGCACAAACGAATGATACCAGTTTTGTGCAATTTGGACAACCTGGGGTGGAGAGTGACGTCACGGCTCCCGAAATATTTTGCTTATATCTAAAAGAGGAAAACAGATACCGTGTTCGTTTTAACGGCACAAACCAGCACAAACCGAGCACAAACGACCTGTGCTGTTTTGAAGTCAATTGCGCAACATGGGGTGGAGAGTGACGTCACACGGTTAAAAAAATAATGCTTAATATCTCAGACCCCAAACCAGCACAAACGTTCGTTTTTGCGGCACAAATCAGCACAAACGTAGCACAAACGAATGGCATAGTTTTGGGGATTATTTGTTTTTATGGGGTGCCAACTTCACGGAGGTCCCAAACCCCCCTCTGTCATGTCATCTTCTGTGGGACATTCAGGGCATGACGCCTCAGCCTGCATCACCATAAAATACTGCAAAAAAAGAAGAGTCTGAATGCATTTAGAAAGAAGTAGACTATACTGTAGTCACCATTTGAAGCGGATCACAACTTTGTCCTAAAGTTATTAAACAACAGCCTTTCTTATCTTAGGACAGTTTTGATAAACATCAATTTTTATACTCATTACATGCTGACAACTCTATAGAGTTCAAAGTATAATTACATACTTTTAAAGTGAGCTCTATTTAACTATTTAACGATAGTCAAACAGCAGATATAAAAACGTTCAACAGAGCTCGTTTGTACAGCGTCTTGGTTAATGTAAAACGAAACTTTTTTTTTTTTGGAGTATTTTAGGTTTATCAGGTAGGAAAACAACCACCACTAACCTGTACAAAAAACCGTGAGATGTATTTGCTTTTCGCCAACAAGAACAACGATGAAAATCCACTGCAACTTCTTCCTTACTTTGTCGAAGTGAAGCTTCTTAAGGGGCGTGTTTTGTGTACATGTGCATTATTGCGCAAGTACTGCAGATCGAGAAATGTCACTTGATACCACGGATTTTCAATCTTTACAGTGCCATATACCCATCAAAAATTTTTAACTTTCATTAAAATGATTCATAAATAGACTGTTGATGTTTTTTTACCTTAATAAACTAACAAACAAGCCTACATTACATAATACTATTGTATTCAACAGTAAATACTATAGTTTTCCCAGTTGAAAGTGTGTAAGTGCACCCGCTGCGTAAAACATATGCTGGATAAGTTTGCGGTTCATTCCGCTGTGGCGACCACTGATTAATAAATGACTAAGCCAAAAGGAAAATGAATAAATGAAATACTATAGTGTTTAAAGCGATACTAAAGTAAAGCATGTTGTACTGTATTTATGATATTTACAACATGACAATAGTAAAACTAAAAAAGCAGGTTTTACTATAGTAAGCTGTGCATTGTAGTATAATATACCATTGTAAAATACATAGTACATTTGGGTGTTTTGTTTATGTTGCTATTAACAATATTTTTAATAAATTAATAATATTAATAATGCGTCACAGCAACTATAGAATTACCAAAACAGAATAATTTAAGTACTTTACTACCGTATGATACAAAATACTAGTGCCCAGGTAGCAAAGAATTCTGGCCCAGATTTGGCATAAAGATGGCACAGCAGGCATTCATGTGGCACCATCTTGAAGGTGGCACTCAAGACTTGGACCAGATATCAAATGTAGTATTTGGCCCAGATGTTTAAATGAATATGTGGGCCACGTAAGTTTGGTCTATCTTGACCCACTTTTAAAATACATTTGAATTATTTTTGAGTAAAGAAACAATTCTATCAATCGGGTCGCTTCAAGAAAAAGCACCAAGGGTTTATAAAAACACTGCAGTCGCAACACATCAACATATTTGGCCCAGTTCAGGCCCAGGTATGGGTTATTAACTTGGCTGAGACTTGGCCCAGATGTGGTCCATGTTTGGCTCTTGTATGGAAGCCAGAATTGGTCCAGTCATGTACCGTAATTCACTGCGGCATGTGGGCCAAGCAAATGCAGATGGTGTGGGCCAGATCTGGGCCAGAGAAATTTTGCTAAGGGGGTGTTTACTATAAATTATAATAGAATTTATTCATGCTAGAGTTTATTCATTTTTTACATTAATGAATTTTTGTTATAACCTATCTAAAACCATACCAACAAACAAAACTTTTTTTGAAATATTTTCAGAGACTAGCACACAGGTGTCAAACTCAGTTGCAAAAGGGCCGCAGCTCTGCACAGTTTAGTTCCAACCCTAATTAAACACACCTGATCAAACTAATTGAGTCCTTCAGGCTTGTTTGAAACCTACAGGTAAGTGTGTTGGAGGAGCAGGGTTGGAACTAAACTGTGCAGGGCTTCGGCCCTCCAGGAATTGAGTTTGTCACCCCTGGACTAGCAGCTATAAATACAGAGATTTTAACCCCCAAAAAAGAAGTCATCAAGGGTGTCACAGTGGCTCAGTGGTTAGCACTATCACCTCACAGCAAGGTAACTGGGTCAAGTCCCAGCTAGGTCAGTTGGCATTTCTTTGTGGAGTTTGCACGTTCTCCCCGTTTTCACATGGGTTTCCTCCAGGTGTTCCAGTTTCCCCCAAAGTCCAAAGACATGCAGTATAGGTGAACTGAATAAACTAAATTAGCTGTAGTGTGCGAGTGTGTAAATAAGTGTGTATGGATGTTTCCTAGTACTGGGTTGCAGCCAGAAGGGCATGTAAAACATATACTGGATTTGTTGGCAGTTCAATTTGCTGTGGCGGCCCATAATGAATAAAGCAGAAGAAAAATGAATGAAAGAATTCATCTAAGTTGCAAACATTGATTTATTGCAGTCGCTTCCCTGCCTGAGGTGTAGATTGTCTACTTCTCAGATCTAGCGCGTTTTGTTACACTGTTTCAACATAAAACTTCTATTATGGCTGTAAATTATCCTACTATTTTCAGAGACTCATTGTGAAATATTTTCAGAATGCAACTTGATGAAACAGTGTACAGAACACGCACATTTAAACAAGGAAGAACACGAACAACTCTCTACAGCAAACATACTGCGTAGAAGCACTTAAATAATCACTGTAAATTAGCATCTTAAAACAAACAAACAAACAATCATACAAAAACCTACGAACAATGCATCAGTAAGTGATATTACACATGTCCATGACACGTGATCAGTCAGTCACTGTCATATTCCTCAATTAAGAGGTCTTCCTCATCTAACAGGGCTTCAGTGCTTGTAGGCTGGGGTTGGCTTGCAGAAAGTTCCCCAGAAGGATCCTGGCTGTTTGGCAAATTGGACTCAGTTGTGGCATTTGCTTGCGTGGTACCAGGGTCAAGTGACTGAGCAGCACAAGAATCCTCATTTTCGCTGTCAGCATCCAAAATGCCTGGGTCTTTGTCACCAAGTGCTTCAAGTCTCAGTCTGCAAATGAATACATTTACATAAACCCTTTTTAATGGTATTTTAGAATGATATAACACTTGAAGGTTTTGTTTATCTCACCTTCCAGTAACCCTCTTTTGTGAAAGATGGCCAAAGTTCTGGATGAAGGCTATTTGAGCTTATATGAGAGAGATGGAAAGTATGTTAAATCACTTAGAAAACAAAAAGACAGAGCGTGAAGAGAAATGCAGCATTATTTTTTTTGATCTTTCGTCTTGCATACTTGTGTAGGTGGCAGGAAAATGATGAACAAACTTAACTTGAAAAATTATGGTATGCAGTTTGATTCAATTTTTTTTTCACCATTTAAAAACATACATAGTTTGACGAAATATTCATTTTTCTGCATTGTTTACTTGACCTCCACTTGTGCCATACCGGTTTGAGTTTCTTTCTTCTGTTGAATAATGTTAGAATTTAGCAGACTTGGATGTCCTTAGAACGAAACAAAAATACTATGGAGGTCAATAGCCAGGTTTTCAAGGGTCGTTAAAAGGTCATCATAATCCTAAATCCTTAAAAGTTTTTAATGTTTAGAGTTTTTTTTAAATAGTATCAATATTTATATGCATTTATGTATGCATTATATCATCTTACAAACAAATTATGAAAAACGAAATACCACTTATGCAAGAGGTTTCTAATGCAGCGTCAATAGGGTATATGCCGAGCTAGTGTTCTTCCCATGCTGATAAACTTCCGATGACTTTTAATTGTCTATTTTTTTCCATTTTATACAGTTCCTTTTACAGCATCGATGTTGTAATGTCATTAAAATACAATCAGTTAAATAGACTTTGGCATTCATTTAGTTGTTCAAGCGTAAAACGAGACAAAAAGCCGTTTACACACATACGCCCGTCAGAATCGGCAGGCTACTGCAGAAGCTCCATTGAATATACTGGGGTAAAATAAATACTCATATTATAAAGACATGGCAGGGGAAAATGTAATTTAATGAATTGCTGAGACCCAGTTTATATTGGATATCACTCAGCTAGTGGAGATCGCTGATCTTAAACGCGCCGGTTTAGCATTGGCATACAGTTCACCAGAAGCGGTTAACCCAGGTTACTGGCAAATTAAAAGTCCTGTTAGCATGCTTCGGCATATACCCTATTGGGCTGAGAGTAAATTAAATATTATTATCTCCTCTGGCTGCCGTCATCAGTCTTACACTATTTTTTCCTGTTTTCTCAAAGCCTTGATAACACCGGAGGAGTTTTTCTTTTTTGTTATTTCAGCAAATAGGATTGTAAAAAAAGTATTTGTTGTACTCCCCCATTCACTGCACTCTAAGTTTACCCAACCATGGCATCTTCTGCTGAGAAACCCAGAAATGTGAAAAGGGTCTATATCGCATTAAAAAAAACTCTTAAATGGAAATGCCAAAGATGTGCATACATTTTGAAAATGCACATTAAAACTGCTGCTTTTCTACTATCGTGCCAAACCATTCTTAGAACAATTTGGTATGGTTACGATTGTTTCTCCACTGAGCCTGGAACGGCGCAGCACCATCACAAACCATTTTCAGCCTGGAATTCTCTGCATGGTTAGACAACCGTGCTGAACTGTGCCGACAGATTCTGTGTGTTGACGTAGCGGCTCTGTTGCCGAGCTACCAAAGCTGGCTCAGCAGAAGCGCGCTAGTGATCAGACATCCAGTATACACTACATTTAATATAAAAAAAAATCCAGGTCTAAACGATACAGTTTGAAATAGGTTTTAAACCCACAGACACAGAAGGAAATCACTGGCCCACCACGTCCTTACAACATACTTTATTTATTAAAGTTATTATTACATAAGATAAAAAGAGCAAGATTTTGTTAAAGATAATAGTCCTTTACATGCTTTATTTGCTGATATGCGATGTGTTGTTTCATATTCGTTTTTTAGTTAATTTAATGCATTTATTATTTAATGTTTGAATACTAAACAAATACCAGCCATCGCTTAAATTTTATTTTAACCTTCAAAATGTAATATCATTATCAACTTTTGATATAAAACCACTGTGTAATTTAATTGATTGTTAAAAGTGAAATAATTTAAGTGTTATATTGTTATTAGTGAAAGTGCCCGCTCACTTTTGACAAGGCCTGTCCAAAAATATATTTCTGCCACTACACAGATCAACTGTTATTGTTGCATTATCAGTGTTTTTTTTTCCTTTACGTGCAGAGATTTGAAATATATTATTTATTTACATTTTAGTAATTTCTCTCAAAATAAAATTTGCCCAGAGCCACGCAACATATGACCTAAATCAATATGTGCTGTGACTTACAGCCTATATTTCGCACCCCTATACAGAGAGTGGCATAACAGTGCTTAGTCATGCGGTTTCTTTCGCTTTTACACATGAACATGAAAAAAAATAGTTTTGACTTTTACTTAAAGTAATTGAACAAAGGGAGCCGTTTACATTGCGTTACCAAGGTAACTACTGATGCGCTTTGTGTAACGTTTCATAGAGCTTAGTTGCAGCACGACTGAATGAAACTGTATCCGTGCTGTCTGGCCCGGTTTGGCACTGAATGGAATGGTTCAGCATAAAGAACGGGTCAGCATGATAATATGAACTACTGCACTCAAAACTTTTTTATTGTTCAAACTAAAATGAGCTGAAGCAACAATTCTAGAGATTTTTTTTGGGACTGCTTAATTGTTTTATATTCAATCCACTTAAATTTGATAAATTAACTTAAATGATTTGTTTTGGGACAACATGAATGAATTGTGTGGAAACCTGCATTTTTTAACAGCACAAGTAGGATAAACTTTTTAATCAATAAGAAAAAAATGCATTTAAACTTTTTTTTTTAAAGAATGCAGATAGTTACGTTTTTCATTTTGATATTAGGTGTTAGTTCAGCAGGAAGTGCTGATTTTGTTCACTTTGACCTATTAGATGGAAATGGTGCTCTATTCAATGTGTTTTATGCAATGTTCCAGGTTTGGACATTAATTTAATTTCCACCTTTGGATGGAAACAGCTATTATACTGTTATACACAAAAAAACATATTCTGAAGAAATTCAAACAGGATTGGAACAAGTGGAGTGAGAGTAAATGATCACACTATACTATTTTGGGGGGGGGGGGGGGTATTGTGTATATGTAGAATTTGCAGATGGGTAAGATTTACCTTGATTTCTCATTGGGTTGGTGAGCTTTGCGAGGTAAGGCACCATTTCTGTCAGGAGGCTCACGGGCGTAAGACAGAAACTTAAGAAGAGAGACTGTGCTGTCTGGTAATTCTCTCGGTACTAAAAAAAAAGAAAAAAAAAAAAAAAAAAAAAAGGTATAAATGAATCAGTATTTAACACATATACACTTACTGGCCACTTTATTAGGTACATCTGTTCAACTGCTTGTTAACGCAAATTTCTAATCAGCCAATCACATGGCAGCAACTTAACTCATTTAGGCATGTAGACCTGGTCAAGACGATCTGCTGCAGCTCAAACCGAGCATCAGAATGGGGAAGAAAGGTGATTTAAGTGACTTTGGCTGACAGGCTGGTCTAAGTATTTCAGAAACTGGGATGGGAGATTTGCATCATGGATGTGCAGCCGACAAATCTGCAACAACTGTGTGATGCTATCATGTCAATATGGACCAAAATCTCTGAGGAATATTTTCAGTACCTTGTTGAATCTATGCCACGAAGGATTAAGGCAGTTCTGAAGGCAAAAGGGGGTCCAACACAGTACTAGTAAGGTGTACCTCATAAAGTGGCCGGAGTGTATAATACTGTACATACTAAATAAGTTAAATGCAGAATAATAAGTAGAATAAAAGGAAATATACCGTCTTGTTTATGTGAAGCCAATGTGGTTTATGCAGAGGCTTGAAGCCGGCAGTGGATTGGCTGTTGGCTTGTGCTCGAGAAGAGTTTGAGTGCATGAGACCTCTAGTGGCGACTGATGAGCCGTATTCCAACATGGTCGACCTTGACTGTGAAAAGAAAGTCACCATGACAGCAAAAAAACAAACCTGTTGCTTAGATACTGCATGATGATAGTGCTCAGAGATTCAAATGTTACATCTGCAGTACAATCAGGGTAACCCTGCATATCCCTAAGTGCATTACTATAAACGTCCAACAGCTTTTGCACTCACGCTCCACTCTGCTGTCAGGAAGTCTGCATCAGAGAGGTACTCGCTGGCCTGTGCTATATCTTCCACATCCGAAAAGAAATCAGGGTAGTTCTGATGCAGGTAGAGGTTGAAGAATTCACCAGACATATGGGAACGCTCAATGACAAGCTGGGTAAAAATATTGCAAGATTGTTAGAGCATTGAACCATTTAAAACTTAAAGTACAGTGTAACATATGACATATATTAATATTTACTTCTGGATCAACAAGTAGTCTGTCCCTCTGATGATCTGTTAAATGTGGAGGCAGCTTGGGTGCTTGAGTGCCTTCATAACTTTCACCTAAAAAAACAAACAAAATACGTTTACATAAATATGAAGGAATTTAAACCCCAATTCAAAGAGAAAATGGGAAAAAAAAAAACTGACGTTTGCAGTAGAGGATTTTCCCTAAAGCTCTGAAAAGGAAGAGCGAAGCATCTTTCCCTCCAATAGCTGGGCTTTCATCTTGCATGTCTTTTGATTTGGAAGACTTGCTCCTCCCTTTAGCCTTTACAGCAGGTTTAGCTGATGAGGACTTGCCCTTTTTGGAAGCCCAGAGTCTCCTCTCCAGACTATTGTCTGACAATAACCAAAACATGACTCATATGAACGACATAATCAATACTAGGCACAAACAATTATATAAACACTATATTTCTCATTTTAATAACATAAACACATATAATACATTCTTACCAGTAAATGAGGAAAACTGCAGGCTGTTAATGGCACTGCGAATATCTCCAGAGCTTCCTGAACAGAGAAGATCTAGAGCAGCTTTATCAGGAACAGAGATCCTCCCTGAACTCTGCAAAAACAGATTAAATGTACAGATATATATATGCTCCTGAGTATTAATAAAGGAAGAAAACTGATGTGATGTAATTTCAAACTATATCAGACATAAATTAAATAGTGTTTTTTGTGAGTGAACTTAGAACATGGAAAAGATGCTTCATCTAGTAAAACACAGTCTCCTGTAAAAGTGCAAACCATACAACTGACCTTTACTGCCTCAATGGTCACAATCCGGCTTAAGACCTTCATCATGCTGGTGGGGGCCACAGGGTTGAAACTAAAACAGAGACATAATTAACTAAACAGGCCCTAAATGATATGATGATGATGATACCCCAAAAAATTATCTCTTTACATTTTTAACTCCAACTTAAGATCAGATGAATTATGCTTTAACTGTGATGATCTTGGGTTTAAATGTTTTTGCGAATTTGTATGAAACTGTACAAATTTGTACCTAATGTTGTGAATTCCAAGTTCTTGCAAAACATCCTTAAAGAGCAGTCTGGAGTTCTTGTCCCCACTGAGGCTGTCAGACACTATCAGGACCAGTGGACATCGACCACACTTAATAAACTGCCTAAAAGAGCAAGCAGAAAAATAAGCAACATTGCGTTACAGACACTTGTGACTTGTACAGCATATTAAAAGTGCAGTTTCATTGCTCACCTGAGTATATCATGCAAGCATCCTGGTTGCCTATAGAACTGGTTTGGAAATTCCTGAATTAAAACAAGAAAGTGTTACAAGGCTTATGATTTTTGTAATTTATGTTTAACTGAATATTCATCCTCATTTTCACTTGCCTGACATTATCTTTTGCACAATTTATTCCATATTAATCTAACAAAACAACTATATATCTTTTAGGTCATAATTAGACCCACACAAAATCTGCTTGCGCAGAAATCCTCAGATTTTTAGCCCATTAATGAGTCTATTTATTTACTTCTGTAAATGTGTGTAAATTTATATTTATACAGCTTTTATATTTATTTCAGTAATGTTATTGACTAATATGAACATTTTCATATGATTTATTTACAAAACAGTCTGTAAAGTAATATTTTCTGTCTTTTAGTGAATATATATATATATATGAGAGAATTGCTTTGTTTACCAAAAAAAGTGAATCTAACTGGATTTGCATTGTAAACATTAAATAAAGGTTAAAATGTATTATTCTTTATTTCATATATTAAGTTTGTAGTTCTTATACTCCCAAAATTATTCTGCATGAATCCACAGATTTGTTTTTACAATATTCTGTGCAGAAATAGCAAAAAATGTTCACAGATTTTGTCTGGTCCTAGTCATGAAGTACAGAATACTAATTTTGGGTCCATGCCTCCATTCTTTTCAACTGAGAATTCTATATCAGTGGGCATTTATGACCAATGCTCATTCATATCACTCATTTAGGTGTTTGTTTGTGTTTAATGCTATGCCAATTTCTATGACTATTTTCATGGGGAGAAAAAGTATACTGCAAATATAGATTATAATATGGTTTTACAATTATTTTTTTTGCTAAAAACTCCATATTTGGATTAAGAGTGTCAAGAACATGCTTTATAGCTAAAGCGCTTTTACAAATAGAGCATGATCTTCTACAGACAATAAAAACTTATTCTACAGCAAGTAAAATTAATCTGATTTCCACGAGTTGTAGAATTTATAGAGGTTTATTTTACTAACATTAGGGCTGATTTAATGGAGTCTTTTCTTATATTTAGATCTCATTCCCCTTGCCGTTTGTTATTAATGTATGAACAAATTGTTGATTTTATGTCTAACCAAGGTACTGGATAAATGTTGGTGTTTTAAATTTAAGTGAATCTTTCAGTCGAACATGTTCACTATATAGCACAGGTAAATTAATTTCTGGCCAACTAAGATTTCAGTATGGAGATTAAACTAAAGTTTAGAAACACTAACAAAGATGGTTATAGAGAGCATTTCTATGCAGCACCTCAATAAGAATTATTTTCCTGTCTTCAGTCCACGTCTCTCCGCTCATTCGCAGACGACTGTATTTGTTAGCTCTTAGCAGGAACTCCTGAAATAACCCTGTTTGCGAGCTGCCATGGAAACGATTAAACCTTGAATCTGTTGAAGAAAAAGGTCAAGTGAATAAGCCAATATAAACAATTAATAGAAAACAGAGAAAGGGAGATGCAACTTCATCCAAACATGACTCTAAAATGTGTAAATGGGAAAAATCCATCTATATGCTACATGTGATGTGCAGTGCAATTACATGTACAGTACGCCGGTTTGGAATATAAATAAGCAGAGTCCTGACCTGGATCAAAGCTTTGTGTGAACAAATCCTCCGTTTTGTACTGAGAGGTGGTGGAAGGATTTGACCACTCTTGGACCTGAAAACCCAATTCCTTGGCAAGAACTTGAACAGTCGCAGTTTTCCCACATCCTGAGGGGCCAGTAAGCAACAGAATGGCGCCACCCTGTGGAAACATAATCATAACAAACACACTATTGGAACTATTAAATACATAAACAGTTTTTTAGATAAACAGCATATCTTACAGACCTTTTTTGATTTGTCCAAATGGACTCTTAACCAGCTTTCAACTTCTTCAACTTTCTTCTTGTGGACAGCCAATTCAGCCTATTGGAGAAAAAAAACACAAGTTTTAACAATAATTATAATAGAAATAATATACAATGGATAATTTGTAGATGATTGTGAGAGTGAAACAGTTAGTGTGACCTATTCTAAAGGTCATCTCTTAAGAACTAAACCACACAAAGGTAGATTTCCAAAAGCTGCACTGAGCACCTTTGATGTGAGCAATGTGTGTACCTGTGATTGGGGAGCATGAATATCCACCCAGGGTTCGTCCTGGTCTGGATTATTTGCTTCACTTGACACAGTGATCTGGTTGTCGGATACATAAGGATCTACTTTCCGTTTTCTGGATTTTTTCTCTGCTGTCTTGCTTTCCCCTGAGAGCGGGCCCTTTTTCAGGGACCTACTTACTCCTCCCAAAAGTTCACCAAATGATGGCTCCACCCAGTTGTTTATCTTTACAGGGAATAAACACATACTCTACATTAGTAGGAGTAGATTCAGAGCATCCTCATCTATTCTAGGTCCTAGGTGATTTGTTATAAATAGTTTGAGATATATAGTTGTAGTCAAGATTTATTAGTCCCCATTTGATTTTTTTTTTTCAAAATTTTTACCAAATGATGTTTAACAGAGCAAGGACATTTTCACAGTATGTCTGGTAATATTTTTCTTCTGGGGAATGTCTTGTTTTATTTGAGCTAGAATAAAAGCAGTTTTTAATTTCTTAAAAATCATTTTAAGGTCAAATTTATAAGCCCCTTTAAGCTATACTTTTTTTTTCTAATTGTCTACAGAACAAACTATTGCTATACAATAACTGCCCTAATTACCCTAACCTTCTAAGTTTAATTAACCTACTTAAGCCTTTAAATGTCACTTTAAGCTGTATAAAAGTGTCTTAAAAATATCTGGTAAAATATTAGTTACTGTCATCATGGCAACGATAAAATAAATCAATTATTAGAAATGAGTTTTTAAAATTATTATGATTAGAAATGTGTTGAAAAAAATCTTCTCTTCGTTACACAAGAAATTGGGCGGAAAACTGTAACCTTTTCAACTGCAAACCAGTCCCATCCCTAATCCCATCTGTCACAATAGAGAATATATTGATTTTATTTATAAAGCTCCATAATGTTACTGACCTATTTTTGTAGGAATTTACAGACACACACACACACGTTATCTTAAAGATAACTAACATTAAATTATGAATATTCACTTTTTTTCTAAGTGTAGTCATAGGAGTAAACATGTTGATGGCAACAATAGTGACCGATGGGACAATACAGTACATTTAGGTATACATCTACTTACTTACACAAAGAGGTTTCGCTAAAATGTTGCCAAATATACAGTGAAAATTGCAGTACATTAATAGCTCGGATGTTAAAAAACAGTTCACAATATGTGATAATAATATGTGACAATATGTTGTTTTAATACTGGTAAGTGTTTATGCATTGTAGTAAACCCTAAATTTTGATGGTTTAAAAAGGTGTTATTATAACTTGGCTAGAATTTTTGATGACTACAGAAAAGGTAATTAATTACACTACTCCACCAGTCACAATCACAACTGGCCATAGTGTTTTATGGATAATTTTTGCCATTTCCATAAAAATGTTAAGAAAAAATGTGTTGGTTATTTGAAAGGTGTTAATAATAACACATAATTTAGACATTTGGATGTCTGGAAATTAACGTTAGTTAAATTAGTTATAAAAAGGAACAACTTCGGCCAAAAGACGTATTTTTATCAAGGATACATACTTTTCCAGAGGACTGCTTTCCTCCAAGAGAGAGCTTTGACATCATCAACTCTGACGTCCCGTTCAGTTACTCCATGCAAAACTGTGCTGGCATAAAAACCAAATCATTTACATAATGCGTAAACAGGGAAGGTGGAATTCACCAAGTTTTTGAGAGGAAGGTGATGGTATAACGTTAAGTCAGCGAAGCAAAGAGAAAGTAATTTTCACAATGAACTCTTTCACGCAACAAGAGAAACTTTACTATACAATTAACAGACTATGGAAAAATTCCATAACATGAATTTTCTAGTTTTGATAAAGGCTTTACCAGGTGTTTTCTTGTAAACAAATTCGCTTCTGACCGTTACGTTAGCTTGAAATCACGAATGCTAGCAGTTGTCAAATGATCAAGGCAAATCATCGCATTCGTGGCTAGCGCATTTTAGGCAGTATATTTTAAACTCACCCTGGTCATTTTGGCAATCAACGCCTGTAAAACAATAATTCCAGCTATTTGCAGTTGCAAGTAACAAGAAACATTGTGCAAACTACCCCTTTAAAACTGTACCGAACCGCCCCTCGCTTGGCGCATATTGATGACGTCATCAAACGGACGCCACAAATTTGAACACGTTTTTATGTTGATCTGTACAGTGACAACAACAGATTAACTCCATATCACACGATTTTGTTTGCGTAACAATTATAAGATTAAAGTTTGAGTAAAACGAGTTGAGCAATTAGTTGTATTTTAACGTGTGATACCTTGCGATGAGAATCATGAAGAGACCTAACATTCTTCTCACAGGTAAGTTGTCTTGGTGTTTGTGCTTGATGTTATGTATGTTTTGAAACAATTGTACATTATGATTAAGTGTTACAGTGTTCCCTAACATTTAAGTACAGTTTGGATGTTAGTATGTACTTGGTTATTTTTTCATATGCAACGGATCCCCAAATAGGACTCGTGCTAAAATGAAGAAGTGTCTTGTAAAAAGACCAGTTTTATGATGTGAAAGAATTATATAATAAATGAACTAAACATATTATTGAGATATATGATTATATAGTTTTAAAAAATCTGAGTGTTTTACTTTTAATTATTTTGTATGCATTTAATTTTAATTTGTATTAATAATTTGAATCAATTGATTTTCTATTTTAATCCAGTTCAGAAATTTTGTTTTTTATAAATCTTATTTTATTTCTTTATGCTCTTTATATTATGATTATTTAATCATTTATTCAGGGGTAGCTTAAATAATTTGTCAGTGCTCTTTAGGTAAGGGATTCATTAGAATAAATAGCAAAAATCAATCCTAGGCATTCGAAATATGCAAAAAAAAAATTTTAAAAGCCCTTATTGTTATGGCTATTCCTTAAAACCAATGAATGGATTTTAAGGAATAGCAAAGTCAATAAAAGCTTTTAAATGTTTTTCCACAATATTTGAGTGCCTTTGATTGATATTTCGCTATTTATTTACTTATTTACATTAATTAAAATATAATTTTTACATTTATAGAGGTTTCTTTTACTAACATTAGGGCTAATTTCATGGAGTTTGCTGCTTGCATTTATATGCTATAAATAGAAATAACACATACACACACATATTTTTTATGCTTTTTTTCCAAACATTAATCGGCTTCATGAACTGATAGGAACCCCTGGAGTGGGAAAGACGACTTTAGGGAAAGAGCTGGCTCAGAGAACGGGACTAACCTATGTCAATGTGGGTGATTTGGCACAGGAAGGTAAGTTTAGTTTGGCTATTTATATGTGACTTTTATACCAATTGGTACTTTTATTTCGACAACCTCTGTGTTTTTATGTGTCCTCAGCTGAATTGTTTGATGGTTTTGATGAAGAATACCAGTGCCCTATATTGGACGAGGACAGGGTATGTATTACTTAAAGGGCACCTATGGTGAAAAATCTACTTTTCAAGCTATTTGGACAAAACGTGTATATACAGTGTATAGACCAGGGGTGGCCAACCCTGTTCCTGGAGAGCCACCTTCCTGCAGATTTCAGTTGCTACCCATATCAAACACACCTGAACCAATTAATTAGGACCTGAACACCACGTGATAATGACAGGCAGGTGTGTTTCATATGAGTTGCAACTGAAATCTGCAGGAAGGTGGCTCTCCAGGAACAGGGTTGGCCACCCCTGGTTTAAACCATCATATTGGGGTGATATAAACACACCCAGTTCTTTTTTTTCAATTTAACAACATAAAAACGGTGGACCAATTACAGCGGTTTTCAGACCGACAGCAACTTTACGTAGGAGTGCGGTCCCCCTGCCCACCGAATTGATTGACAGCTGCGCGCATTAACATGTTCCGGTAGTCGCGTGTATATGTCAACAAGACCAGGCAGACATACGCAAAGCAACCTGGGAATAAAAGGTCTGTTCTGTTTGCTAGGATTAGCAATCATCATCAAATGTGATTAAGAGTAAGTTTCACATGTTTAAAGTGTTTTAAAACAATGCACGTGTGTAATTAATTACAGCGATTTACTTCAGCTTTACTTCATCAGCACATCCGCGTGTCAGAACAATTATAAAGGAAGACGCTTCAATCCCAGTTTGTGGAAGTTAAATCAGGTTTATTTTGTACATTAGCATAACAGATATCCACACAGCAGTGGAGATTAGCCTGTATGCTGTCACATTTGAGTGCAAAAACAGTGCTAAGCTAAGCGCGCTCTGTCTGTCTGTCTGCCTGTGTGTGTGTGTGTGTGTGTGTGTGTGTGTGTGTGTGTGTTAGTGTGTGTGTGTTAGTGTGTGTTAGTGTGTGTGTGTGTGTGTGTGTGTGTGTGTGTGTGTGTGTGTGTGTGTGTGTGTGTGTGTGTGTGTGTGTGTGAGAGTGACTCATCAATGCAACTTCACAATACTGATTAGTAAAGATTAGTTCTTACTGTAGTATTTCTCTCAAACGCTACATGTGACCTTCTTCCATTAAGTCTGTCTGTTGTCTGAGGCAGCCGAGGGAGGAGATTAAAGCACGCGGGTAGGCATGTAGAAACAGTAGGTGGGCAGAACTCGCCTTAAAGGCACAGTACGACAAAACCACCCTCTGCTGGAAATCAGTATAAAACAGCATCTTGTAAAAGGTATAATGAAAAATCTGATGGGTGTTTTGAGCTGAAACTTTATACAGATTCTAGAGACGCAAAAGACTTATATTAAATCTGAAAAAAGGGGTAACCAAGGTGCCCTTTCTAATAGCCATTTAGTAACTTGTTAATTGATTTAAAGTCCATGTGAAATCAAAGTGTACAATGTTTATTTTGTTTTGCACTTTGTCATTCTTTGGATAAACATTCAATCTATGCAAGTTAATTTAAAAATATTAATGATTTTTATATGCCAGGTTGTGGATGAGCTGGAGGACCAAATGGGAGATGGAGGTGTAATTATTGATTACCATGGCTGTGATTTCTTTCCTGAACGCTGGTTTCACATTGTTTTTGTCCTCCGCACTGACAACACCAATCTCTACAATCGTCTCGAAAGCAGGTATGCGTTCAGAACTGATGATAGCAATTCATTACATACATGTTTATGATATATAACATTAGTTTGTATTACATTTTAGTTTTAAAGTGTAGTATACCAAATAAAGAAGTTCCTCAAACAGATTTTTTTAACTGATTTAAGGATGTAATGTACCACCTTAGGTAAATGTAAAATCAGTTACATATTTTTGTTTCAGAGGGTACACAGGAAAGAAACTCCAGGATAATGTGCAGTGCGAGATTTTCCAGACTATATTTGAGGAAGCCGTGGAAGCCTACAAGGAGGAAATTGTGCACCAGCTTCCCAGTAACACTCCTGAGGACCTGGAGAGGAATCTAGAACAAATTGTTCAGTGGATTGAACAATGGATGAAAGACAACAATTGACATGGCTCATTATACGTGAAAGGCTCAAACATGTTTGAGTTTGTGTCAAAGAAAGCATATATCACATTTCATAGATAAAGTACTCCAGATTGACTATGGTTCATTATTATTGCGCTAAAGACAAAAAAGTGTGATACCATTAACAGTTACTCGGTCAGTTAAACACTTTCATCCTGAATTGGATAAATAAATATTTTTATATTATATTTAAGGGTCTCTGTGTATATATTTAATACTTCAGAAAGGATGGTGGATTGCAACTTCAAAATTGAGAAGCTAAAAGTTTGATCCCACATGAAGAAACCACGATTTAAATAGCTATAAAAAATATTACAAAACATTATCCAATGAAAATTGTTAAAATTATTAAAAAATTTTTAAATGAATAATCACTGTCTTCACTCTCTTTTTCAAATGTAGAATTATATATGTTTAGCTGCAAGCAAACACCAGCAACATTTGACATTAGTAAGCATTTATTGGGCCAAATACAATGGTAAATGATAATATGGCAAATTGCATCGGTGTTTCCTACCAGAAACTTTATAAGTAATATATATATATATATATATATATATATATATATATATATATATATATATATATTACATACATACATACATACATACATACATACATATACAGTTGACGTCAGAATTATTAGTCCCCTTTTGATTTTATTTTTTTAAATATTTCCCAAATGATTTTTAACAGAGCAAGGAAATTTTCACAGTATGTCTGATAATATTTTTTCTTCTGAAGAAAGTCTTATTTGTTTGCTTATAAAAGCAGTTATTAATAAAAAAAATTTTTTTGTGACAAAATTATTAGCCCCTATAAGCTAATTTTTTTCTGATAATCTACAGATTTTTATACATTTTTCCAAGAATATAGGTAATATATTTTGGTGCATTTAAAAAAAAAAAAACTGATTTAATAAACAGATATATTTATTACAATAATATTTTATTCACTGATCATCCTTAGAAATAGAAACATAATGCAATTAAATTCATGGGAAATATTGCAAAAAAAAATTACAAACTGCAAAATTTCAACAAAATCATTTTTGTTTCTCTTTATTTTCTCTTTATTTATTTCTTTTTTTTTTATCTAGCATAAATTTGAGCTACTAATTTCTGGACCATTATTGAAAGTTATTTTGTTAGATAAGCTCCAGATTTTGGGCGAAGCAGTGGTGCAGTAGGTAGTGCTGTCACCTCAAGGCAAGAAGGTTGCTGGTTGAGCCTCGGCTCAGTTGGTGTTTCTATGTGGAGTTTTTCACGTTCTCCCGGTGTTCGCGTGGGTTTCCTCCGGGTGATGCGGTTTACCCCACAGTCCAAAGACATGCGGTACAGAAAGAATAAGAATATCAGAAAATTGTGCAAATCATATATGCCAGCAAAAGAAAGCTAATACACTGATTCTTTGTAATTGGAATAAGGCAGTCCAGTTATCAAAATTCAGTGAGTAACATTAAAACTCGTGTCCAGCTGTTCAGCCTAATCATTCACAACACTGCTTTCCAAATTAGGTTTTAATAAGAATTTAAAATAATAATAATACAATTTTCAAATATGAGTCGTGATAGTTTATGCAAATAAACACAGCCACACTTCACAACACATATTTCACAAGTTGTGTTGATAGGTCAACGTTTCCCCCCTCTTGAACAATAAATGGTCGGATAGTTTCTCAAATGTTTTCTTGTCAAACCGGTTTGGATCGTGACATCAGTCATTGGGCTGGACAAGTCACGTGATCGATTCCTCTTCACCTGTAGCACCATCGGCGGAAGACAGGCGAAACTGTCGATACCAGGTAAAAGCGTTTGTTTTTATTTTTTGTGCATTTCTTTTTGGCGAGCAACATGTAACATAAAATAATACATTTAATTTAGTAAATTATGGCGCATTACGAAGTAGTCATTGGTTAGCTTTTTTATTACTTAAAAGCTAGAATCTATCAGATATTTTGTTCCGTTCTTCGTCGGCAGACAGGTTTCAGCCCACGTAAAATCATCTAATGCAACGCTTATGTTGTACAATGATTTCCATAAACATTTTTTCCTCTCTTTTTGCAGATAGTTTTTTGAGGAACAACTGTTTTTAATCCTGCCAGTGAGGCGATGTTACTACAGTACTGAGGTAAGACTCCAAATATCGATTGAACTATTTTATTTCTTTTATGTAGGGATGTGTGTGATGTATTTGTACTATGCATATATTTTTTTACATTTATTTGTGCATTTCTCATATAGATCATATAATGTTGTGACGGTGCCTACACGTTGTTCCTATTTAAAACAATTGATTTGAATTTCCTGTTTATTTATTATTAAATATTGCTGATCATATATTGGTTACAAAACATAATTTGACTGTAAGTATCAACTTAGTAAGTGCAAGTGTGATTATTTGTGTTGCCAGGGTGTCCGCAGGGGTCTTAAAAAGTCTTAAATCTCTAAAACAGAATTTTAGGCCTTAAAAATACTTATTTATTAAAATATTGTGTTGTAAGTCTAAATATTTTTAAACAGGTCTTAATTGTCCTTTGTTCGTGTATTGCTATCCAATCTGGCCATTAACACCCATACTTAAAACTTTAAACTTCTTATTTTTAAAAATATAATATTTTTAACTGTATTTACCATAATTGTTTAACTATTTTCCTTATAATAATATTAAAAGTTTCTCATGCATTTACTGCTGAGGACACTGACCTGGCAGACTGTTGTGCATACATTTAGTTCATTATAGTTTTTCAAACTTTTAATACATTTGTCTATTTTTTTTTTTTTTGAAAGTCTGTGTTGAAAAAAAGTGTATGTTTACAACTAGAGCTTGCTTGTTTTGAAACTATATTTAAAAATATTTTGCTAAGTTATATTTCTAATGTTTAAATTTGTTATTATTAAATTATTGTATTATTAATATATTAAATTATAATCATTTTTTAAAAATGGCAAATATAAATGTTTTCCATTTGGGCCCTTTGAAAAACTTGGCGTTTAGCTCTGTATGATGCTAAAATTTGATTCATAATGTCCTTAAAAATGTCATAAGTCTTAGATTTAACTTAGTGAAACCTGCAGAATCCCTGGTTTGTAACAGGTGTGTGAATAAAATGATGCCAGTGTGACACAAGACGCTATAATATATCTTTATAAATGTTCTGTTCCTCAGTTCACACTGCTGCTAGGACCATCCCCATGTCATTTGGAAACGGGTCAGCATCCCGCTTTGACCGGGTCCGAGATATGCCTCACTATGATCAGGTGCCCATCGGCTCTATGCCGTGGGGTCAGCAACCTCCTTACCCCCTTGGTGGTGGAGTAGCAGCATCCAGTTTTGAGAGTTTACCACCACCTCCGCTACCTGAAAATCCCCCTGTTGGACCAGAATTCTACCCGAGTGATGTTGAAGACCAAGTGGATGATGCCATGGACATCAAACCCATCCGACGCTTCATTCCTGACTCTGTGAAGAACTTCTTCAGGGCCAGTGTCAACCGAGGAAGCAAAAAATTGACTTTTCCTCTACCACCACCACCAATAGATGGAAACACCACCAGCCAAGGCGTCCCGTGTTCCCCTCCACACTCTCGGGCACCATCGCCAACAGCTCCCAGCTCTTACCTAGACCCTTATGGAGGATCTGGGGGCAGCTACACTTCAAGGAAGGAGCAGGCAATGTTATTAGGGGAGCCACTGGAATCAGTTTCTGGACGCTCTTTGCAGACGGCTATGACTTACAGTGAGAAGGTGGAGGAGTACAATCAGCGCTATGCCTACATGAAGTCCTGGGCCGGACTCTTGCGTATTTTAGGATGCGTGGAGTTGCTTTTGGGTGCTGCTGTTTTTGCCTGCGTCTGTGCATATGTTCACAAGGATAATGAGTGGTTTAATATGTATGGTTACTCAATGCATCAGGTGTATGGGGGAGCATCAATGGGTGGGATGTATGGAGGATATGGGTCTTCATACTCAGGACCTTTGACACCCTTTGTCCTTGTGGTTGCTGGAGTGGCTTGGATAGTGACTGTCATTATATTAATCTTAGGAATAACCATGTATTATCGTACCATTCTACTCGACTCCAGCTGGTGGCCAATCACAGAGTGTGTGGTAAATGTGGCATTAGGATTGCTCTACTTGGCAGCTGCAATTGTGTACGTGCGAGACACACTTCGTGGAGGTCTCTGCTATTATCAACAATTCACTGTTGGGCCCAATGCAGGATTTTGTCGGACTGAAGCTGGACAGAACGCTGCCATCATTTTTCTCTTTGTAAACATGCTGTTGTATCTTGTTGGAGCCATCGTCTGTCTAAAGATGTGGAGACATGAAGCTGCTAGGATGCGCAGAGAGAGATTGGAACAAGATGTAAAGTTCAAATCAATAATTCTCTGAAACTAATAAGAGTAGAGCCATGTCTAATTTGTTTGTTTTCCCTTTCATATTCATATTTAGATGAAGTCAGATGGGCTTCCACTCAACATGGTAAGCAGTTTAATTTTAATGTTAAAAGAGCAGTTTCACTATTTTAAACTGTTGTTGTAAGATGTAATTTGTAATCTTAGATTGGTGCCGGCTCAAGTGTCTCAGTGCCCATCCAAAGTGCTCCAGTAATGACCAAGCTAGAGACTTTTGATGGCATGCCTGATCATCCAGCTATGATGGAACCGGAGATTTTGAGGGGTCACATCCCTGCTGGCCACATCCCCAAACCTTTGGTCATTGCAGATTATGTGGCGTGAGTTTCAAAGAATACTTATATGAATTATTATCTATGAATTTAAGACATTTTACTCAAAATATGCACCACGTCATTCTTTTTTTATTCCCCTCACCCCTTTTCTAATGACTATTTGTGTACTAACTGTACCCAAAAAAATAAAAAATAAAATAAATAAATACTAATACTTTCCTTCTTAGACTTTACAGACCTGAAACTTGCCTATAACACGTATTCATTGTTGCTCTTAGTTGTGTAAATTGCTTCCTTGTCCTCATTTGTAAGTCGCTTTGGATAAAAGCGTCTGCTAAATGACTAAATGTAAATGTAAATGTGTTCTGTAATATTTTTCTCCTAACAGGAAATATCCAACAATCCGCACTGATGAGGAGAGGGAGCGCTACAAAGCTGTGTTTAACGATCAATACGCTGAGTATAAAGAACTGCACGCCGAGGTTCAGGTTTTAACACAGAAGTTTGAGGAAATGGATAATCTGATGAGGAATCTACCACAACGACCTTCCAGCCAGATGGTAATGATTTGTAAAACAGTGCATTCTTTCATAATTATCTTACATGCGGTTTTTATGAGCATGTCTAAACTGAGAGACTATATTTGAAATATTTGAACTTTTAAAATAAAGATGACAGAGATAATTAAAATGGTATTTTCTTATAATCCCCGCAGGGTCTTTAAAGGGCCATGACACCCCCCACTTTCGGTTAAAGTCTACTTCAGAATTTTTTAAAAAGATGCATAATTAATGGGCGTGGAGCTCCATGAGCATAGGGCAGGAGTGGGCGTGGCCAGCAGGGGAGAAGGGGAGCGAACAACTGTTGTTGGCAGTTAGTTTACAAAATGAGACACAAACCGTGAGGAGACGCGTGAGTTTATTGTTTACAAAGTTAAAATGCAAAGAAATGAACAGTAATTTAATGCCCTGCTACATTTTTTATTTGTAATTTCATATGCACATAACCACAATTTATATCATTATAAAGATAAGTGTGTTCATGTAAACACTATAAATGAGGATTTTCCCTCGATCCCTGGGTCTAAATTATAGATCTGAATGCAGACTCAGTGCAGCAGGTCTCCTGACCTGTCTATTTATGTGTCTGAATGTGAACGAACTCCTGATAAAAGTCAATGTCCGCCATTCTTCAATTCTCGCACTGCTCTCCCAACAAAAACGCTTGCAGCACACACACAGCTTTGCTGTATGATGCTGTATGAAAACATGCAATGAACCCTGTGGATCATGGAAATAAACACATACGAGCCTTCATAAACGGCTACTGCGTGCCGTGGGTCTGTGTCTCACAGCTTGCTTGAAACTGGCAGGTCTGCCTTGTCTTCGGAAAGCACGTGCTCTCATGAATAATTAAGCAGCCGGCTCTTCTCATAGGATAAGAAAACTGCGCTATGAATAATAATGAGAAACCGACGCGTCATCATTGCACTTGCAGTACTGCGCTACGTCGCCGATTTTGATCCCGCCCCAAAAATCATTTTTAACCCGGAAGCTGAAATTAGCTGACAAAAGCTCAAAATTATCCAGTTTTCCCCACAATTAAAGCTAACAGGTGCTAACATTGTCTTAACTGATGCTCAACACACACACACATCTGTTAATATATAAAAAAAAAAGTTATCCAGGGTGTCCTGAACCTTTAAAAGTATAAAAAGTTGATAAATCAATTATGATAAAATGAAGGTAAAGTCTTAATCGTGTTTTTACGAGGTCTTAAATTTAGTTCAAGAATTTTCCAAAGTGTTTGACTCCAAAAAAAAAAAAAAACTGGCATGCTCGATCCACGTAATTGGTTCCGGCTGGGGTGCATTTTGCCAAACTCCTTCGTCGGGGTGATGTCACGTAATTGCGACAACTGCAGGAAGGTGATGATGTAGTCAAACAGATGGTAAAATGGGAAAATGCAAGTTTGCCTATTTCTGATTGGAGAAAGACAAGTTTAAACATCCACATAGTTTTATATAGCTTATCTGAGTTCTGTTCCATGGATGTGCTCCATTGATTGATTTAACTACAACTGTTTATTAACAACTGTTTACTGATTAGAATGTAAAGTGGCGATGAGGTCCTAAAATATTCTGAGAAGGTCTTTAAAAAGTCTTAAAAAGGTATTGAAATTACATTTAGGATTCCTGCATATACCCTGTATTTGATCACAGAACACAATTCTATACTCTAAAGTGTCTAAACTATGATTTTCTCGCACAGGAGCAAGAGAGAATCAGTAGCATTGTTCAAGAGTATAACAGAAAAAAGGCTGTAAGTATGTGTATCTCTTTGTGTGTGTATCTCTGTGTGTGTGTGTGTGTGTGTGTGTGTGTGTGTGTGTGTGTGTGTGTGTGTGTGTGTGTGTGTGTGTGTGTGTGTGTGTGTGTTTGTGTGTGTGTGTGTGTGCTATGTATGTATGTGTATACATGCAGTTAATTGATCAACAATAATTGATCCTCAGAAGTTGTAATACCCCCCCCCCACACACACACACACACACACACATATATATATATATATATATATATATATGCTGCTAGTTTGACTTGCCAATCCCTTAATCATCTCCTTGTTGCTTTTCTACATTCTTTAGTCATTGCAAAAGAAAGACATGTTATCTGTCTACACTGAGTGCTGTAAACAGTTGAAACTGAAAAACTGGAAATGTTAGGGGGTTGTAAAAGCAGCTATTGATGTGTTAGCATACTTCCTGTGTGTGTGAATGCGCACCAAAGATAATTTTACCTCTTTCTGTTTTTAGGACCCAACTTACCAGGAAAAAAGGGAGAGATGTGAATACCTGAAGAACAAACTTGCTCACATAAAGCAGAAAATTCAGGAGTATGACAAAATCATGGACTGGAATGATGGTTACAGCTAGATGGAACCCCAATATACTTTTAAAAATCATGTTAAACTTTACAGATGTTCCAAGAAAGAAAGTGACATGCCTGAAAGTTACGTGTTTGGTTTGGGCTTTGTTGGTAGCAAAATCATATTAAATGCAGTAAATAATGAAGAACATTTTAAAGCCTCAAATTTAAATAGTTTTAACATTCGAATAAATGTTACTTACTAAAATATTGGCGTAAATATTAAGTTAAAGTTTCAATCACATATATATATATATGCGTGTGTGTGTGTGTGTGTGTGTGTGTGTGTGTGTGTGTGTGTGTGTATTACGACTTCTGAGGATCAATAATTGTTGATCAATTAACTGCGTATACCCTCAGTATATTCAACGGTTTTCCTGATTAGACTTCAGTAATTGTTTGTATTCGCGTCCCCTTTAACTTTATACCAAATGTTTCTTTTTACTCGCATCTTGTTGCAATTGGTGCATTTTTGTTCAACTTGCGTCGTTCCCTGATCATTGACGACCACAGCAGCCGTGAGAATATTTCGTGAGAGTTCTTAGAAGATCACAACAAACCAACTGAATGATGTCTCGCATGGGCGTCGCTTTAGCCCCCGAGATTTCTATTCAGCCCCTCTCAAACTTTTGCGGCTACTTCATTAATTGTACACTATCTAAATGATAGCCTCAGCAGTCTCCTTCATATTTGACACAAAAACGGCGACAGACTTCTCCGTTTTTCATTTAGTCAGCAAACCGCAGCTGTGCAGAGCGAGAGCACAAGGTTCTCGATAGATTGTGTATAATAATGTCGGCATATTTGCAGTTCTTTGCTATAGAAACACTTGCTACCTCGGCGCTCCCCTCATCACAACTGCTTCCTCCAGTGAAGTGTAAATCTTAACAAACATTTTGTTGTGCTTTTTTCACATTTAATTAAGAAAATAAAACGCATGACGGTGCATGTGGCATTGCCAGAATCATATGCACAGAATTAAACAGTGACAGAACCACTCAGTTAATATTCTCATTTTAACTGCATATCTGTTTTCCTGATTTAAATGTATATATATAGGCTATATTTTTAATATGGGCTGATTTTTTATTTTGTGTTGTTATATAGAGAATTTAATGTAAAAGGTAGGCTATCTTCAGTCATCACTGCAGAAATCCTGGATTGCTTTTATATTTATAGATTTGTTAATAAAATAATAGTTTCTTCTTTATGTGAATTTTTACAGTAATATCTTCTATAGTTTTTGTATTTACGTCAGTCTACCTTTAAATGTATTCCTTTTTATTAATTGTGGAAGTTACTGCACTGTATTGTTACAAGTTTCCTTCTTTATTTCTTATAAAATAAAGAGCTAGTACAACCCTCATTTCATATGTCTGTTTACACAATAGACAACATTGTGCTATATGTGTAGGTCTTTATAATTGAACTGGGGTAATGTAATCTGTGGTTTTACTTTGGCTTGACAGCGCTATGTATTAGGTTACACATGTCGCAACTGACTCCAGGAAGAAACCATGCGCTGACATTATCTTATAAATAATATCCAACAGTGAAGCGTGAATTTAGCTTTTATTATAATTGAAACCATGTGCTCCAATTGTGAGCCAGGTTGATGAAAAGAGACAATATCAATGTAAAAACAACAAGGAATATTTTCTTTGTTTTTTTAATAAATTATGACTAAAGTGAATTGTAAATTGTTAGATTACGTGTAAACGATTGGTTCATCAGAAATCCAGTTCGTTCTACATGACTTGTAACGTATAGAGAAGTTGTTTACATGGACTCTTTATAAAATAAAAAATAAAAACATGAAAAAATATTTATCAACGAATACGTACACAACGTTTACATCACGAATAATGATAACATTAAGAAATGTTTCTTGCAGCAAATTAGATTAGAATAATATCAAAAAATGCTTTGGCAACACAGAAATACATTGCATTTTAAAATGGGGAAAGAGTTTTACTGTATCATCATTAACATTATTAATGATACAAATATTTTTAAACCTGAAAACAAATACATATTTGTTAAAATCGCTATGCAAATGAACCCAATTCATGGCAGTGCGCACGCGCTCAGGGCGGGGCGGCGCAGCACCTGTTCAGGTGAGACGGGAGGAGTGCATGCATCAGTGATGTTCTGCCAGAGAAACCGCAGGTTTGTGAAACTCAGTTGTCAAGCGGGCGCTCCCTGAAGGCTGAGCGGTTCTACGTTTATAAAGAGCGAGCGAGGGTTACAGAAATATTAACTAAAGTCGACAGCTTTCGGAAGTAGGACGGTGAGTTTCATTGTAACGCTTCTGTCACTTCTAATCTGTTATGTTATTGATTATCAGGTAGTTGTGTTTTTAGTTGTTGTGTTTACTAATGATCACGGCTGTTGCGTATCAGTAAAATACAAATTATAAGATTAGTAGATCTGAGCGTCTTAGAGGTCTTTCTCTTTCTTTGTCCAAGTATAGTTCCTCGAATATTTCGCACTTTTGTTTTTTTATAGTAGGCCTATTTTTTGCACTGATTTCTCTTCGTATTTTATTTCTGGTTTTAGACAGCTGCAGCTTAACTATACACTCCTAGTATTTTCCACAGTATTCAAGGTTTTAAGAGCTTGTTTGCTAAAAAAAAAATTAAACCTGATGTAACTCAACATATTTCTCAACAACTGCGCACATTTTAGTTTAAACAAAATCGGTAATATCCATTACACATTTGATTAAATATCAATTCCAATTTAATTCAAATTCATTCAGATTTATTGCAAACTGATTTATAAAATACATGTTTTGCTTTAACAAATATGGCTAAATTGAATAAAATTTTGCTATATGGGTGTGTACAGAAGCATACTGAAATATGTTACAGTATGTGGTAAGATTTTTTTTTTTTACAATTCAGAATGTAAAAATGTAAAATTTATTGTGTAATTAAAATTACATATTAATAAAAATAAATATTTATCTCAAGCCATGTGATTGAAGTAGAGTATTTACACATTCGATCAGTGTCAACTTGTGACACGCTCCCTATATTGTTTACCATAGTACTTTGAATATTGGGTCTGAAATCACATTTAAGTATGATTCAAAAACAACACTAGCACTATTTATTTGACAGTGTGAACAATGCAATACTTTGGTAGTCATTGGCTGATAATTTTATTTCACTATTTAGTATTTGCAACTAATATTTTTGTGAAATTATATTATTAGGAGAAATTCTGAATGAGGAAATATAAAACCAACTTTACCTTAATATCCATGTGTCTGAGTAAGATAGAAGTCTCATTTTCTAGTTATGTTTACTCCGCAGTTTTGTTTTCTCACCTTTTTTATATTGCATTGATTCATCGTATATGCATTTAATTCCTACTCTAGATCTTAATCGGATAGCCCTGTGAAGTTTGTCCAGGAATTTAGCATCATGCCAAGAAAATCAAGCCACCCTCCCCCGTATGGCAGCAGACAGTAAGTTGCATTCTAGAGAAAAGTTTGTAATTATCCATTCTTGGTGCATGACAGTGCTATGATCTGACCAAAGCCTTTAAGTATAACTTAATAGTTTTTATTTTTACTCATCCTATCTCCCTTTCAGTCAGCACAGATCCTCCCATCGCACAGTTTCTTACCACCCCGATGAAATGCTTCACTTCTACAGCTGGAAGTCCCCCCCGGGTGTCATGAAGATTTTATGCATCATCATCATCATTATGTGTGTGGCTATGTTTGCCTGCGTAGCTGCCACATTGGCATGGGACTATGACGCCAACAACATGGGCCTTGGTGGTCTTGCCAGTCTTGGTATGGGCAGTAGTGGTGGAGGGTATAACGGTGGAAGCTATAATGGTGGTTCAGCTGGTGGATATGGAGGATACGGTGGAGGTATGGGAGGCTACGGTGGAGGTATGGGAGGCTACGGATACGGAGGAGGAACGTACATGGACCCAAAATCAGGCAAAGGCTTCATCATCTCTATTGCTGCAATTACCTTCATCGCTATTCTCATCATCTTCATCCTGGTGGTGTCGAGACAGAGCAGTTCCCAGTCTCCCAAATTCTATCTGGCCACCATCATTATTTGTGCCATTCTGGCTGCACTCATGCTCATCGCCACTATTGTTTACCTGGTCACGGTTAACCCCACTTCTCAGACATCTGGATCCATGATGTATAATCAGATCCTGCAGCTTTGTGCACAGTATCAGAACCAAGACCAGGCCTCTGGCATCTTCATCAACCAATACTTATACCACTACTGTGTTGTGGATCCTGAAGAGGTGAGCAGGAAGCAGGCCATCTACAGTGTGTGTGTAAAAAAACAACCAGGCAGTATTTAGTGGCTGTAGAAATTGCATCGCTGTAAAAAATTGATTTCTTTCCAGTTTTTAATGCCCAGTTACATTTCACCTACCTTTTAGAGTTTGTTATTATCAGAACAAGCGTAATAATTTTATATTGTGTAGAAGTGCTAGTTGAGATTCAACTCTACAAATGCAAATCTGCCGCATTGTCCAGTATTTTGGTTTCTCATTTACGTTGATGTTAATGTTATGTGTTTTTCTTCTTTACAAGGCCATTGCCATTGTTCTTGGGGTTCTGGTGGTAATTGGGTTGATCATTCTCCTTGTGTTTGCGGTGAAGACCCGAGGGCTGATTAGGAAATATGGCAGGGACCGCGTTTTGTGGTATGACGTTAAGACCATTAAGGATGGCCTCACCTCTCAAGGCATCGGGGAATGGGTAAGAGTTTTTACAAGCAAACTTCATCAGAAAAAGATGCGTTTCAACTAGCACATGGGTTTGAGGATGTGAAATGTAACTACTTATGCAGTGCTCAGCGTATACTCTCAATTGTATATTTTAAATAAATATTTTTGATAGGAAGCTATACAATATTATATTGGTGTATACACATTAGATTAGTCAGTACTGGAGCTTATCTAATAAAATAACTTACGATAACTGTTCAAAAACTAGTACACCCAAATTTATGTTATAGAAAAATATTAAATACAAATTTAAAAAAGAGGAAAAATCAAGAGAAGCAAAAAAAAAATTTTTTTTAATTTTAGTTAAAATTTTGTAGGTTAATTTTTATTTTTTTTTTCAATATTTTGCTTAAGTTGAATTGTATTATCTTTCAATTTCTAAATATGTTTGGTGACTAAAACATTATTTTATTAAATATATCTTTAATAAATTTGTTTTGTTTAAATGCCCCAAAATACATTGCCAATGTTCACTGAGAAATGGATAAAACTGTTAATTTGCAAAACGGGGTGTACTCACTTATGCTGAACACTGTAGTTTAATGAACTTAAGTTGGTAGCGCCTACAATAAGGTTGAATTAGTTATTGAATTTTTTATTATGAAGAACTTATAAACAATATATTTATAAACAACTAATAAACACTATATATATATATATATATATATATATATATATATATATATATATATATATATATATATATATATATATATATATATATATATATATATATAAAAGAACACACACATACACATCTTTGTTAACAATAGTTATTGAAAATAAAGTTGTTCATGTAACTCACAGTCCATTAAATGATGTTAACAAGCATTCATTTGGATTTTATTAAAGCATTGGTAAATTATTAACCATGATTAAAAAACGTACAGGAATTGTTCTTTCTTCGCTTGTGTAAGTAAATACAGCAACTAACTAATGAAACCTCATTGTAAACGCATTTTCTAAATGTTTTTATTTAGTGCTTTACTACAAAAGGCTTTCCTAGAATTTAATTTTAAAGGAAGAATTCCACAGAGTTTTTTGTGCATGTCTAGTTTCTGGGTGTGTCCTAATAAGCACTTTCACATGATGGAAAGCATTTTTTCTCTAAATTTCACTATGTATTACATAAAGCACTTAACATTGACCTTAAAGTCCATGAATTGTTAGGTGGCCGCTGTTAGATCAAAAATATTACCATGTTCTAAAGTGTGTAAATGGGTCATTCTCTTTCTTTGTTCTTACACGGTTCACCATGTAAGCAGTGGTAGTTTCGTCCTTTATGTCATGACAATGTTTGTGGAAGTGGTGGAACCGGTTCTGCCTTCCTTTAATGTTTGTGCAGGGACTATTTACCATACAAAAAGAAGGCTGACTGCTTTAGAGAAACAGAAAAGCTAAAGCAAAAGGGGCCTACGACAAAACTTTAGAGGAGTTACTAAATACTTCAAATTTTTTGAGATGACAAATATTTTCTACTGTCTAGTATGGAAAGGTGACGTATTATAAAAAAAAACAAAAAAAACTTGAGTGCGAACAAAGCAACGAGGAAATGATACCCACAGCAAATATTTTGGGTATCCAAGATGTGCAGTGCTGATAAATATTTACCGAAAGAGATGTAATAAATAGATAGACATAACAAAGTTCATAATGTTGTAATGTTAAACATTAAAGGTAAATCAAATGTACATCACTATTTTAAGCCATGATCATGAAATGATTAAAGAGGGAGGTAAATATAATGTTATTCTAAAAAAACTTTACATTTAACAAGTATGAATTATGTCCAGTCTGGTTCATGATGTTTACAGCTGATATGGTGCTGGTCTAGCTAGTGGACCAAATATAGTGGAGCTGTTTTCAAGCAAAACTGAACTCAGCATTTTTACTTTACATTCTGAGAACTTAACCTGCACACCAGCATCCCATGCAAAACATGCCTTAAACTAGCAGTGCTGGATTTTCAGCTGGTGTTTGTTGTTGCCTACAGTAAAATGTTGTAAAATGTCACCGTTTTTCTTCAGATTAATAATGTTTCTGGAGATCCAGAGGTTTTTGTCAATGACCAGAATGACAAAGTCAGTGCTGCTCAGCCAATGGTTTACAGCCAGAAACCAATTTACCTTCCAAGGTAAGTCCGCTTAGTGCTTTACGAGATCTTGTTGCAAAAGAAATTTAGCATAAAATTATGATTTAAAATGTATCGGTCAAATATGAATTACGTTAGTTGTAATCCAATTGGTTTTCCATTGGGTTTAAACAACATTTTTGTATGCAAATGTATGTCATTTATTGATATAGCATAAGATTCAAATCAATTATCACCGTTAATCCTCTAACTGACCACAGCCCAGACAATCTCAAAATGAATAGTTGAGGCATTTGTTTGTGACTAAGCTAAGTGAAAAGGAATCCAGGAAATCTAGTCTCTGTATGAACGGGACCTGGTGGAGATTGTGTTGTCATGAACATGAAAAACCTGTTTCACAAACTGATTACGTGAACTAAGTGAAACTATTGGAACCACAAGGCTGTTTTCTTTCTGTTGTTTACAGTTAAATAGTGCTGAGATTACACCCAACTCATTTAATGTGCTTATTTTATTAAACGTGTTTTCCACAGTAGTGCTTCAGACTTGACAAGCTCTGTGAGTGGATTGAAGGGCAAACTAAGAGCATATGACGCTGGAGAGTCTGGAGATGAGCTTGACACAGAGTATGAAACGTAAGAACAGTCCTTGTATTACAGTCAATAGTATTTACACATTAAAAAATACTCCGATTTGGTGACTTTTTACGTAATAAACATCACATTTGTCTTACTCCCCCCTCCCTTAATACTTTGCTGTCTTCCTCTCAGTGAATATCCTCCCATCATTAATGAGCAGGAGAGACTCGAGTACAAGAGAGACTTTGACAGAGACCACATGGTGTACAAGCGTCTTCAGGCTGAACTAGATGATATTAATCAGGGTTTGGCAGATGCAGATCGAGAGCTCGACAGGCTAGAGGAAGGCAGCCCACAGTTCATGGTATGTAATTTAGGAGACAACAGTTGCCTTAAAGTTTAGATCTCCATCTTAATGAGTGTTATCATGCTGATTCAGCTAAATCTAAAACCTGCTTGTCTGTCACAATATTTTGCACTCTTCTGGTTATGCTTGGAAATGTCAACAATTTTTTCTACAGTACATTTATCATTCAGATATGTTGCATTAATGTATCTCTTTTTCCCTAAATAGGATGTCATGGATGAATACAACAGGCTCAAAAGTTTGAAGAAGGTAAACTTTTTATTTTACTTTTTTTTTTTGTATATTTACCCCCCGTAGGCTACATTTTGTTTGGAACAGTAATGAATTTTATATGTACCATCTGTTGAACAGCTCTTCGTAGTAAAGGCTTGTAATTTACAGTTAAAGTCAGGATTATTAGCCCTACTTTGATTTTTTTTTTTTTAATTAGTTTCCAAATTATGTTTAACAAAGCAAGCACATTTTCACAGTATGTCTGATAATATCTTTTATTTTATTTGTTTTATTTTAGCTAGAATAAAAGCTGTTTTCTTTTTTTTTTGTAAAAACATTTTAAGGTCAAAAGTATTATCCCCTTCAAGCTATATATTTTTGATAGTCTACAGGACATGCCTTATTACCCTAACCTGCCGAGTTAACCTAATTAACCTAATTAAGCCTTTAAATTTCACTTGAAGCTGTATTGAAGTGTCTTGAAAAAATATCTAGTCAAATATTATATACAGGGTTCATAGGGTCATGGAAAACCTGGAAAAGTCATGAAATTTTGACATGACATTTTCCAGGCCTGGAAAAGTTTTGGAAAAACAGAAAAACCCAAAAGGTTTTGTAAAAGTCATAGAAAATACATTTACATTAAATCATTTACCAGACATTTTTGTCCAAAGCGACTTAAGCTGCGGTCACACTAGAGCTTGGGCTTGCAAAATTCTGTCTGCTGCGAAAAGGAAAAGGGTTAAACCAAATGATTAGACATTAATAAAAGTGAGTGATTGCTCCATATTTTAAATTTCTTGTTTTAAATGGTCTTCTATTGGTCTTGCACAATCACCGGATGTGATTTCGCAGGTAAGAATTCACTTAGCTTAAACTTTCGTGTGCAGTGAAATGCGAAACACGTGCTTGAGTTTGTGATCTGCCGCATTCATATGCCTATGAATGGAAGTCTATGGTGTGACAACTGCAGTGTGATCGCGGTTTTTATAATAGAAGTGGTTTTACCAACTATTACTAATTAGTTTGACAAATTTTTGTATATTAGAATGGAGGTTGGTTGTTTTTACTTCTTTTCTTTTCTCTCACATTATTAGTGCTGTGTAAGCGTTATCTATTGTACAATAAAATAATTTGAAACTATTGCGTGTTTTATGATATGCTGTAATAAATTTAAAGGTTTCTTATGATTTATCACGTATGTAGACATTACATGAAACATTAGGTCATAAAAATTGACTTAAAAGTCCTGGAATAGTCATTGACATTTTGTAGAAAAAATACATATGAAACCTGTATATACTGTCATCATGTCAAAGATCAAATAAATCAGTTATTAGAAATTAGTTATGTTTAGAAATGTGTTGAAAAATCTTCTCTCTGTTAAGCAGAAATTGGGGGAAAAAATTAATAGGGGGCTAATAATTCTGACTTTAAGGTTATATGTGTAAATGCAAATTAAAATGCATATGTTTTTTCCTTTTTACAGTCTACAGACTATCAGATGAAGAAAAGAAAGTGTAAACAGCTGAAGTCAAAACTCTCCCTCATCAAAAGAAGGGTTAGCGACTACGACCACAGACAATAAAAACCTGGCGCTGGAAACTCAGCAAGGCATACGTGTTGGTTTTACAATTGGACTTTCTCACTTTTTGTGTATTCTGTATTAAGTATCTGCATCATCACTGTATTGTTATCAGGAAATGCATGTCTGCTGTTTGTATATTGAGAGGTTTGTGCTTTTGAGCCAATCTAAACATGATCAAAATGTGGTATCAGTGAAGTATTTTTAAAGCTAGTTTGTTGTCTGTTAACCTTTTTATATATCGTTCTAGTCATTTTAGCATCTTAAAAGCAATACTGACAACTTTTATTGCAGTTTTAGAGACTTTCAAGCAAAGACATTCAATGTTGTTTGTCAAACTGTTTCATTGAATGTTTTTTTAAATCTTATTTCAAATTTTCTGATTATAACCTGTCAAAGGATTGGCAATCTATTTGCTGATGATATTTTTAATTTAAGTACACACTTTAAGTATGGTCGTGAATTAAATGAGTTTTCTAGTTAATGCCAATTGCCTCCTTCGAATCTGCTGAGAATTCACTATTGAACAATTTTAATGTGGTAGGCAAACGGTGTTAAATGTACAGTGTATTTTTGATTGTATTTGTGTAAATAGAAAAATAAAGCTATACAGTTTCCAAATGTGTTTTGTATTTCTCATCTAATGGAATTAATCAAATGAGCAGCTAAACGCTAACAATAATGAAAAACATGAACTTCGATGATAATAAAATTAATGTACAATGCATTTGTCATTGCATTTGCGCACATAAAAATAAAGCTATTAAATTTCCAAATGTCTTCCTTTTATTATTTCACTATAATAAATACATTAACATTTCAGATTCAGCTAATAATGAGGAAGATGTAGGGCCTCCGGTTACCCGGAACTACTTTTTCTTTTTGTGTACCAGGGGACATGAAAAATTGACGTACAAAAGATGCACTAAAGTAAATACCGGTGAATCGCGTTGTTTTTGTAGTAGGCTACTAACATGTAGTAGGCTACGTATTAGTATTTCATTACTAAAAAATCCAGTTTATATGCATGCTCCTTTATTTGTTGTTATACGACTCGAACCTAAGAGTGTCTAGGAAGAGAACAGGCGCAGAAACCTCTTACAAAGTACTAGTCCTGTCTAGAATAACAGCATAACCCTCGAAATAAGTTACATCCTGTGAGAATTATAAACCATGGACGAAGAACCAGAAAGAACAAAACGCTGGGAAGGAGGATATGAACGAACATGGTGAGAGACGTTGAACTTTGTGTGTTAGCATAATTAACATTACATTAACTCGTACGTGTTTTCGTTATGTTCTGTTACGTTATTTTAATAAAGTCTAAACTGTATATTATTACCAGCACTATCATCTCTAAGTAATTGCACCGTTAAACAATCTCATATTAGTTTTAATTTTGTACAGTAACAAATAGCCTATGTAGCGTTTGTTTGGATTTTTCTCTGCTGTTTATGGTAGAATAAATAAATACACATATTAAAGTATTACTTATGTTGTTATTAACAAGTATTATACAGATCTCATACAAATTTAGGTTACATTGGTAACAAAAACTGCTGTATTTTTGGGTGGTAAGGGAACGATTGTACATCATTTTGTCATCAGAAGACTGCCATCAATTATAGGTAAAGTTGCTTTTATATTCACACAGTCGTAATTTCTCCTAATAATATAATTTCACAAAAAATAACAATTGCAAATACTAAATAGTGAAATCATATTATCAGCCAATGACTATTAAAGTCGAATATTGTTCACAGTCAAATAAATAGTGCTAGTGTTGTTTTCAGGTCATTCTTACATGTGATTTCAGAATATTCAAAGTACCATGGTAAACAATATAGGGAGTGTGTCACAAGTTGACACGGATCAAATGTGTGAATATAAAACAAACTTTACCTCAATTCATCCACTGGTGTTTAGACACATACAGTATGCTATAAAAACAGCTGGCATGTGTTTTTCTCAGGGAAGTGCTGAAGGAGGATGAGTCTGGGTCTCTCAAAGCTACTGTGGAGGACATTCTTTTCCAGGCAAAGAGGAAAAGGTGCAGCACTCAAATCTAGAATAAAAGCAGGGCTTCTGTGGGTTTTAAAAATGGTTAATTATTCCCTTTAACAATTCAAGCAGGGTATCTTAAATGTATTATATTTTAAAAACACAATTTATGGCCTTTAAAAGTCTTAAATTCATTGAAATATTGGGTAACACTTTATTTTGATGGTCCATTTGAGTGTTAGTTTGAGTGTTGTCTGCTTAATATCTGCTGATACTGCTATTTCAACAGACTTTTAACTGACTATAAGAAACTTTACAAGTACATGTTAACACACACTAACCCTAACTCCAACCCTATCCCCAACCTACAGTAACAGTCTACTTATAATCTAATGAGAATTAGTTGGCATGCAGATGTAATGTTACTGAAGTTCAACAAATGGACAGTTAAAATAAAGTGTGACCCAATACGGATTTGTATGTCTTAAATCGTTTCAAATAGGTATTAATTTTTCAATGTTCATGTAAAGCTCCCCAATCAGGCCAACATCAGTATACAGTATACAATGACAACACAACACATCTCAATAAAACTTTGAACAAAACAAAATTTAACAATATGGTTTCTCACAGTAACATTTGTTAGTTCTCCATGTGTTTGTAGACCATGTGGTGAGGACACCGACCTGGAAACACTGTTGTACATTAAGGTTATTATAGTTTTTAAAGCTTGCCAAGGAAAAATATGTATGGTTTGCTTATTTTGACACATTAATTAAGTATTATTTAAGTAATCAGATTTTTTTTTTAATGGGAGCAAGTTAAAATCCCTTAAAATTCTGAAAAAGGTTTTAAAAATATTAAATTTAACATGGCGAGACATGCAGAAACCCTCTTTAAGGCTCTAAAAGAAAGAGCAGAAGGTTTTACTATGTTCTTGTTTTAACACATTTTGTTACAGACAGCAATGTTAAGTCAAATCACCACAACGGTTCATCTTATTTTGAATATTCTCTTCAGCTCGTGTATATATCTGGCAATAACCCAGCAGGCACACAACATCATAAGATGTTAATATTAGGTTAGATTTAGGTCATGACGTCAGGTGACCAAAATTCAATTTCTAGCCAGTGTTTAAGGACAACGTTATGACTTCCAATAACAACGTCAAATTATGTTGATATTTGGTTGATTTTAGGTTGTGTTGGAAAGTGACCAATATCCAACATCTGATAGATGTCATAGTGGTTAACGTCCACACAACGTCAAGGTGCAACATGATCAGACGTTGATATTTGGTTGATTTTAAATCGAATTTAGGTTGGATGTTGGAGACTGACGTCGGCCTGATGTTGGGTTCTGACGTCAACTTGATTTTAATTTCTAAACTAAATCCAATGTCCCCATGACGTTGGGGTATATTGTCAATATGACGTCATTTTGATGTCGTGTGCCTGCGGGGAACAGACAGTTTATCTTTATATACCCTCAAAAAGCTCGCGCTAGCACACACACATTTTCTCCTTACGTATGCGCAGCTCATAAAACTTAACAAACAAGACCTGCCTCATGTAGTTTTGCTCCCATAGCAAAAAGCATCTTGATTTAAGAATTTTGCAATTGAAAAATTGCTTTATATTTTTAAGGGCAAATTAAAAATCACTGCAATATGATGATATTCTAGTATTTTTCACTCTTTCCTAGAAATGTGTGGAAAAAGTTACCTTTTACCTTCATAACACCGGCATCTCTGATAAATATCAGTTTTATCTGATTTTCTTGGTTTGATACAGTCTGTTTGTCTTATTGCAGAGTGTTTGAGAGTCATGGACAAGTTCGGCTTGGGATGGTAAAATACATTTTAAATTTACCCATGATTATATATATATATATATATATATATATATATATATATATATATATATATATATATATATATATCCTAACCATGCACATATTTTCCCCCAACCTAGATGCGGCACCTCTTTGTAATCATTGACTCTTCTAGATCAATGGAAGACCAAGACCTGAAGCCAAACAGACTGACCTCCACCCTGAAGGTTAGTATCGCTGCATCTATAGCGGAAGCCTAACGTTAAATAAAATGTGCCAGACTGATCTGTTTCTCTCTTTAGCTGATGGAGCATTTTGTGGAGGAATACTTTGACCAGAATCCAATCAGTCAGGTAATGTATTTGTCTCCATGTCTGTCTTTGAGAGTTAACAGTCTGTGTGGCTCCTGTTAACTGTACTTTATCACCAAAGATTGGGATCATTACCACCAAAAACAAGAGGGCGGAGAAGCTCACTGATCTTGCAGGTTGATGCATTTCTTTTATGTTTGCATATTTTGGAGATGTTATCAGTATAATCACACTGGTTTCCTCTCATAAGGGAACCCTAAGAAGCATATAACAGCTCTGAGGAAAGCTGTAGACTCCACATGTGTCGGGGAACCGTCCCTCTACAACTCTCTCAACATGGCTCTGCAGACTCTGAAGTCAGTCACACTTTCATCTGGGGCTCAAATGCAGTTGTGTTCTTGACTTTGCTGTAGAACTGGACCTGTTCCTGTTAAGCTGTATGCATAAAGTACTAGAAACAATAAACTAGAGCTGCATTGTTAATAATTAATAGATCACAATCTGTATTCACACCAGACTTTTGTCCAAATAACTACTGGACGGTATTAATATAATTTTTTTTTTTAACACATATTATCACAGAAGTATGGCCTAAAAGTTTAATAAAAAACAATCTGGTTAATCAGCTTTTAAACATTCTATCACATATTGTCATGCCAGTAATTCATGACATGTAACTGTAAAAAATGTAATTGTCATTAAATTATTCATTCCAGAGGCCCTTTCACAACTGCTGATTCATCCAGTAATGCTGTCTTTATAAGTCTTTGAAAGATTAGTTTAAGCAGATTTGAATGAATAACTCATTTAAATGAATTAAATGTTAAATTGTGGTGCCTGGGAGTGGACATAATCTTTCACTTACCTTTGTGGTGGCCATGACATATTAACCGAAGATCCTATGTTAAGCAAGTAGCATATTTTAATGATGACCAAAACTGCAGAATTAAAAGGGTGGTTCACCCAAAAATTCAATCATTTACTTACCTTTTACTTGTTAAAATTCAATTTGACTTTCCTTCTTATGCGAAAAGGAAGATATTTTGAAAAATGCTGGTTGCTGGCACCCATTGACTTCCACAGGAATATATGGAACCATGGAAGTCGATGGGTGCCAGAAACCTGCATTTTTTAAAATATCTTCTTTTGTTCCACATGAGGACGACTGAATGGTCAATTTAATTTTTTGGTGAACTATCCGTTTAAGAACTGGTTATATTAACATATGCTGGACTATTTATATAATATTGCTTGGAATGTACAGTATAGACTGAACTTAAAGTATTGTAGTTATCCATTTTCAGAACAAAATCTTGATTAAATAATTTGTATTACATGTTTTGCATGTTATTTACATCAGTAATTTATCTGTTTTTTTTAAGATTGTCTTGACAATTTAGGTGGTATGAGTGTTTCATGTCAGAATATACAGAAATACATAATCTATTATACAATCATCCATCAGCTAGTAATTCAAGTATTTTGTGAAGGGTAAAATTAACACAAAAAATACAAAAGTACAAATCTTTCAATATACATTCTCTAAAAATTCCAACAGAGGTTTTCAGATATTCGACATATCAGATGTCTGACGTAAGTCATAAGTCAATTTTTGATTCAGCCACATTTTGACTGCAGATAGAATACATTTCCTTATACACCTTATACATCAGGTGTAACACAAATTCTGAGGTGTTATTCAGCTTTAATAACTGGACAAGGGCAAAATGTTTACCAACAATCTTGTGAACTATCCCGAACTGTATCTGTTTTATTGCAGACACATGCCTGCTCACACAAGCAGAGAAGTGCTGGTTATTTTCAGCAGTCTTACTACCTGTGACCCAGGCAACATCTATGAGCTCATCAAAGTGAGTTTAATGACATTAATGACCACAGACGGTAATGATTATTAGGTATTGTTTAAAGTCTCTTTTTAATGCATCATCAACAGACTCTCAATGGTTTGAAGATCCGAGTGTCAGTGATTGGCCTGTCGGCAGAGGTTCGGGTGTGCACCATTCTCACAAGAGAAACCGGAGGTTAGTAGTCCCACTTTTATGCAGGAACACAGTTTATCATTAGTGTTTTTTCTGACTGTGTTTGGCCCAATAGGATCCTATAATGTGATACTGGATGAGAGTCATTTTAAAGAGCTGCTGCTTCTCCATGTGAAGCCTCCTCCTGCCAGCTCCTCCTCAGAGTGCTCCCTCATCCGCATGGGTATCATCACGTTCATTTACATCACGTTTGAAGTATTGTTGTTAGTGTATTGCTCTTCATTGCTAGCTGCAGGAATGATCAAATTCTATTTAAGGCAGGAGTGTTCTGCGGTTTTATTTTTAGCTATGCAATTAATTTAGTGTTTACAGGATTAGACCTGATTAGGGCTGCACAATATTGGAAAAAAAACTGACATTGCAATTTTTCATTTACCGTGACATACAGTGCTCATTATAAATGAGTAAACCCCGTTTTGAAAATGAATATTTCTCAGTGAATATAGATAATTTATTTTGCTGCATTTAAACAAAACAGATTTATTAAACAGATTTATTTATTAAAATAATATTTTAATCACAGAACATCTTTAGAAAAATAGAATAGAAATATAATATGTTTAAATTAATGTGAAATATTGCAAAAAAGAAGAATGCAAACTACTAAATTTCCATTTTTTTACGTATTTTTATTTTTCTTGATTTAGTTTTTTCTTTTTTTACATTTTTATTTTATATTTTCTCCTAACATATCATTTTTATCTACCAATTTAGCTCCAGATTTGGCTTCAGTACTGACTAATCTAATGTATATGCACAAATATGACATTGTAAAGCTTCCTATCGAAAATATTAATTCAGATAAGAGATTTGTGAGGGATGTACTAATATATGCTGAGCGATATCAATGCAATTTCACCAGATGACTTGAATAGCTTGTAAAGGATTCATAATTTTAGATCAATTGTGATGATTCTGTCGGTGAGTGTATCTGCATAAAAATAATCACAAACATGACAAGCAAAGTTAAATACAACAGATGCAAGTAAACTATGATTTATGATTTTCTGGTGAGTTTAACAGTATTCAAAAACAAATTAATCCCTGTATAATAATAATGATAATAATATTAATAACAACACTGTTCGGTTTTCATTGACTAAATGCTTACACAGTCACAGGCCTTTGAAACGCATGCTAATAATACACTTTTATGCTAAGGTTAAAATTTGAAATGACTCCATTTTGTTGTTAACTGTAATGTCTGGTCAATCATAATGCCAAATTCATTGCAGATTCCTGCAATGTGACTATTGTGGACTCGCACATTACGATATTGATGCAGATATATTGTGCAGCCCTAATTAACACTATTATACACCTGATTCATATTTGGAAAGTTCTGTATTAGTTTAAGCTACTATATGTAATATAGAATATATTGTTCTGCAATATATTTTCATTTGTTTAGGTTTTCCCCAGCATGTCATTGCGTCTCTGTCTGATCAGGATGCCAAGCCCTCATTCAGCATGGCGTGAGTACTTAATATTGATCTTTGATCATTTATGTTCAGTTTCATAATTATTCTTAATTTTTGATCATCTTTTTCTAATGTTTCTACTCTAATGTTTAGATTAACTAAACAGTAAAAAGTAATGTTATAAAATATTTTTACATTTAAATTGTAATATATTGTAAATTTTAGAAAATGTAATTTATTCCTCCCGATATAAACACTTTTTGAGTAGCCTCCAGTCTTCACTTGCTTCTTAATATTTTTTGTAAAAATTATAATAGATAGATTTTTTATGATAAATAGGAATATACATTTTTTTAATTAAAATCTGAATATAATATTTTATAAAATTGAATATATTATTTACATTTATTTAAAAAAAGCAATGGTGCCCCAGATTTTTTTTATTTATTTTGATTTAGTTTATTTTTTACATACAATCACATATCAATATGTACATACATAATTACGTACAAGTGAAATCAGAACTATTAGCCCCCCTTTAAATATTTTTTTCTTTTTAAAATTTCCCAAATGATTTTTAACAGAGCAAGGCAATTTTCACAGTATGTCTGATAATATTTTTTTCTTTTGGAGAAAGTCTTATTTGTTTTATTTTGGCTAGAATAAAAGCAGTTTTTAATTTTTTAAACCCATTTTAGGTAAAAATTAATAGCCTCTTTAAACTATAATTTTTCAATAGTCTACAGAACATACCATTGTTATATAATACCTTGCATAATTACCCTAACCTGCCTAGTTAAGCCTTTAAATGGCACTTTAAGCTGTATAGAAGTGTCTTGAAAATTTTCTAGTAAAATATTATTTAATGTCATCATGGCACAGATAAAATAAATCAGTTATTAGAAATTAGTTATTAAAAGTATTGTTTTGAAATGTGCTAAAAAAATTCTCTATTAAAAAGAAATTTGGGGAACAAAATAGATAGGGGGGCTAGTAATTCTGACTTCAACTGTATACAGCACGTAAACTTGCATGTAAAAAGAGGTGACAAACACAATATTTCTGTCTCTCTTCCAAGTACCATTCACTTAAATGGGGATGTCTTTATATTCCCTACATACCTGTATTTACCATATTAACTTTTCCTAACCCTTGCTGAAAATATCCGTTTTCATTCTCAACATAAATGTCAGTTTTTCCATTACATGAATTTCTTCAGTTACCTCACACCACTGCTTAAGTTTAAATGTTGAGTCTTTAAGCCAGTTCCTTGTTATAGTCTTTTTGCATGCCACAAGAACATTCATTTTCTTTTCGGCTTAGTCCCTTTATTAATCCGGGGTCACCACAGCGGAATGAACCGCCAACTTATCCAACACGTTTTTACACAGCAGATGCCCTTCCAGCCGCAACCCATCTCTGGGAAAACATCCACACACACACTCATACACAATGGAGCACCCGGAGGAAGCCCACACGAATGCAAGGAGAACATGCAAACTATACACAGAAATGCCAACTGACCCAGCCGAGGCTTAAACCAGCAAGCTTCTTGCTGTGAGGCGACAGCACTACCTACTGCGCCACTGCGTCGCCTGCCACAAGAACAATCTTACACAAATATTGGTCACCTCTAGGGACAATGTCCCATAAACAAAAATAATGCAGGCTTAGGAACTCTGTATCCAAACACCTCAGAAATAACAATCTGCACACATCATCTCAAAACGGTTGATTTCTAGATAGAGTTCTAAAATGATGATCGTATATTTGATCATGACTTGAAACAACAACAAAAAAATAACCGTAACTGTATTTTGTACCATATTATTAGACACCTTGACAGCAGTAGTGAGCCAGAACTCAGTCTGGGTGGATACTACTGTCCTCAGTGCAGAGCCAAGTACACAGAGCTGCCGGTGGAGTGTAAAGTGTGTGGTGGGTCCTCAATTCTTCAACATCCCTCTTCTTCAAGTGATCCTCCATGTGTTCAGTCCTCATTGTCTGTGTCTACTCTCTGGTGCAGGTCTGACTTTAGTCTCTGCTCCTCATTTGGCCCGTTCCTTCCACCACCTCTTCCCTCTGGAGGCCTTCCAGGAGACCCCGCTGGAGGAGTATGAGGGAGAGAGGTGAGCCACACACACTCTCTGAAGCACTCTTCCCTGAGCTATAATCCATTCAAGAGTGAGAGCGTTTCACAGGATATTGGACAAAACATGGTCTCCTTTAATGGTCTCACACAGTTGCATCAGTTTTACCCACATGTAAAACACATTTGCATTTACACTATCTACTAGGGATGTAACGGTATTGTAAATACCGTCATACCGCAATATTAATTTTTTTCGATATTACCGAAGTCGCATGACTCGGTAAAACTATAGGTCTTCTGAGAAAATTTGCTTAGGCGAATGAAGAGAACGGGAGGTAGCGAAAACTACAATACCCATCAGCCCATGCTTGACCATCATCCCTTGCGGTCTGTTGTCGCTACAGATCCAGTAATGCGGAAATGGAGTGTGCTGCTAGAAGCGGGGATGAAAAGAGCTGGAAAACTCTAAGGCCCCGTTTACACTAATGCGTTTTAGTTTGAAAACGCATAAGTTTTGCTACGGTTACGCCAACCGTCCACACTACGCCGGAGTTCTCGAGCGCCGAAAACGGAGCGTTTCGAAATGTGTGGATAATGTCTCAGTGTGGATAATGGAAAACGGAGACATCTGAAAACGGAGGCGGGGCTGCAGACGTTCGCCTCTCTGATTGGGGCTTTTCCTGAATATTAAGTAGCCTAACACACAGTTCAGTCTTGCATCCTCTCCTTGTAAGTTCAGACTTCGCAAGTTTGATCAAGGCTGCAGTCTCTTCTTCTCAGTTTGATATGGAAAAGCAGACTATACCGAGGACACGGATAAAATCTTCAAAGGGAACAGTGTACTTTATAACTTCATTCACATCACCCTGGCTTCGTTGTTTCACTTTATCAACAATAAAATGTAAACATGATTTAAGGAACTGCCTATTTTCATTTTAATATTAGCAACTTAGACAGCAGACATGTTGAGGCGTCGTGCTGCATAAGATGAGCGTCATCTTCACTGTGGATATTTATAACAAAACGGAGCCGATAACAACTGCCTCCTTTCAATTTCAGTGAAAATACGAAACACAGCCTCTCTTTTGCTGAGTATCAGTTTTAATAATCGATAATGGCCATTTTAAAAGTATAACATACAATAAGTTTATACATTATAGGAAATAAAGGCAAGCGATCAGTCAATATACAGAATGTACGTGGTTACATTAATCATTAACTTATCTTTGCGCTCAGCCAAAACACGTTACCTGAGAACAAGTAATAGATTCCAATGCCCAAAGTCAGGGAATATGTCGTTAAATAAAGACAACAAGATGAATGAAATATCCCGTTTAATAAATATAGTGAGATTAGATCCAGCGGTAGATCCTTGATGAGAAGTCCGACTAGCAGAGCTCTCATCTGTGTAGATGGGCTGAGTGTGATTAAATGTTGAATGTGATGAGTTTTCAACAATACTAAATTGAAACTTTATTGTTTTTACATGGTTTAATAATTTTTTGTTATTAAAATTGAAGTTCCTGTTTCAAAGCTTACAGATAGATGGCTAATTTGTATGTCATTGACACTTTTGGCACTTTTTTGGAGTATTTTCATAAGTTTTGTTTTTTCCTGTAAATGATTCAATAAATACCGTACCGTGACATTCATACCGAGGTATTACCGTACCGTGAAATTCTGATACCGTTACATCCCTACTATCTACAGTGGTGTAGATTTGGTATGGCCAGAGAGGACGTGTCCCCACCAATATCCTTCAACTACTGAAATGTCCCCACCAATAATTTAATTCACTTTTAAAAATTGAATGAAACACAGTGATGTATTGGTAGCCTTTTAGTACTCACCGATCAGCTTGAAAAGGAAGTAAATTATCGGACAGTAAAGGAGGATTTATTTCCGCAGGTTGATCCACTTCAGTTGTGTGCTGCTGGCCATAAGGGTTGTGATTGGTTGACATAATACACAGCAGACACATGTTTAAAAAAAAAAAAGATTTTTGGTTATTGGGTTTTGTAAATGAGTTTTAAAAAAAGAAAGATGTTTCAGACAACATTTTTTTTGTATTCTTGGTGCAAAGAATTATGGGAAAGATAGATGTCCATCACTTGTACCTTTTAAAGTGGACAGTTTTGAGCTCTTTAGTTTGAGCTTGTTTTTGTTTTCAGTATTGTGGCCAAAATTCACCTCATTCCAAGGTGTCTTTCTGGAAGGCAGATTTGTCCTGTTTGGAACGCTGTGACTGTGATCGGTGTGTCTCATTTCAGCCTAATTCATAACATTAATCTTTGTCTTTCCAGGTTCTGCGAAGCTTGCCAAGGAGAGTTGAAGGACAAAAGTGTACGTTTTCAATATCAGCTCTTTTGCATGTAAATGGTAAAAGGGACACTTCACCCAAAAATAAAAATGCTCTCAATATTTACTCACTCTCAAGTGGTTCCAAACCTTTAGCAATGAGTCAGAAACGGGTGCTCATCGACATTCATTGTAGAAAAAAACAAATACTATGGAAGATAATGGCCACCAGTTTCCAAAAATTTCAAAATATTTTTTGTGTTCAGAAGAACTCCAAACAGATTTGCAACTAGTAGAGTCAGTAAATGATAAAAAGAAAATAGAGAACTGACCTTGTGTGTATTTATTATTATTTTCAAATGAATTGAAGCTTGATTATTTTTTCCCCTCCACAGGTGTTTACTTGTCTAGCATGTAAAAAGGTGTTCTGTGTGGAATGTGACATCTTCATACACGACACACTGCACTGCTGTCCTGGCTGCATGCAGATTGACGGGACGTCCTGAGATCTGACCTGATGACAAATGTGAACGTCAGCAGTCCATATATAATCTGAAAGATATAGAAAATGAAGTGGAAGTAAGCAAACAGAGATTTACATTCTCACCGAATCGCAGTTTAAGGTACTGGACGGCAATGCTTGGGAGTAGTTGCCGTTGGCTTTCTGTTTACGTAAATCATTGTGTATGAAAGGGCGCCCCCTATGGGGAAAAAAGCGTCTTCGGACTCAAATGAAACAAGCCGACGAGGTTTTGGTAGTGCACACTTTTTCTAGTGTCCCATTCATTTTTTATAAAACCGTTGTGATAGACTTTAAACGCCAGCTCTTTCTAAATTTTGTACCTCACATGCCATGGGAATGTACTTGCCTATGCTTAGTGAATCACAAACAGACCTGTGGATATTTAAGTGGAAAATGTTTAAACAAATTAAAGTTTTTTTTGTTTATAACATTCCTTTGATTTGTATGGTTTATTAAAGTGATTGTTGCTGATATGTAAGTTTGAAGTGTTTATAATAAACTAGAGTTTATATTACATTATAAACAATGTCAGGAATACAGCTTCTGGGACTATTTTTTAAGTTTTGACAGAGGTTAAAAGTTGACAACATTTGATGCAAATCAAAAAAGTTTTTCAAAATTGTCCTTAGACAAGAATGGCTGTTGTCTAATAGCTGTAGGACAACTTTGATAAACTTTTGAACCACAGTTTACATACTGTTTAGAGATGTAGAGCACACACTTTATGTAACCCTGGATGACTAAACCAATCTTGTATTGCACGGCAACATTTCAAACCCAATCATTTTGCATGGGTCAAAACTATACATTTTTACGTCACGCCAAAAAAAAAATCAATAAAATAATATGATCGTGTTTCATTAAAATATTTTGTATAGACCATGTTGAGGGATGTAAAAAAAAAAAACAATGGTCCCAACATATTTCTTGTTTTACTTTTTTAATTTCTAGAGCCTCCGAGAATCCAGAGTCAAATACTGATACATAATGCTATGATAGCTGTTTTAACATTGTTATGATTATATTGCCTCTTGTTACAGTTATGAATTAGTTTGATAACAAGGAGGAAATGTTCATGGGCCAGTGACATGACCACAATGAAATGGTCTATATTATTAACTCAATTTTTGATTAGTAATGTGGATGGCTATTTAATGTAGACCGCTTTTAAAGGTGATTTTTCTCTTTATTTATCAACCTCTTAGATTCCAGATTTTCAAATTTTTGCATATTGTCTAAAATTGGTTTGGTCCTAACAGACTACATAAATGGAAAGCCTTTTAATTCACCTTTTATATGATGTATAAAACCAAAACCTGTACACAATCTCTTAGTTTTATCAGTTTTACCCACAATCTCATGCTTATTTTCTCATCTACATTATCATTACTGCATTTACACTAAACTATCTACATTTTCAAAAGAATTTATCAGTTTATAATTGGTGATTTAACAGTGAACAATAGTAATAAAAAATAAAGATTGTCATTGGTGCTACTACGCTCTACTGCTAGAGCTTCTTGACAGAAAGTAATTAAAGTGAAGCTAATTTTTGGGAGTTTTAGAAATCATTAGATACATTTTTGATGAGATATTATTAGATAGATTACATATTTATTGTTCATGGAATGTTTGAGAAATATTTATTTGGCCCACTAATTTATTTAAATTGGTAGATCTGAATGACCATGTAAAAAAAAACAATATTCAGAGAATTTGAACATTGTATAGGGGTTAAAGTGTTAATTGAGTAGTATTGACAAACTTAAAGCTATCACAAATGTAATCCAGTCCATATCAAAAGTTTATTTCATATATTAAAAGTTGGAGAGAAAAAAAATCTTAAATTAAACCTTTATAAGAAATGGTACAACTGTTTAATAATATTCACCCAATATTCACAAATTCAGAGACTTTTCAAACATTATTTTTCCTTTCTTATGAACTCCAGCATTCTAAATCGCAAGATAAAACTCATACACTCGTTTTGATAAACATTTACAGCAGAAGCAGATCACAGCTCTGTATTTTTTTGCTGGTCATAGTATCTGTGCAGCCAGGCCTTCAGCAGCGGCAAGTTCTTGTCCATCCAGCGAATGTTCTCTTCAATGTTCTCCACGGCCTGCTGAATGCACCTCAGTTCTGCTCCAGTCTCAGGCTGCAGCAAACTGAAGAAATTACGAACCTGACAAAGTACAGAAACACACTCCATGTAAAAAACATTTTTATTTTAGACTTATAAAATCTCCTACTTACTACAGTAATTTGTTTTTTAAAATATGCAAAAATACCAACCTCAGCCAGCATTTCTCTGGTCGAATACTGGTTGGTCACTCCTACTACCATGTGCGCTATAGAGTGTGAGCCGAGGTCAAACCTGTAAACAACATTTTGAAGTCATGAAAGGGCTCAGAAATATACCACAATTATGTGTCTAATGAAATGCGCATCTCACTTCTTAATCAGGGAGTCCCAGTTAGCTTGTAAAAAGTCCCATGCATGTTTGTATGCTTTGGGATTTCTACTGACTGAGGTCACCACATACGGCAGATCCTGAGTCTTGATCAGCTCTCCTTCCAAACTCTGCTCCATCATCCTGACACAAACAAAAGCATGACACTAGTTATGTATTCCTCTCATCTTGAAGACAATAGAGCCACCATTTTAGTACAGGGTAGTGCTCCTTACAATTAAACACAGGTGCAGTGGAGGACTGTGGCCATCCAGAGCCAGAGATATACCCATATATATGCATACATCTATTATCGGGAGTGTTCCCAGTCGTCAACATGCAAATATTTTTTTTGTAATTATGAAAATAATAATTTTTCATCATATTACCGCAAGGCTTGAAGCTTTCCCGTGGCTCTCAGCACACTTGTCACTGCTACCAAGGTGAAGGGTATGCAAACACGCGAAGGCAACGCAAGACTATACGCGAATGCTTGACGCAGAAGTATAAATCAGCCTTCATGGCGGATGGCTGCTTCTCAGTCAGGGCTGTCTATGCTAATGAGGGAGAGATCATCTATAATGGGTGTGGCTTTCCTTCTCTGATGACATGTACAAAAGGACAATGTCAATCAAAGTGTATCTGCAGACTGTTTTAATCAAGTGTCATTATAAAAATAGAATGAATTAATTTGAACCATTAGAGGCTGGATATATTTACACATTGTTGTCACACAACTGTTTAAACCCATAATAAAAGTTATTTTTACATGATAGACATAAGATAACTAACAGGTGCCGTGTTTTAGAGATGTTTAGACAACAAAATACCAATGTTTTACCCAGAAGAGGAATAACACTGAAAAAACATTTGCTACAGTCCCATTGTCAGTTTTTGTGAAACAAAAATGTTCAAAATGATGTGTGTCATACTTTAAAGAAATGTTCTTAAACCTTAACATTAAAAAATAAATATTAACATTTGAAACCCGTGCCTAACAAATATCCGAATGTCTCACCATTTGAGCTTGTGATCGAGTGGGCTGGTCATGAGCGCCTGCTTAATTCTGCTCTTCATCGAGACGTACATGGACTCCTTGTACTTCTCAAACAGGAAATCCCAGCCATCCTCAGTCCGGGCGCCAACAGAAAACACAGCCATAGTAACGTCATTAGGAAGACTAGAGAATGAAAAGATTAACTAATTAATTTCTCATTCATTTTCATCCGAAATTAATTGCTTTTGTTTGAACTTTTCAGTGTAGTGTGTTCATTGTTTAAAAAGGCGTTTGAGAAGATGAACCTCTGACCTCATGTTTCCATCCGAGTCCCTCCAGAGGTTGAAGAGCTGTGTGGCGTTGCTGACGCAGGGTGGATGTCCGCGCACACAGCCGAACAGCAGCAGGTAACTGCGCAGCATCCTCTCAGACACAGAGCCTTCATCTGTCCACAACTGCTGCTCGATCAGCTTCTGGAACAGCTGCAGGATGTAGCCCTGAGGAAAACTGCAAGCGTCAACAACATCTACAGCGCTGGGGCATTTTATACAATGGTCAAATTAAATTGCATAATAACAGGGATAATAAATTCTTGTAACGCACATCCTCAAGTTTCATGAAAATCTGTTAGACTCTTCTTAAAACTTTTTTTTTTTTTTAAATGGGGAGTGTTGTCTATGTACAAAAAGATGCAAACTAATAATTACTAAAAAGTGACAACATGATAATGTATATTGCTACAAAATACTTCTACTTCAAATACTGTTTTTAAGACCCCCCCCTCTTATGTTTTCAACACTAACAATGAGACGCCAAATAAACACCAGTTAATAATGTTCTAAGGCATTTTTGATTAAATAAAGGCAGACTAGGCATGAGCAGTAAAAGGCATCTGCCATAAACCTTTTAAAAATATACAACACTTTGTTTGAAAAAGATTCATTTTACAACTTCTTTATCCTAAAGTTAAACAGCTGAGCTTTACCAATATTGAACAGTCGATCTCTGGATCTGGCAGGAGAACTTTTAGCTTAGCTTAGCATAAATAATTTAATCTGATTAGACCAATAGCATCTCACTCAAAAAATTTAAAAACTAATTGACAAATTTCTGTAGTTACATCGTGTACTAAACCCGGTTTTACCGAAATTGCTATTTTCAAGCTGTAAATAAAGAAATTATCAAAACTTTTTTTTTTTTTTTTTTTTTTTTGAGCGAGATGCTTATGGTCTAATCCAATCATTTAAGCTAAGCTTAGCTAAAAGTGCTCCCACTACCGCCAGACCTAGAGATGACTAAATGTATTAAAAAGTGTGTTCCTTTAAAGCACAGGTGTCAATTCCAGTTCCTGGAGGGCTGGAGCTCTGCACAGTTTTGTTTCAACCCTAATTAAACACACCTGATCAAACTAATTAAGGTCTTTAGGCTTGTTTGAGACCTACAGGTAAGTGTGTTGAAGCAGGGTTGGAACCAAACTGTGCAGAGCTATGGTCCTCCAGAAACTGGATTTAACACCTGTGCTTTAAAGGGATAGTTCATCCAAAGCTGAAAATTATGTTACTTTCTCTGTTCTGTTGAACACAAAAGATGATCTATTTTGAAGAATCCTGTAACTACACTACCTGACAAAGGTCTTGTCGTTGATCTCAGTTTTAAGAGTAACTAATAATTACTTGACTTCTAGTTGATCATTTGGAAAAGTGGCAGAAGGTAGATGATTTCAATGAATCATCTGTTGAACATCTCAATCATCACAAATAGTACAGACTTATTGTAACTCACATGAACGCAAGATTCTCACAGAAATCAGTCAAGTTTGGTGATGAAAAAACATGATTTAGGGGTTACATTCAGTATTGGTAAATGTGAGAGACCTGCAGAGTGGATGGCAACATCATCAGCCTGAGTTATCAAGACATTTGTGCTGCCCATTATATTACAAACCACAGAAGTGGGGAAATTCTTCAGCTGGATAGCACTCCTCATAATTTAGCCTCCACATCAAAGTTGCTGAAAGCAAAAAAGGCCAAGGTGCTCCAGGATTGGCCAGCCCAGTCTGGAAACTTGAACATTATTGAGCATGTCTGGGGTAAGATGAAGGAGGAGGCATTGAAGATGAATCCAAAGAATCTTGATGAACTCTGGAAGTCCTGCAAGAAGGCTTTCTTTGCAATTCCAGATGATTTTATTAATAAATTATTTGAGTCATTGCAGAGATGTATGGATGCAGTCCACCAAGCTCATGGGAGTCATACACAATATTAATTCTTTTACCACTGCACCATGACTTTATATTCTAGACTGTACATTATTTCTGTTAAATGAAAATACTTTTGTCTAAGCAAAGTCAGACCACACTGTCCGTATTAAAAATCAAGGCTTGATCATATTTTATTTTGGTAAAATAAGCGTAATCTGCTTTTTATATAAGCCACTTCTGATACCAAATGATCAACTAGAAGTCAAGTTATTATTTGTTGTTCCTAAAACCAGGACTTTTGTCAGGTAGTGTATTGACTTTGATGGTATTTTTTTTCCAGCTATTGATGGTTACCGGTTTTCAACTTTCTTCAAAATATCTTCGTTTTGTGTAAATAAACTCATAAAAGGTTGGAACTACTTGAGGGTGAGTACATTTTCATTTTTGGGTGAACTATGGGTTACTTTGACACCACAGAGACTTTGCTACACAACTTTTACATTTCAGAAGCAAATTCAAACCAAAACTAAGCTGATCGAATGATGAAGCCTCAAGAATCATGGATTCCCAATCACTGACCTTCATCTGGTTCTCCAGCTCCACCATGTCTCTCTTCTCCATCAGTTTGTAGAGAGGCACAAGCTCATTGAAGCCCTGAGTCACTGGCATTATCTCTGTTTCTTTGCTTAAATACAAGGTCAGATCCAAAGCCTTATCCAGAGGAAGTTTGCCAACACTGTCCACAACACAAAAAGGAAGTGTGGACTGATTACTTTCCATTCTCTTTGTATGAGCTACATTGTGTTTTATCTGCTTGTTAGATTTCTGAAACATTGTATTTTGTGTCCAATGAGAGTGGACATGTGGATGCCTGAGGACTGACCTGACCAGCTGGAAGGCGTTGTTGATCAGACTGGCACGGTCGTTGCTGCTGAGCGCAGTGTGATTGTGTTTGAGCAGCGTAATGAGGTCATCCCAGCCTGAGCCCTCATAGTGCACAATGTAATATCCACTCATGTCCACATTAAACTTGATCCAGTCCACCTCCTCCGGCAGATACAGCACATCTGTGATCACAGTGTACAACAGATCTGTTAGAACTCGGTGCTACACTGAGAGAATTTTCAGCCGCACTGACATTTCCACTGTGCTGTTATTAAAAAAGTTTCTTTATTGGTATTGACGGTTCTGTGAAAAAAAATTAATATTCATACAATCTTTATATTCCCCAAAGACTCTTTGTAGTGGAAAATTATTAAAATATGAAAATATCATTTTGAACGAAATGTTGTTCTTCTAACAGAAATTAAATTCTTCTAAAACCCCAAATTGTTTTCCTATGGCAATCATGTGAAAAAGTTGTCCTCAGGAATCTTTATTCTTGAGTAAAAAATCATTTTGGTTTCCCCAAGAAAACATTTTCTTCTTTGATTTCTTCTTTTTTAATTAGTGTGAAGCATTTTTGTTAGCGTTTTTTACTGTAGTAACATTTTGTGTAGGCAGCACAAGGGCGCAGTGGATAGCATGATCGCCTCACAGCAAGAAGGTTGCTGGTTCGAGCCCCGGCTAGGTCATTTGGCATTTCTGTGTGGAGTTTTCATGTTCTCCCCCTGTTAGAGTGGGTTTCCTCCGGGTGCTTCGGTTTCCCCCACAGTCTAAAGATGTGGTATAGATGAAATTAATAAGCTTAATTGTCCGTATGTTTGTGAAAGAGTGTGTGTGGGTGTTTCCCAGTGATGGGTTGCAGCTGGAAGGGCATCCACTGCGTAAAACATAAGCTGGATAAGTTGACAGTTCATTCCGCTATGGCGACCACTGATTAATAAAGGGACTAAAGGCCGGCTCACACTGCAATTTTTTTTATAATCCTGAACGACTGTAGCATGTCAGACTGCACAAACATGGCTTCCATGTCACACTGTAAGATCTCAGCTGTCATAAAGTCAGAACGACAACAAAGATGCACAAAACACCAAAGAAAACACCCCTGGAGTTTTCATCCATCCCTGACACTTTCACTATCCCACGTTCTAAAATGATTCCTCACAGCAAACATAAACAATCTGTAGCGGCAATTTTCCACACGGTGAGTCTCAATAATAAAATCAGGAAGAAGAAAAAGTTTCCCCGCGGTCAGCGGTCATTTGAATTGTTGTATGGATTGCTTCAATTAGTTCTTGGATATACGCTTATGACAGCTGTTGTTACACGGCAGGAAAGTGTCTGAAATCAGAACTTCAAAAGAAAAATCTCATCTCAACTGACACGAAGCAGCTGTCAGTGAACATGTCAAACCAACGATCAAAGATCACAGATTTCAGCCTAGGATTTTAAGAATCTTTTGGGAATCGTTTAAGAATCTTTTTTCCCAAATTGGTTTCAGATGATAATATCGTGGCTGAAATCTCACAGTGTGAGCAGGGCTTTTGCCGAAAAAAAAAGAATAAATTGAATGAAAATTTTATGTAAAATACAAGTGCTGCGGCTGTTTAAGGTTCTTTATAGGACCACAGACTGCAATAAAGCACATATCATCATTACAAAACAAAGCTATTTTAACAAATACCTGTTTTGGTCTTTAGCAGAAAGCGGTGCACTGTTGTTGAGTCACTGGTAATATAAGTCAATGGCACCTGCCACAGGAAGCTATAACCAGCAAAATAACAACAATTAAATATATAAAAAAGGAAAATTAAGAGTGAAAATTACAAAGAAAAAAAAAACAGTAAAAAGTTGTAAGTACATTTTCCGCAACAAGGTAATTGTAAGTCATTTTTAGGAGCTTACAACTTGTAGTGACATTAGAGATAGTGACTGGTGATGCCATGCGGGCATGATGGACAAGTGTTTGTGAGAGATTTTACCTTGTAAATTATTTATTTATGGCCACTTACAAAGATATAAGTTTAAAACGTTGTGTGTGGAAAAAAAGTCAAAACTTGTGAGTGATTAAGATTGAAGTATTTGAGAATCATTATTCACTGCTGTCCTACAGTTTTAATATTTTCACCACACATCTTATTTCAACCAGAGATGCATCTTAACTGTGAGTGCATTTTTATCAATATAAACCTTAAGTTTATATTTAAGGCTTAAAACAAAGTAAAAACCTGGATGTTTGTGATAGGTCGTCACTCTTGAGGTAACGTTCTTGACTCAGCCTGACTTCCCGCCCTTTGACAGCTATGGTAATGAGAGGAAAGCCCTCCTGCAATGTCCACGTCTCCATCATAGCCTTAACATCCAGCTCATCCTCAGAGTGCCATTTCTAAAAGATATAGGATCACAGAAATGCATCATTACACCATTGAAAAAACACAGTAGAGTTTTAAGATTATTGATGTAACAGTAACTTACAGAAGCTCCAGTGTTTGAGGCTGAATGCCGACAGGACTCATCACCCTTCAGTCGGCCCTCATCCAGACCATCGGAATCACAAACCTACATCAGGTATTCAAACCTGTTAACACTCACTACACACAGATTTCATCATAAATTGTATGACATTTTGATCCTGTACTCTCAGGTGGATCTCCTGGCAGTTGGCAGGAAATGGAAATTTTAATAGACTTTTCTCCATATTTTAAAGCATGTCTAAGTTAAATGGCTTCTCAAACAAGATTGAATGTAGGTTCGCACTTGATTTTTTTTCTCAGATTGTACAAGAAGCACTGCATTAAATGACATTTTTCTCCGCCACGTCTTTGTAATATGAGCATTTATTTTACCCCAGTAAATCCAATGGAGCTTCTGTGCTAACCTGCCAATTCTGACGGACGCGTGTGAATAAACGGCTTTTTGTCTTGTTTTACACTTGAGCAACTAAATGAACGCCAAAGTTTATTTATTGAATGTATTTTAATTACATTACAACATTGATGCTGTAAAAGGAACCGTAAAAACTGGGAAAAAATTCACAAGAACAGGTCACCGGAAGTTTATCAGTATGGGAAAACACTAGTTTGGCATATACCTTTTTTATATTGTCGTCTACTGATATCTAGCCAATAAACTAGACCCTGTTTACACTAACATGTTTTAGCTTTAAAACAGCATTTTAGAATGAAAATGATTAGTGTCCACATTAGCTTTTCACCCAGCATTTAGGAGAAAACCCCAATCAGATAGACAAATGTCTGCAGCGCCGCCCCAGATGTCTCCGTTTTACCCCATCAACACTGAGACGGAGCAGCAGCGTTTTTAGAATGAAAACGGCCTCTCCAACGATCTGTTTTCGGGACTCAAAAACTCTGGCGTAGTGTGGACGGATAGAGTAAACGTAGCAAAACTTGTGCGTTTTAGAACTAAAACGTAGTAGCGTAAACGGGGCCTAGATAATCTGAAGACGACAGCAGAAAGTCAGGACAGCAGAGAAGATTAAAGGTGCCTCCTGCACACCCTACAAGATCTCTACATCTCCCAAGTGTGGAAAAGGGCTCAGAAAATCAGAGTACCCCTCACACCCAGCTCACTTTCTCATTGAATTTTTGTCAGCACAACAGAGCACTAAGCACCAAAACAGTCAGACACATGAACAGTTTTTTTTCCAAGACCATTTCCCATGTGAAACAACTTTAATTATCTGATATGAACATTGCACTCAACACAGGAAATTAATTAGTTTTCTTTTTAAAAATGCTATCGTTATTTATTCATGTCTTATGTTTGCACTGTGTGTACTTTTTGTACACTTTGTACAGGAAGCTTTAACCTATAACTGAGACAAATTCCTTGTGTGAGCAAGCACTAAATCTGATTATAAGAAATACTGTAATAGTTAAAAAAATTTTTTTTTATTGACAATATAGTAGGAATGTATGAAACACGAGTAACTTTCCAAGTCATTTACAAAACAAGCATTTTTTTGTGTATTGGTCAATGTAGCAAACTAGCTTGACCAAGTTGAACTGCATGCAAAATCTAAAGCAAAATCCTCAATTGCACGAATGAAAATGTCTAAGATTTCAAGATTAAATCAACAGTAGGAGTGTGCAATCTGTACTCACATTGGTCAGACTTTCCCACAGGTTACTATTGACTGTGTTCTGGTAGCTGTAGTGTTTTAGATACTTCACAATGCCCAACTTAAATATCTTTGGGGTCAGAAACTCTCTCAGCATGTTCAGAATACAAGCCCCCTGAAATGACAGTCACATTTTATTACAAGTTTTACTAGCAAGAAAAATGTGATTCAGTCAAAGTTTCATTATGCACCTTGTCATAGGAAACATCATCGAACATTTCCTGTATCTGAGCAGGGTTCTCCACTGGTGTGGACACTGGATGAGAAGAGCTTAAAGAGTCTACTTCCATGGCCTCGAAACACTTTCCTAGGAAATAATCCTCCTGTGGCACGAAAAAGATTGAAGTTTCATAGTAACATATTTGAATCCAGCACATGCTCAGGGCTTTTAAGACTGGAGTGTCAATTTAAAACTGAAAAATCAAAAGCTAAAATGTCTTCTGGTGTTTTTCATAAACTTACAACTTGCAGTTCAGGATTGGTGATGTTAACAGACACAAACTCCATGAACTTGGCAAAACCTTCGTTCAGCCACAGATCATTCCACCACTGCATGGTCACCAGATTACCAAACCACTGACAAGAACAAACATAAAAAGCATTTACTTATTAGTCACAGCAATACATATCAATCATAATCTAAAGAATGCAGATCTTTAATTTCATTAGTTCACCTGATGGGCCAGTTCATGAGCGATGATCATTGTGATTCCAAGCTTGTCAGAAGCAGAAGACTTGTGCGGGTCAAAAAGAAGGGCAGATTCCCGATAAGTGGTCAGACCCCAGTTCTCCATCGCTCCAGACTGAAAGTCTGGGATGGCGGCGAGATCTACAAAGCAGATTATATAAACACTGAATTCCTCCTTTGCATGTTTAATGGTTGGTTTTTCTGAAAATGAAAATAATGTCAGCATTCTGTAATGCCGAGTTCAGACTGCATGATTTTCAAACTAGTCGTGTCACAGATGTTTTCACACTGCATGACTATCTGGGATAGCGTTTCGTCGCTGCTTTGTTTACAATGCAAGATGGTTCGGCGACATGGACATTCACATTGCATGGCTTTACTATAGGGAGAATCGCAGACAACTTCGTCCAAACTACGTCTCACAGCCAAAAACATGTAGTATATCTTTTGTTATTAACTACATAATGAGAAAGAAGCCTTTAATGGGGTAGAACATGTACATGTTTGCTCACCTGGGTTTAAAGGGAATTAGCCATTTCTCCTCAACTTAAGTTGATAATAAACTAATTCCTTTCTGTATGAAACGTCAAACAGACACGGTTGCTCTTGAGTTGAGTCCTGTCAAACCTCCACTAGTTTTTCCTCCATTTCGTGGGTCCAAATAAACCGAAAAAGAGCGCTTTTAACTTCTCCCCCAGCCTCCCGCTGGCCTGCAGCAGGTATACACACACGCACACACAAGTGAAAGCTGCTCTCTCATTGGCAGTAGGCGATGGCTGATGTTATTTTCAGTCAAAACTCAATTCACACGGCATGATTTGAATCGCCGACAGCTCCAGATATTTAGCACGCCAAACATCTCACAGGCATCGGCGACTCATCTGCGATTCTCTCAGATCGCGTCTTTGATCGTTCATACTGTGTGATTGTCACTCACGTGCACGAGCAGCGATTTGCCTGTGATTTCAGGCATTTGTCGGCGATTTCTCAAAACCTGTCGGCGAGCCAAAATCGGGGCTAAAATCACGCAGTCTGAACTAGGCATAAGACTTGTATTAATCTTTGGAACATAAATTAATTAATGAAATATGATTTCATTCTTTTCATTGACAAATTGTTTACTAAAACATTTTAAAACTTTTAGAATGAAAAGAAATTATTTCCCTTTTATTTCCATATAAAGTTTGATCCGTGTGCATAAAACTCAACTACACTTGCTTAATGCACATAAACAAACCTCAAACGAAACCAAATTTGAAAGGTGTTAATGAATGTTTATATGTGAATAAAATTAACACTTTATGCATAAAGAAGTTCTGTTTCTTTAGAAGACTTTAAGATTAAACTTCTTGATTTAAATGGATTCAGTTTATAATCATTTTAAGAGCACGTTAAAATGTTAGAAGTACTAATGAAAGGACAAAGAGTTCTTGTTTGTGCTACACAAATGAATGAATGTAATATGGGCTTGGAACAACATGATTGTGAGTAAAGTAGACATAAAAGTCTAATATAAAAAGTAGACAACGTAAAGTATGTCCATGTGCAACTAACCCTGTTTGGGAAGAGGGTAAGGTATGTCAAAGTAGTCATCATAGAAGTCAAGCAACTTCACTGCAGCATCCAGAGCAAACTCGGCCTGGTCAATCTTCTCTGGCACAGCATACACTGAAATCTGAATTCACATCAAATAAGTGATATAGGCACCACAAATATGTTTGCAGTACAAGCAGGGCTTTATAATTAACTAAGTGATTAAAATAATTTGAGATGGATCAGTTTCTAACCTGGACTCCATGCTGACTTGTCTTGCTGATAGAGAGAAAGTCAGAGACAATGTAGGCCACCAGGTATGTGCTCATTTTTACGCTCACATCAAACTGATCCTCAAACAGGCCGTTTTTCAGCTCCAATGTTCTCAGCTGGATAGAAAAGAATAGGCTTAACAGAAGAATCCAAGTCTTCCCATGGCAGATTAATAGTTTATATCACACTATGATTTATTCAGGCTTTAGATAGAAAAGAGTTGAACTGATCAATAGTGATTCTATGGATATTACAGCACCTTAGGCATATTAGAGAGGGCAATGTGTTTTGCTTCTCTGCGAATCTGCACTGAAAAGTTTGCTTTGAAGGCAGGTTCATCAAAACAGGGAAAGGCGGCACGGGCACTGGTCGCCTCAAACTGTGTGGAAGCCACAACCCTGAAGAACAAGAAAATACAGATATCAGTTTATATAAAATGCAGCCGCTTCAGAATCATTTGGAGAGATGCTGGCTAAATCATAACTGAGGTTTCTCACCTGACATCTCCTTTACTGGTGCGGTATGTGCTTTTGTAAAATCCATGAAAGCTCTCAGAGAGGTTGGCAGCAAAATGCAGTTCTACTGAGTATACATGGCCTCTCTTTAACAGTGCTTTATCAGATACAAGTGCAATCTGCTGGAAGTATGGGTACTCTAGCACCTTTAGGGGCTGCTGCTGAGCTATATTTGCATCTAACAGTCTTGCACTTGAGATTTGAAGATTCTTGCTGTGCAATATGATAGTCTTGGTGTCTTGAAGCACCTCAATTTGAATCTGTACTGATCCAGTAAAATCTAAACTTGTGAGGTTAGGATGGATAAGGAGATTGTAATGAAGGGGAGATATCGTGTCTGGAAGTCTCATTTTGTTCCATGGGAATGGCTCTCCACTGCTTGAAATGGGAAATGAAGTGGGCTCTGGAGTGACAGCAGCCCAAAGGTGAATAGGCAGAACTATGAGGTTCAATAGCACAGGAAGGCGAGTCATGGTTGCCATGTAGCCTACTGCTTAGCAGCTCTGTGAAAGTGACAAAAATAGAGCATTTTAAACTCTGAAGTACAATACAAGATAATGAGTTAAAAATAAGGATAAACACATTTCTCTTTATGACTTATGTTTTCTCCTTGTTCTAAAACTAAAATAAAAGAAGCGTCAAACACAATGACACTGATTGATTCAACCAGAAGTCTTATTTCCGTGAATTGGTTCCTTTCAAATATATTTTCGTTACCACGTAATCATAAACCGTCCCAAACTTCCCAAAATATATGTTTTTGGTCGATTATGTTTTATTAATCATGTTTATCTGTTACATTTTAAATATCTGCTGTCATTCAAAAAGTCTAACTTAAATTAGCTGCAGACTCTTCTCAGAAATATAAATACCTGTTTGTTTCGTCGGCACGTTACTATAAGTTAATATAAACGCGTGTTCTTGTATCACTCGATTACAGTTCATTCGAAATGCTGTAGTAAATGCTAAACGCTATGAGCTCAACCTTATGTTAAGTATTACCAGTCAAAAACTCGGCTTGTTTAAGACGGCGGACACGTTAGCCATTATCATTTGGAACGAGACATTATATCGTTTGATCAAATTCGTCGTAACTTGTTCTATATTAGGAAACGGAGAGGTCTGTGTGATAAACACTGCGCGTGCCGTGCAATACGGAAAACCTAACGTCACCTGCTCTGAATTGTCACGTGTACGAGGCACAATTCAGATGTATCTTTATATTTCATAATACTTACGATTATGAACTACGACTTTGAATTAATGTCCTCGATCTGTTCAGAAAACGAGGCCAGTTATGATGCAGCTGAGCACGAATGTGAAAGTGAAAATATAATTCTTTAAGATTTGCATGATGGGAAGTCTGGGAAGTTTTTTTTTAAATTAAAGGCGCTATGCCAGCTGGGTAATTCGTATTAAACGAGGCAATTTAACAGGGCAATGAAAAAATAAATGCAGTAAATCAGTATGTGAGGTTGCATATGAGCTGGTAGGTGACATACACAAAGGCGCATGTTGCCAGATCCTCTCAGTTTGAGCGAAAGACACCGAAAACCGAAAATAGACACATTTTGATGTAAGTAAATAAGTTATTAACATTCAAAGTATTTGATAAAAACAAATTTCCCATAAGTTATTGAGAAAATGATATCCCTTATACATTTTGGATACGTTATTATTCATAGAAAATATATTTTCTATAATAGAAAAAAAAATAATAAAAACAATAATAAGACCTGAACATCCATAGAAAGTTCTGAGTATTGTTTATTTCTGTATCGGTTTGACTTTTTCATGCTAGTCATGAATTGTGTGTCTATGTGTTTAGAAACTCTTCATGCATTCACAATAAATGGTATTAAAATTTACATATACAGCTTAAGTGTGGCAGGAGTTAAAGTCCAACCTGACATTTCACTAAAATCATTAATGTGTAAACTTTATGGTTTAGGTAAATCCTTCTTATCAGGTAGGAATTTTGGATGAGCAGTCAGAATGACAAAACACTTACCTACATGCATATGGTCATAACATTTTCACATTTCATTTCATAACATTTCATTCACACCCTCCTCTCGCCACGGGCATTAATAGAGGAGGATAGAGCTGGTTGAACACATTAAGAGCTCTGACATCTTAACGTTATGCTTAAGGAGGTGCTATTGGGTGTTCTAGGAGGAGCAGCAGCTCTTACTGTAGGAATTCTACTGGGACACTTCGCCATTGAAAAGGGCAGTTCAGCACCAGAGTGGGTCCGGGATGCATCTCAAGATGTGGATGAAAGTATCATTAAGAAATTCCTTGCAGAACTGGACACCAATGAAATTAAAGAGAACCTCAGGTGAAGTATTAATACTGAGGCACATGACAGAATGATTAAATGAGCTTTGCAAGACCATTTCAGTAAATGGCGAACATTTCTATGTGATCTGTTTGTGGCTGTTTAATTTCCAGCTGAATTGAAAATTTACTTTTGTCTTTTGTGCAAAGGGAGCTGACTAAGGTTCCCCACATGGCCACCACCCCTGGAGATGAAGCAACTGTTGCGTTTATGCTGAAAAGGTGGCAAGACCCCAAAACAGGCTTGGACAGTGCATGGAGGGAGGACTACAAGGTGTATCTGTCATTTCCAAACAAGGATAATCCTAACAAAGTCTCTGTTGGTAAGAAATTGGTTAGAGAGTGGTGCAGTGGGTAGTGCTGTCTCCTCACAGCAAGAAGGTCGCTGGTTCAAGCTTCGGCTGGGTCAGTTGGCATTTCTGTATGGAGTTTGCATGTTCTCCCTGCGTTCGCGTGGGTTTCCTCTGGTGGCTCTGGTTGGGCTAAATTGTCCGTAGTGTATGTGTGTGAATGAGTGTGTATGGATGTATCCCAGAGATGGGTTGAAGCTGGAAGGGCATCCACTGCGTAAAACATGTGCTGAATAAGTTGGCGGTTTATTCCGCTGTGGCGACCCCAGATTAATAAAGGAACTAAGCTGAAAACAAAATGAATGAATTAATGAATGAATGATGGATGATGGAATTTAAATGACATATTATCCCAGAAATATGTTAAATGATGCATTAAAATATATTTTTTATTTAGTTGATCCAGAAAACCAGGTCCTATTTACAGCAAGAGAGAGAGAGAAAGCTTACAAACCTGAGCAGCAGGATCCAGAGGTGGTCCAGCCTTTCGCAGCTTATTCACCTGCAGGAAATGTCAAGGTGCCCATCATACATCTCTTTAAAAGATCATGAATTCTTACATATTATTCTTCAAAAATGACTAGCTTACAAATAAAAGCCATAGATTTCATTAGTAAAGAAGTGTAATGCAGTGTACACAGGTCAAAATTGTTGGGACAGTACATTTTGATAGTAAGTTAAAACAGGGAAGCCAATTATCTTCTTTTTACCATCACAGTTAATACAAAAATATATAACTGCACACTGATAACAAGAAATGTTTTTCAGTAAATTGAATTCCTGATGACGTAAAGATGCTGGAAATGTATTATAAGTGACATTTTAAAATATGTTATAATAGAAAACATATTTTAAACTGAATTATTATTTAACAATGTGTGACCCTAGAGCACAAAACAATGTTCCTCCTTAACTTGCACTGGTATATTTTTCACAATAGCCAAAAAAACATTGCATGGGTCAAATCGACTATCGATTTAACTTAAATGTTCCTTCAATTAAGTACAGATCATGTTCCATAAAGATTTTCCTCACTAAATGTCCTATTTTTGATTAGTAACATGCATTGCTGAGCACTTAATTTAGATAACCTTAAAGGTGATAAATGTTTAACCTCTGATTCCAGATTTCCAATTGTTGTATCTCAGAAAAATCATAACCATAACCAATAGTCCTAATGAAAACTTGAAAAATGTACAATGATGATTGGTTATGTGCTTCAAGGACACATATTATCACCTCTTAATTTTCCACAGTAACATAGTATATTAAATATTTACATTATTTACACAATTACATAAATCTTTTTAATATTGGATTATTAATTCCTTTTTTTGTCTCTAATAGCACAGTTTCCCCATATTATTATTTTTTAAAGACACCTTTGTATCATGTCAGAAAGTCACAAGATGAAGATGATTGCTTTTACTGCACTTGACGGTCTTAGAAAACATTGTGTAAGTGATGACCTTTGGGGCTATCAAGCCACTTCAAGTCCCTGTAGTAAAGTCATCCACAGAAACCTATTTGTTTCTTCTCTCACCAATGTTCCACTACTGACAGTTCAGACAAAGGTTTATAGTTAGGATTTCTTGCTATCACTAACTTCAAGCTGATAATCAGAAGCTGATAAGATTATGTAATTGTCAAACTGTGATGCGATCCAACACACTGACCCATCTGTGTTTTATATGCAGGGAAAACTTGTTTATGCAAACCAAGGTAAAATGAGTGACTACGAACTGTTAAACAGAACACTGGATCTGAGAGGAACCATCGCCATCACCAGATATGGAGGAGAAGGGAGATCTAAAAAAGTGAGAATACACCAGTCAAAAACATTCAGGACATTCATCAGGAAATGACAATTCATTTGATAACTGTTTTAGAGACTGCTTTGGGCCATATTAAGCCCAGTGTTGTGTAAGCTACTTCAAAAAAGTAACACCACTAATATCATATAGTAATACCTTTTAACTGCCTACTATACCAAATGGTTGACCCTTTTTAAATAATGGTTTTACACAGTATTTTTGGTTTACAAAAAATGTAACAAACATAATCCTGTTGCACTTCACTTGATTTTGCTTTTATTGTAAAAACAAATCTAGAAAACATGTTAAATGAGAATCTGAAATATTTTATGGCAATATTTTAAGATGATTTAGTATTCAAAAATGTTTTATTTTGTATATATATTTTGTATTTTTTTTTTTATAAATTGGTCCTACACCTAATATTTTCAGATTTTTCATAGTATATATGCATTAATTCCAGTACTTTTACCATAAACCCACATATCAACCATTTGGTGTAGGTTTATATTTTAGAAATTTAAAGGATGTGTGAAAAAAAAAAATGCATGGGTTAACTAGCGACATTAGGAGTTAAAAACTGCAGTCCAAACATGTTTTTCTTAGTGGGGCAGTTAAAGGGTTAAAACTGTATTTAAGTTACTTTTCTAATTACTTAGTCTAAAAAGTAATTTAATTAATTGATTCATTACATGCTTAAAATTATTAGAATTTTTAATGCATAGATCAGGTTACAGTTACAGCAACAGTAATTGGTTACTTTCTAACTAATTAAACACAACATTTTTGGTATTTTTTTGGTATTACAAAACTACTGTTGAAAATATGATCATTTAAAAAAAAAATTGCAGATGTCAAGGACATTAAAAGCACAAAAGGACATTTTTACAGCATGTCTGATTATATTTTTTCTACCACAGAAGTCTTATTTGTTTTATTTCAACAATAAAACAAATTACAAAATGTTGTTTTATTACAATAATGCCTATTTACACTAACCTGCCTAGTTAACCTAATTAAGCCTTTAAATGTCACAAAATGATTAGCCCCTGTAAGCTATATATTTTTTCAATTGTCTACAGAACAAACTATCGATACACAATAATATGCCTAATTACCCTATCCTGCCTTGTTAACCTATTTAGTTAAGCCTTCCAATGTCACTTTAAGCTGTATAGAAGTGTCTTAAAAATATCCAGTAAAATATTATGTACTGTCATCATGACAAAGATAAAATAAATCAGTTATTAGAAATCAGTTACTAAAACTATCATGATTAGAAATGTGTTGAAAAAATCTGCTCTCTGTTAAACAGAAATTAAACATGTTATTTTTAACTAGTTTAGTTTGCTCGACTCTTAATATATTGAATACATGAGCACATGTTTTACTCTCCCGTGTGGTGTGATTATAACAGGCTATAAATGGAGCCATGTTTGGAGTTGTTGGGGTTCTTGTCTATACTGAGCCGTACGACATTAATGACGGCCTGGTGTCAGAAAGTGAAACCTATCCTCACTCCTGGTACCTTCCTCCTTCTGGTGTTGAGCGAGGCTCATACAACATTGACTTTGGAGACTTGTTAACACCTTACCTAGCTGCAAAAGGTAACCAGAGCTTTTTAATGAATTGATTTGTTTTAAAATGTATTGCATTAAAGCACATATGTTATAAAAAAATACTATAGTAAATAAATAACTAAATGGTCTCTCTTGTAGAGGATACTTACAGAAGACCAAAAGAAGAAATAACAGGCATCCCACCAATTCCAACACAGCCGATAGGGTTTGAGGATGCTCAAAGATTAATCTGGTAAGTGTTTCTTTCTTTTCATCTCTCATGTTTTTGAATGTTTTCTTCCCATTCTGATTGAATTATTCACAACAGTGAGCTTGATGGGGAAGATGCACCTGCAGGATGGCAAGGCGCATTTGACTGCACATATAAACTCGGCGGACCAGGATTCAAAGCCACGTCTTCCTTCACCAACAGGTAAACACATCTTACAATGTTCTAACAAATATAGTTATGTATTGGATGACTTTATTGTTAGTTATAATGGTAATAATGTTTTGTTCTGTCCTTTAGCACTGTGCATTTGGACACTTATAACATTGAGAAAATAGAAAACTCAGCTAATGTTATGGGAGTGATCCGAGGCAGTGTAGAGCCAGGTAGGTTGAGCAAAATACCTGTGCTGATTTTGCACAGTTCCTTGAAATTACTTAGACACTCTAGTCTTAAATAAATGCCTTAAATGTTTCTCGAACACCAAATGGACATGATGATTTGAAGGATTATGTTACAGTGAATGCCAGACACATTTCTGTTGACAATTTTCAGGAATGAATAGCATTTTAAATATATGAAAATTATAGTTCATTTGAACAATATTTTACATTATTACTGATTTGTTTTTTTAATCGCATTAACATAACCTTAGTGAAGAATTTTGTATTTGATTTTTTGGCAAAAACATTACCAAATACATTTCATATTTCAAATATTTTTTGGATGTTTGTTGTTCAGACAGGTATGTGATTTATGGAAACCACAGGGACAGTTGGGTGCACGGAGCCATTGACCCCAGCAGTGGCACCGCAGTGATGCTGGAGATCACCAGAGTGCTGGGAAAGATGGTAAAGGAAGGTGAGGCCACTTAAGACATCCAAAGAAAAAATCAATTTCACCATCATCAATCATCAAATTAATGCTAACACAAAGGTATAATAAAATAAACTTTGGAATTAGAATTAAAACGGTTTGCAGTTTCATCATAAACCGAGGAACACTTTAGAGTTATGTTAATATATTAAGTGTTTGTTTATTTAAAATCCACTTTAAACACAGTCACTGTGGATTGGTCAGTTTGCTTGGTACCTCTCTTTGTGTGGTGGTGTACTTGTGATGCGGTGCACTTTTCTCGAATGTTTACCTTTGAAAACATCTGAAAACATTTCTGAAATGTACAACAAAACGTACCCTAAAGGCTCCTGTTTACTTCAAACAAACTGATGTCAAACGTCATTCCGAACAGAACCAAGCTGAAACAAAGCTCTTTTGATTCATTTCAGCAATTCGGATCAGTTCACAAAAGCAAATTTCATTTCAAAGTTCATTTGGGCTTCTGAACACCTTTAAGCTGCCATTGGTTAAAAGCGATTGTGTAATAGGTGGGTGTGTTCTGTAACTCAGCCTTCTTTGACATGCAATCTCCTCCACCTGATTCGTTTGCCCACTCACTCGCAGAGAAATTTTAAAGACGAGGAGGGGGTCTCACACCAGATGAAAAGCCCATTATCAATTTTTATGAGTTTGCACACACTGGCAGTGCCATTCGGTGTCTGTCCACAATAATTAGAAGACAATGTATAGATGTGTTGCACTGCGGTGGCATTTCTCATGGAGTGTCACTTCTGTTTGCCAAAGGTGAAACATTGTTGTGTTAAGGAGTACATACAAGCAGCAAGACACATTTACAACCCCGCCTGCTGCAGCACCAGGCTGTCACAAACAGCATTCTATCACTAATAATTTTTTTAACTTCTATTTGACCTGAAAAACTAAGAACGAATAAAAACTTAGTTTAAAGTATATTAGGCCTTGCATGACGCATTTCAGATGCTAAAATACAAACAGCGGCCTCTAGTGGATTTGTCATCTGAAACATGCAGACAAACATACATGGAGCAACTCCATTTTTTTACATTTTCATTTTACATTTTAAAAAAAATTTTTTTTTCTACATTACAAATGCAGGCTGAGGCATTTCCAATGAGCCTGGGCTGACTTTGAGACAGGACAGCTTGTTTTAGCTCTTTCAGAATCAGCGCTTTGTTTTGGAAGTCAGCAACTCAATTTAGTTTTATGTTTGAAAATATTTACATTTACAAAAAGCTCTATTTTATATGGCCAACGAAATTAATTCTGCAATTGCAATAAAGAGGAAAGATTTAGCAATGCTTATAGTGTGATGAAGCAAAAAAAAAAAAAGAATCCAACACTAATTCTCTACCTGAAAGGGAAATGGCGACCTCGGCGGTCCATTATCTTTGGCAGTTGGGGAGCTGAAGAATTTGGCCTTATCGGATCTGCAGAATACACAGAGGTTTGTTAATAATCACACCAACTGATGTGCTACAAATTGGAATTAGAGTTAAGAAAAGATTGTACTGTATATGTGTTGAAAGTATTCTTCATTCGCAGGAGTACTTCAGTAAGCTGAGTGAGCGCACCGTGGCCTACATCAACGTGGACATCTCAGTGTTTGGTATGACTCTTTTCGTCAGATTATAACTTTGATCCTGATGTGTTCGCACTGCTGAAATGTTCTTTGTCCACAACAGCTAATGCCACTCTCAGAGCCTCAGCTTCTCCAGCAGCACAGAGTGTGCTTTTTACCGCCTCCAAACAGGTGAGGAACAAACCCCCAATCTGTTCTCTTAGCTGAAATGTGATTTTAACATCCTTCATGAGGCTTTGACCAGTCCTGTGCTTTCAGGTTGATGCTCCCGGGACAACCATGTCAGTCTATGACAACTGGATACGGTATTACAACAGAACCAGTCCAAATTATGGGATTATACCTAAGTATGCTCTTAATTTTATTCAGTACCACCTCATAGTTCAGCTTTTAATACACCAGTTAACCACAGGTCATTTTATACTGTTAATTCACATTGTATTTAATTAATATTTGAACAATATTAATATTTATATTATTAATATTATATATTAATATAATATTAATATATATTGTCACGTTATAATTAAAAGGTTCTCTGACATTTTTGTCAAAATTGAGTTATTGACATATTCTTATTAAATGACAACATATTTACATTATGTGATGTGTTTTATAATTTGTTTACATTTTAAGACTTTTTATTTAAAAAACAAATATTACACACATTGTTTGCAATAAAATGCAAAAACTTTGAAGCTCAATATCTCAAAATCAGTCAGAATAGAACCTTATAATTCCAAGGTGATGATATATATATATATATATATATATATATATATATATATATATATATATATATATATATATATATATATATATATATATATATACTATATTGTTATTCACAATTATTTGTCCCCCCTTAAACTTTTACTTTATTTTTTTATATTTTTCAAATTTTTATGTCTGAAAATATTTTTTCTTCTGGAGAAAATCTAATTAGTTTTATTTTGGCTAAAATAAAAGCAGTTTTTTTTAAAAAGCAAAATTTATTAGCCCTTTTAAGCTATATATTTTTTTCAATAGTCTACAAAACAGACCATCATTATCCAAAAAACTAATTACCCTAACCTGCCTAGTTAACCTAATAAATCTTTAAATGTCACTTTAAGCTTTACAGAAGTGTCTTGAAAAATATCTAGTTAAATATTCATCAGAGCAAAGTTAAAATAAATCACAGAAGTGAAGTTTATTTATAAACTAATTTTGTGAGGATCACATGCTTATGATTGCTAGCGCTGGCCCTGCATTTATCCAATTTATCATTCACCAATCAGACGACTCCTTAGCCTCTAGAAATGCTCTAGGTTTCATACCAAGTCATCTTCGCTTTGAAGAATCCCCCTTTCACCACTACTTCTCCTCCTTTCATAGATGGGTGGCACGGTGGCCCTGTAGTTAGCACTGTTGCCTCACAGCAAGAACATCTTTGGTTCTGGTCATAACCAAACTAGCCAATGTTTTCGTGCAGAGTTTGTACATTCTCCCTGTGCTTGTGTGGGAATCCCCCGAGTCTCCCAGTTTCCTCTCACCGTCCAAAAACATGCAACTTAGGTTAATTGACTAATCCAAATCAGCACCATTAACATACACTTAGTAAGTAGTTATCTCTTAAGAGCAATCACTATCTCTTTATTATACAGCAGGGGAGTTCTTGAGTTCTACCTGAGCTCAAACTGCACTCTCGCCTTGCAACATGAGGGAACCCCAGGCTCGAGGATCTTTTGAGCTCTCTCCCTGGACAGCATGCCAAACAAGCTTTATAATCAATCATCAGCTAAGTGTGAAATTTGGGGGAAAAAATAAACAGGGGGGCTAATAATTCTGACTTTAACTGTATGTTTATTTTTACCCCTACATTGTAAAAGATATCCATAATTTAACAGATTTCGATATTTTGTGATTGTTGGTGTTTTCCATTTATTTAGGCTCAATGCTTAATTATGCTTATGCTTATTAATTAATGCATTATGGGATATTGATCTTTCCTCCAACAACTTTTGCTTTTGAAAAAGTGACTTTTATTGACATTTCTAATAGTTTGAACGGAAGTGATGTATTGTCTGGGTTGGTGTTGTAAATTAGGATACAAAAAAAAAAAAAAAAAGATAATAAACTGCCAGCACTTTTTCAGTTATTTTAAGGAGTTCATTCAATTCATATAATTTTTTTATACAATCGATTGTTTCAAATGACTAAAAGTTCAATAAAAGTCAGTCCATTAAACTGCAGAGTTTTCAATATCAAGGGCTGACAGAGCTGAGATATAAAGGTTCAGTCCCATAATGCAACTCATAATCGTAAAAAAAAGAAAACATCCGTGAATTAAAAAATATGAAAACTGTTATTAAACAGATATTTTTACAATGTAATATGATCGCTAAGCATCTAGCCATAATCTTTCACTCTGCATTATGGCAATGCAATGTGTGTTAAAAAGGCACAAAAGTTCAGATCTATCCCCACTTCTAAATTACGATTTAAATTTTCTTCATTTTCCTTCGACTTAGTTCCTTTATTCATCAGGGGTTGCCACAGCGGAATGAACCACCAACTTATCCAGCATATGTTTTAATGCAGCGGATGCCCTTTCAGCTGTAAACCATTACTGCGAAACACCCATGCACTCTCAGGTTGACACACAAAGACATACAAAATGGCCAATTTAGTTCATCCAGTTCACCTGTACCACATGTCTTTGGACTGTGGTGGAAACTGGAGCATCCGGAGGAAACCCACATGAATACAGGACGTTCTTTGGCAACAGTGCTACCGTGTCGCCATGAGTATCACCATGATTTGAACAATTACATTTTTAAGTTATTTTAATAATATATGAATTATTTTACCAGGGATTAAAAGCAATGTTTAGAATGATGATAAACTGGGTTGTTTAAACACAAAGGAAAAGCTCTAGTGTGATTAAAGCACCATAATAATAAAAGTAATATTTCTGAAACTCTTCAATGTGTTTGCAGTGTGGGCTTCTTGACAGGAGCTGGAAGTGATTACGCTGCTTTTATACACTACCTTGGAATAACGTCTATGGATATCTCCTATTATTATGACCAGGTATGTCGTCAGCGTGATGCCGTCAAGTATATTGAATTTGAATTATTGATGGATTATTGAATGGGATAGCCCCTTGGGATGAATCATCTCATTTTCGAGGTGGTCCCTAAAAAGTTCACAAATCAAACAGAGAAAAAAAGCTGAGTAATAATAACAAGATTCTCATTGCAGAGCAAAACAAGAGCACGCATCTACCCAGCCTACCACACGGCTTATGACACTTTTGACTATGCATCTACATACATTGATCCAGGTGAACTGAATACAGAGGCTCTCAAATGAGACATTCAATTATTACTATTATAATACTTATAAATATTATAACAAAGTAGCTAGTTTTAAGATGCTCTTTTTAAGATGACATTTTTAGATTCTTGATCATTCTAATGTTTATAATTTATTATTTTTCTATGTTGAATCCTTGTATTTTATTGCATGTTTGATTATAAATAAAATGTATTTTTTAAATATTATTACTATTATAATCCATTATGAAAGCAATGATCAGAAGTGTAGTAACCATTTTTGTGGCTGTGATTACTGTTTGTAAACTGGTTTTACTACAAATTTGATGGTTAAATTATTCTTAGTGTAACAATTTGGGATTACAATTTTTGAATACATTTTGTTTGTTTTATTTGTAATAAAACCATTATTAATTTTCATAAGGGACATAAGTTTAAAGGAAATTTATTATCAGCCTGTTGCATTTAAAAATTTGCATTATGCAGGTTTCACCAGTCATCAGGCAGTCGCGAGGACAGCAGGGAATGTGCTGCTGCGATTGGCTGACAGTCTCCTGCTGCCCTTTAACTGCAGCGACTATGCAGAAAGTCTGGAGCAGTACTTCGCGCAGGCGGTCACAGCCTTTGAGGCCAAACTTGCGGCTAAAGCAATCTCTATGGGTAAGCTAACAAGATTCGCCAGATTAGTTTTGGCTGAGGAAATGTCTTGCTTTTTCCTAAAAGCAATTGATAGACGTATTTGACATAGTCACAATGAGAATATTTCTCCCCATTCCAGAATCCTTGAAGAAAGCTGTGCAGTTTTTCCGTGACACTGCAACTAAATTGGATCGTTTGATCAGGGATTCAGATCTTGTAAAAGAAACGTAAGTTAACCCTGTGAAGACTGACATATAAAAGATTTTTCAATGACCATAATTCACAAGATTCACATTTGCCAAGCGAACCGCGGTAACTGGGCAAACGAAACAAGTCTAGGTGTGAAAGCACCCTAAAAGTCTCATAGCACATTAAACTGACAAGACTTTAAAGCACAAACATATGTTGTTAAGGAGTAATTGAGGTGCCAGCTGAAAAGGTTCTGCCCACGTCTAAAAAGAGGGCGGGGAACAACAGCTCATTTAAATTTAAAGACATCTGTGTGTTTTTGCTTAACTCAAGCAGGTACATTTAAAATATACTATAATAAATTATATCTATTTTTTTTTAACAGAAACCTAACTGACACATTATTTCTTGTAAAAAGAGTGAAATATGATACTTATAAAGCTTTTATAGGATTTTTTTGTGAAGTACCCCACCTGATGGCTTTTATAGCTAATATATTATGAAAATGGTGAAGTAGTCGCACTTATTTGACAATTTTTTACTAAAGAGGCCAATAATTATTTTAATAACTACAGTGTGCTTTTAAATGCATGATCAAATCTCTGTAGCGTTAATTCTGAGCAGCAAAACATTTAATGCAGAGTAAGGTAATGATGATTAAAAAAGATGCCAATACTACTATCTTAAAAGCCATCATATTTAATACATTTAACATGATTTTTTAAAAGAAAAATCACGTAATCAAGTTATCTTACACACACAGGCACACTAAAAGGCCTTTTACTTGTTTAAAAAAAGACAGAAGCTATGCACTAGATTTTTGATCATGCGAATAATATTTAGAGACTTTAGACATTTGTTTCTCTTGGTTATATAGTGTTAAATCAATATAAAATAACTCGCTCTGAAGTCAAGAGTGCAAAACAGATGGCATAAACATAAGTTCTGTCTTCACAACAGGCCCCTGAAGGCTCGTCGCATTAATGACCAGCTCATGCTGTTGGACAGGGCTTTCCTTGACCCGTTAGCATTCCCTGACAAATACGCTTTCAGGTATGAAGCAGCATCATTAAAACATTTTTCTCCTAACGATTGGCCCTTTATGAACATTAATCACCACCCTCTATTTGTTCATGCTGTTGTCACACCTGATCATCGTCACCTCTACGCTCCCTGGCATCACGCAGGCATGTGATTTGGGCATCGAGGTCATCAAGTGTGGCCACTTTCCCCGGCCTGGCAGATGCAGTGGAGAAGGCAGAGAGCAGTGGGCTAAAGGAAGACTGGGATCAGGCTCATAAACAATTATCTATCGTCACACAAGCCATTGCAGGAGCTGCACACACACTGGATGATGTGATTTAACGTACACTAAACAATAGACTTTATAAGAGCACTCTACTTTTTTTTTTTGGTAAATAGGCTCATTTTACAAGTCCCTTAAAGTTAAACCAGTGGTATCCAAACTCGATCCTGAAGGGCTGGTGTCCTCAGATTTTAGCTCCAACTTGTCTCAACACACCTGCAAGGATGTTTCTAGAAAGCCTAGTAAGAGCTTGATTAGCTAGCCCAGGTGTGTCTGATTAGGGTTGGAACTAAAGCACACTGCACTTTTCTCTCCATAGACTTCCATTCATACGCACGTGAATGCTTCAGACCAGAAACGTAAGGTTGTGCGGAAAGTTTTGTAGTTCGCTGCTTTGGAAAGTTCAAGCTTGATGAACTCTGACCTGCGAAATGATTGTGTGAGACCAATCAAGGATTAAAACATGACCTCTCTGGACTGAAATTTAAAACATGAATCAATCGCAAAGTTTTTTAATGTCCAATCATCTTTTTTAATCCCACCCCCTTTCAAAGCGCCGTGACTGCGGCATTCATTTTGCAGGCCACCGGACACCTCTGAGTTAAACATTTGGGATTTACATTTTTGGAATCTATTCAAGCAATCTCTGGATCTAGCAGGAGCACTTAGCTTAGCTTAGAATAAATCATTGAATCGGATTAGACCATTAGCATTAAAAAAAAATAATAATTTTGATCATTATCATATTTAAAACTTGACACTTTTTTGTAGTTACCCTGTACTAAGACCAACAGAAAATAAAAGGTTGCTATTATCTAGGTCACAGGTGTCAAACTCAGTTCCAAAAGGGCCGCAGCGCTGCACAGTTTAGTTCCAACCCTAATTAAACACACCTGTTCAAACTAATTGAGTCCTTCAGGCTTGTTTGAAACCTACAGGTTAGTGTGTTGGAGCAGGGTTGGAACTAAACTGTGCAGGGCTTCGGCCCTCCAGGAATTGAGTTTGACACCCCTGATCTAGGTCAATATGGCTATAGGAACTATATTCTCATTCTGGCGTAATAATCAAGGGACTTTGTTGTCGGAATGCAGTTCCAAGCCATATCAGCCTAGAAAATAGCAACTTTTTAATTTTTATTTTGAAATGAGCCTATTTCCAAAAAAATGAAGTGTTCCTTTACCATCCAGAAAGGAAGATATAATATATTAAATCAGCTATTTGAGTTGTTCAACAGCCTGAGGATGTACACAGGGAGTGTAAATCTTTGTTTCATGTAAAAATGTATTTTTAAAAATATATATATTTCTAGAAGATAACAATTGTTAGGAATATCATTCCCAGGAGAACTATTCTATTCTAACTATTCTTAGTGCACTATTATGGAGGATGAAACCTGCAAAAACAATAAATAAATACGCAAATATATGAATAAATGAGTAAATAAATCCATAAATTCCTGCATAAATAAAACAATAAATAAACAAATAAATAAATAAATCCACAAATTTCTGCATACATATATTAATAATTAATAGTGTGGGCAGGAAAATAATTAGATAAATTACACAAATGTTGGAGGAGTAAGAAAATGCTAAACTGAAATTTTATTTTTCCCTCCTTTCAAACGTTTATTCCTCAGGTCAACATGCTAATGACAGGGTGTCTCAATCATCAGAAGCCAGTCAAAAAAAAATCAAATGCAAAAATTTTCTAATGAGCAACTAATTATGGCATGAAGACCACCTTCTGCTGGTTGACAGACAGCATCTCATTAGCATGTTGAACTCAGGAAAAGAAAATACGCAACTACATTCTCCAACTGAATGAATAAACGGACCAGGGGGGCCAAGTCAGAGCACTCACTCTGGTCCCCTGTGCGGGTTGGGGAAATTCTAAATTGAATCAGAACACTCCATAACAATTGGCTTAAGATTTTCAAGCTAAATTCGGGACATTGCAACATGCGGATCCTGGGAATAAAAAAAAAAAAAAAGAAGAAGAAATAAACATTTAAAATAAACTTTCAGTTTAGCAATTTCATATTGCCCCAACATTTGTGTAATTCATTCATTAATTATTTTTGTATTTTTTTATGCAGAAATTTGTAGATTTTGTATACAATTATTTATTTGTGTGCATAACTTTATTTATGCATAAATTTCTGTATTTAATTACTCATTTATTCATATATTTACATAATTATTTATTCATTCATTGTTTTTGCAGGTTTGGGCCTCCTTACACCATGAAACAGAATGGTAAAAAAAAGACTATTTTAGTAAATTCATTATCTGCCTTGAGCATTGACAGTGCATTCTGTATTAAAATGGATAATAATAAGGAGCCTTAATTCCCAATATGTGAAATGAAATATTCCCTGATTCACAAGAGTCTCTGAAAACATTTTTTTTCTTTAAGAATTTGGGACATTTAATTCAGAGAAAGTGTGAATTCAGTGTAGATCATTCTTAGGATTTTTAAAAACAAATTAAGAAGCAGTTTTTTTTTCATCAGTACACTAAAAGTCAATGGGTTTCAAAACGAAACAACGACAAACAAAATCAGCATGTGCCTTCAATTAGATAAATAAACCCACACAGAATGAACTCATTTCAGGCATGATTTATTGAAAACACACCAAAGTGATACTCTACAAACCTGTATTTTTTTTTTCTTTTACAAGAGCAATTCTCTCTTCTGGGTATTAGTAAAATTGACAATACATTCGGTCACTGTGGCATTGTTCTGGAGCGCTAGGAAAGCATTAACAACTATATAATCAAACCTTTTTAATGTCTCTATCTTTTAAAAGTGTATAATACAATGTAATACAAGGCAAAACCCATCACCAGTCTAGACTACATTGAGAACACAGAGTGAGTGACAGTGTGAGGAGCCAGAGACAGGAGTGTGTGTGTGTGTTTGTGTGTGTTTGCTTGCATGTAAAAGAGACAGAGAGGGGACCAATATAACATATAAAACACACTATTCGTCTTCATCTAACATGGAAAAAGGTTAAGGCACATGATAGTTACAAACACTTTTGCTACCAAGTTGTACACATACTGAGTTTTGATGCTCTGAATTAGTGATGTCTACATAGGTTCCTCTTGAATCCATTTAAAATTTTTTTTTCTATAAATATACAATGTGATGCAAATTCACACTCCGGGAACTTCTTGTACTACACGATACCAAAATCCTTTGGTTGTTTTCTGCGAAAAAGGCAGTCGGGAACAGACAATTCAATTATTAATAATGATTCTACAAAAGGCTAAAAGTCTGGATGTGAACGCTTTTCAGATTTCCAAAATTAACGGTATTACACACAGTTACTTTGTTATTAAGAGTTTCTGTTAGATCACTATGGAAAAAAACACTTGCTACAGAAAGTTATACAGTAACGTGATGGAAATCAGATGAGAAAGCAGATGCTAGATTCGAAGAAACAATCATTTGTCGTTCTTATATTAGTTTGATGCGGTTATGAGTATGAAAAACACTGGATTTCTTTTAATCGACATTTGGAGAATTTACAATTACGCAAATCTAAACAAACGAATATTAAAAAACACGTCATGCTTTGTTTGTTACACGCATTTTTTGATGAAGTGAAAATATTTTGGCTTGCATAAAAGCTGAAATGAAAGGAAGCCTCTATCCCTGATTCCTCATCATTCCTGACCAAATTCTGTAAGCCAGTCAGACCTGTCTGAACACGTTGTTTTCCAATTATATCAAAAGAAAATTGAAAATAAGGGTAACACTTTATTTTGATGGTCCATTTGAGTATTAGTAGACTAGTATATCTGTTGATACTGCTCCTTCAACAGACATTTCAATGACTATAAAAAACTCCAACCCCAACCGAACAGTCTACTTATAATGTAATGAGAATTAGTTGGCATGTAGATGCAATGTAACTTAAATTCAAGAAAGGGACCATTAAAATAAAGTGTGACAAAAACAAGCATCTCAGCTCAACAAAACAAGATGTACAAAATATAAATAGACAATGAAATCGACTCTACAAACTTTTGATGCACGTTTACCGAAAGCAATGATCTTTTTATTATTTTATTATTAAGAAATTGTATACAAACATGGCCATGCTTTATGAATACGTAATACTGAATGTGCTGTTATGGATTCACATCTATGATGTTATGAAGAATTGTTTTGTTTTTATTCGTGTAACCTAATATACATTTATAAAACAACAAAAATAGAAAATGTTTTGAAAATCTAACTTTTTTTTTTTTTAGGAGCAAATGAATCCTCCTACTGTCCCCACAATCTACATATTAACAAATAGAATTTTTATTGATTTTGTTTTCATCGTTACCCCTTGTTAAATAAACTAAAGCATAAGCTGGTAAGTGCCAGTGTTGCCCAGCATGCCTCTGGGAATTAAGCAGACCAAATCCATGTGAAAACCAGCAGCTCTCCTCCGTTTAGTAAATAAAACAAAAAAAACCCGCTTTTCAACAACAGTCCTCAGTGAGAAGAAACAAACACAGTGATAATATGTCTTCAAACTTGCTTTATAAAGCCAGCACACAGAAATTGCAAAAGCGTGCATTTTAATATAGACCCCCAGACTTTGTATGTGCCCCCAAACCGTCGAAACGGACAACAGCAACAAGAACAACAACAGAAAAGAAACCCTTCTTTTTTTTCCTCCTTTCACAAATGTCCTCAATCTTTCTAGAAAACCCAAAATTTTGCTAAAAATTAAACTCGAACGAAAAAAAAATTCACAATTCACTGCACTTCTGGGGGAAAAAAAATCCACAAAACAAACAGTAATCAGGCAGAAACGGACAACAAAAATAATATAGGCAAAAATTATATATATATATATTTTTGTTTTGACATAAAAATAGTTTTTTTTTTTTCTCTGATATCCTCTTCACCCCTCAATCCAGCACACGTCCACGTCCACGACAGCACTTTCTGTATATTCACTCAATCCATCTGTCCATCTGTCCATCATTCCGGCTAATCCTTAGTTCTGGGAAACACTACATCCAGTGGGAATGTACACATGAGAAGTGGCTTCTTTTTCTTTTCACTTGTTGAGAAATCTCAAAATATTGGCTGTTGAATGAAAGTCTCTCGCTCTTTCAGGTAAAAGTCTTGAGATGAGTCCACATCACGGTGAGCTCTGCGGTTAATGGCAGTGGTGACTCGTGGTAAAGATGTAGCGCTGTTGCTAGCTAAGCCTGTAGCGGAGAGGGCAAAACCACACATATCAGACCGCACTGTCAGACTACATAAAAAAAAATCTTCTAGCCAGAGATGTTCTTATGATGAAAAGTAAAAAAAACTAACAGATCTATAGATGTAGCATTTTTGATGTTTAATAGACATCTAAACAAAGACATCTAAATATAGAGCTAAAACTAGGCTTAATCTGGGTTTTAACAATAGTACAATCTAGACTAGTCATAAACAGAAATCAATGACTATGTTAAGTTTGTCTAATATGTGATGACTAGTCTAATATTGCACTATTTTTAGACGTCTATTAGATTTACGTCTATTTAACACAAATTTGCTTGGTGAGAAGGCATAGAGGTGTTTTATACAGCAGAGTTAAGGATGCTAACATTGATAAAGCTCAATGATAAACATAAATGGCAGACTCACTTAGGGCAAGTATTAAAGTGTATAGTTATAATTGTACATTCTGGATAATAAACTGTATAAAGTCACCTTAATGCCTATTCAGAAGGAGCTCTGTTTTAAGATAATGGATATGAAAGAGAGCTTGATGATTAAATGATGGATGATTTTTATAAAAGGAGATTTTTTCTGCATTATTTTCTAGATTGAAACTATACAGTCAAATATATGAAGACAAGTAACATGGTAACATTCCACCAAATTTGCTTTGTTGAATGACAAACAACAGCTATGCTGAAATGTTCATGGCAATTTGAAATGATCATGGTTTCCTGTTCCAGATAGAGTATGGGATGAAAAATGTGAGGGTAAGCAGATATTTGCCAAGCATGAATGTGGAAAATGAATAGATGATAGCGATGCTAACCCAAAGAGTTAAGTGCACTCTATTTCAGTCCTTTTTGTCCACTTTTCACAGCACATCAATGTAAACTACAGTATACTAGATGCCAGTACACTATAGTTTAAAAGTCTAATCAAAAGAGATACTTCTTAAGAGATCTTTTCTGAGATTCTGTTTTTTAGGCAGACTCTGAATCATTTATTGTTAATAATAATAATAATAATAATAATAATAATACATGTGATAGTACTGTAGAAGTAGAATGTTATATAAAATATAGAGATTTTTAAAATCTGAATATTTACTAGATTTAAAGTGGTTAACGTGACTGGTTTTAGATGTTTTCACACTTGTAGATTTGATTTCTTTAAAAATTCTTGACTAAACATAAATATGCAAAAAAAAAAAGAAAAAAAAAAGTGACTTTGAAGACAAAAAAAAAAACAAAAAAAACAAACCTAGTCCTTTTCAAGGTTGCATCTTGTGACAACTAGGCATGGGACGATAACCATTTTTAAGGTATACTGCGGTTTAGAAAAGTCAAGGTTTTAAAAATTTTCCAATATACCATTCCTAAGGTATGTGTACGATTTCTTATTTATATTTTTCGTTTTTTAGGACAAGTTTTAAAAAGAAATCTGTGTTTTTGAAACTAATGAAGACAGCAGAAGTCAATGACTCATTTGAATAATTTAGCCTGACATGTTTACTTCTCCAAAATATTATAAATGTTTCTTAAAATAAAATATATTGTGTTCAAAGGGGAATAAAGTTGTAGTTTTTTACCCAGACATTTAAAAAGAGGTTAATTTAGGGCAGTAATCACAATACTGTGAAACCGTGATATTTTTATCCAAGGTTATCATACCGAATCTTATACCGGGCCATGCCTAGTGACATCATGCCATGTTTTTAGTTTCTTTAGATGTGTTTGGTTTGTATTGCGTTCATATTTTAGTCAAACTGGGGTGTGTATCCAAAAACCATTGTTAGCTAACCAAGCTAGCAAGTTCCGTCGATACAAACTTAGTTAGTTTATTTGCCGTTTCCCAAACCAATCATTCTGATGAACATTCGCAAACTGCATCGCAAACTTTCACGCATGCAACTACCTCTAGAGCTGTAGTTAGAAGCATAGTTCCTGGCTGTGTTCTATTTCCATCTCCCCTATGCCCTATTCCTTTCGAACATTCCAACATTTAAACTCAGAATGATTAAAAACAGCATTAAAGTCATCTCTCTTAGGTGTAATTTGCTTTTAAAGTATTTTACAGTTCAGTTTTAGCCATCTTCATTGACAATTACGTTCCCTTCGTAGTGCACTTTGAAAATATTTATGCCATTTTGAATGCAGCCGTGGCTCATGACGAAAGCTATAGGTGACCTAATAATGTTTTGTCTCCAAAGCTTGTGAAAACAAAAAACATAGCATACGTTAATGCTTTTAATTTATAGTAGGTTATTTATTAAGTATCTGTACGCTATATGACATGGGCCTGTTAGTTAGCATATTTCTGCAGTGGCTTAAATTTGTCAAATTGTAAAAGTAGACATTTTAAAAAAGAAAAAAGAAATAAACAATACCCTACATTAATAATAATAATAATAATAATAATAATCATCATCATCATCATCATCATCATTAGGATAAGTAGGATTTTTAAATTTTCTTAATAAGTTCATGTAAATTACAACCATTAACGATTTAAATGATTTATATATGATATTAGAATATGATTTAGCTTTTTGTAAGTGATTTCATGTTTTAGAATAAAATTATAGAATCTTCAATATTCTCAATAATATTGGTAAAGGACACATGGGCCCTAAATGTGCCATTTACATATATTTCAATTGATATGAAAAACTGGTGCATGTTTTTACTGATACTTATATATATATATATATATATATTTTTTTTTTTATGTGCGTGCGTTTAAAACAATATAATTTGCACAAAAGAATGATGGGGCTTTCACTAAAGTTGTTATGGGCGTTTTATGTTACAACTAACGTGGTTCAAACGATGGATCTGCTACAAAGCAGCTACAGTTTTGGGAAACACTCGTCACTACATTGTTTATTTCCCAAACGATGCATCGTACTGTGATAGTTTAGCCGTGAGTTATGTCGTTGTATGGTAAAAGCTACCCTGCACAAGAGTTTGTTTGCAGGCGGACCAAGGCCCATCTTTTCAGTGGTCTCATTCCAATTGTTTTATGCTCACTAGGGTTCAGATAGCAGGGATCACACTTATTAAAATGAACCATAGTAACTAAGTAATCACACCATAGTTTATTTTAGTCAAACCAAACTTGCCAAATGTGAAAATGTCTAGCCAATGCACTACTCTGGGTTAAGCAGAGCAAATGATAATGAAAGGTGGGTGTTATTTCATAAAGAAGATGAGGATGAGACAAAAGCAATACTAAAAACGTCCAGCAGCTCATTAAGACCTACCATGCATGCATTTAGACCCAGGAGTCAACAGGCTGAGGTTTAACATCACAAGCATCCACCAGACTGACAGTCGGCCTGTTGCTCCTGATATAGTGTTTCCTATTTGTGTCATTCTGCAAAGGGGTTCAAATCAGCAAAACCAAGAGTTCAAACACACAGAGAAAGCCAGAGTTAGTCCTCGCAACAGAGAAGCTCAAAGGGAAAAGAAACAGAATAGAAGAGAAAGTTCATTTAAGTGAACAGAACACATGCAGAAACATTTCAAAAACAACAAAACTTTAGTCAGGTTTACTTAAAGGCATAGTTTACCCAAAATAAACATTGTCATCATTTACTCACTTTTTAGTCGCTCTGTCTGAGTTTTTTCTTATGTTGAAGGCAAAAGAAGATATTTTGAAAGGTTTTGGAAACCATTGACTTCCATAGGATTTGTTATTTTTATGCTATGGACATCAACATTCTTCAAAATATCTTCTTTTGTGTTTCTTGTTAAAAAAATTGGCTGCACAATATTGAAAAAACTGACATGATTTTTGGATTTTCTGCAATTTATACAGTATTGTGATATAAATACAACTTATTAATAATAAAAAAAAATACATACAGCGCTCGGCATAATTGAGCACACCCCGTTTCAAATAATTATTTTTTATCAATTTCTCAGTGAATACAGGCAATGTATTTTGGTTTTTAAAAATACCAGAGGTGCCCAAAGTAGGGCCCGTGGTAACCTTTGGTTTGGCCCACCATCTCATCTGAAAACAGAGCAAAAATTATGGGGAGTTGATTGGGGCAAATTTCGATTTGAATGTAACATTTTGTTTCATGGTTTAATTAGGAGCAACAGAAAAGCCTATTAAAGTTAAATATTTAATTTAAATGTTGTAAATTAGTCAGAATTTTAACATGTATACTGTAAAAAATTTGACCTTAAATTTACAGTAAATTACTGGCTAATAATTGCATTACTTTCACAGTAAATTACTGTATGTAAATTCACAGTAAATTATTGTGAGGTAGTTCACAGTAATTTACTGTGGTTTTGTCACATTAAATTATTGTGAAATTACAACCATATATTGTAACTTTACAGTAGATAATAAAGTCCGTTACTGTGATTTCTCAGTATTATCTTGTAGAATAAACTATAATTTTATAAATATTGTCACTTGACAGATGCACAAGACATCAGTGAGCAAATCAAAGCAAAGGCAGGAACAGCTTGACTCAGCATTGAACTTCAATGTGTTATAAATGGGATTGTTCATTATAAAATGTAAAACAAACTGTACTGCATCATTATTTGATATGTTTTAAAGCAATGTTTTTTTTTTTTTTGTTATTTTTAAATAATATGGTAATAAATAAGAAATTACCCATGGTAAATTTTGGCTCACAGCCCTCAATCAAGTTTGGTTTTTGGCCTTTAATAAGAAACAGTTTGAGCGCCACTGGTTTAAACAAAACAGATTTATGAAACAGATATATTTATTAAAGTAATCATTTAGTCATCAAACATATTTAAAAATTGAAAGATAATACAAATAAATTCAAGCAAAATATTGCAAAACAAAATAAATTAACCTACAAAAATGTTTTCAATTTTTTTCTTCTCTTGATTTCTCCTCTTTATTAAATTTGTATTTAATATTTTTCTATAACATATAAATTTGGGTGTACTAGTTTTTGGACCATTATAGTAAGTTATTTTGTTAGATAAGCTCCAGATTTGAATGAATTTAAATGACAGATTTGTGAGGGGTCTACTCATGTATGCTGAGCGCTATATTAATTGAATATTCTCAGTTGTAAAGAACTGATTATTTTAGAGGATGATTTTGTAAGTAAGTGCATCTGCATAATTTCCATGCATAGATAAATATAATTAATCAAAGTTACAAATGAAATAAAAAAGTGCTTTACAGTCATAGTTTTCAGGCAAATACTGAATAATCAAATGTAAAATAACACCATAGTCTTCATTGTATGAATAAATAAACATAATTAATCATTGTCAAAGCTATTATGATGAAAATGAGCTATCACTCATATAAATGATGTGTTCTGAACTGTCAATTATAACCTAGACTAAACGTTGCAGATCCTGCGATGTGACTTTGGACCCTTTTCACAAGACGCGTTTGATGGTCATCATAATTTCATATCTTTGATTTTAAAAAAAAAACGTATCAATATTTAAATGCATTTATGGATGTATTAAATCATCTTTGCATCAAATTACCAAAAACGAATTACGGCTTATGCAAGGTGTTTCTAATGCAGTGTCTACGGGGGCTGAGAGTAAATTTGATGTTATTCTCTCCTCTGGCTGCCGTCATCCGTCTCACACTATTTTAGACCTTTTTCTGACAGTCTTGATAACACCATCACAGCATTTTTTATTATTTCAGCAAATTGGACGGTAAAAAAAATATTTGTTGTACTCTCCCCTCTCCCATTCACTGTGCTTTTACCCAACTGTGACGCCTTCCTCAACTGAGAAACCTGGAAATGTCTATTAAAAATGCACACATTACAATAGCAATGCCAAAACGATATATTGTGCAGCCCTACTTGGAACCACTAGAAAGTGAGTAAATGGTATTTATTTTTTGGTGACCTTATACCTTTAAGCCAACACAAGCATGCTGTGCCAACAAGGACCTCTAGAGGGAGCAACTTCATTGTATTAATATTAAAATAACAGTTACTGCCAAATATTTCTACAACAGAAAATAATAAATCTGTTTGTTTTGACAGAAATCTGAATTCGTCATCACTTCTATTAAATCTTTTAAAAAACCTAACAAAGAAATAGTGCAGGCAGCTGCTGAGGGATACAAAGGCCTGTCACAATGCTGAGACGGACTACAGATGGTGCGGGAGTGTAGTAGTCAATAATACAGTGTCTATGAACAGACTCAACACACAGCTGAGCCTGTCGTACGTAAGCAGACACACAGTAAAGTGAATCAGCCTCACGCTGGGCTGTGATAACACTACTAATGTGAGATGACTTCATATTAAGTCAAGAGGGAGTAAGAAAACTCAATCTGCTGCTACAGAGACCTTAAATGTGCAAGTCGACCTCTTCTGCAGATGCCAGGCCCCAAACACTTTACTAAAGGTGAATTTCACCAAACATTGAGGATATTTGTAAGCACCAAAACAAACACGTCAGTAAACCCAAAGCTTGCACATTTTTGATATCTCCAGTATCATTACTTGACATGCCCCTTACTGGTGATTGTCTGTAAGTGTGTTCTGGGGTCTGACATCATGGTAAAAAGTATTATTCTTATATTTTCATTAATGACTTTAAATTCTCAAATCTGTCTTTTAATGATTAACTTAAGTACAAAATGTAGCTATAATGAGGAGAAGCCAAGTTTATCTTCTTAAATCCACAGATGTGTGACCCTGGGCCACAAAACCATATCACAAATAACATACATGATATAACACATATAATAAATTAGCCTCCCATTGAAGCATACTTTGTTAGGATAAGATTATATTTGACTAATACAGCTATTTGAAAATCTGGAATCTGAGGGTTAAAAAAATCTACTGATAAAGTACTGAGAAAATTGCCTTTAAAGTTGTGCAAATGAAGCTTTAAGAAATGGGCGTTACTATTAAAAAAATGTTTATTTGCAGAAGAAAATTTACCAAAATTATTCATGGGACATAATCTTTACTTAAAGGAACACTCCACCTTTTTAATTTTTTAAAAGTCTAATTTTACAAGCCTTTAACAGAAAAACAGTTGACTTGAATCATTTCTGGTTCAGCTGATTTCTTGTTCTGGCAGGGTCACTTTTAGCTTAGCTTAGTATTATGAACAGAATTTGTCCATCAGCAATTTGTTCAAAATATAAAAAAAGAGTTTTGATAATTTCCCTTTTTTTCAGCTTAAGTCTTCTGTAGTAACTTTGTGTAATTAAAAAAAAAATATATATATATATTTTACACAACATTTTTAGGGGAATATCACTAAGAACTATACTCTCATTCTAGTGCAATGGTCAAGAAACTGCTGCTGTACCATGGCTGCACCAGGCGGAGTGATATTACGCAGCACTTGAGAACTGGTTCTTTTAGAGGGCACTTTAAATTAAAACTCTTTTTGAACAAAATGCTTATGGTCAAATTCAATTCAGTTCATTATGGTAAGCTAAGTTAAACAATACCCCGCAAAACAAGTAATCGACTGAATGATTCAAAAATGGTTCAAGTCAAATGTTTAACTCTTGGATGCTTGTAATATTATTCATTCATTCATCTTTCTTCGACGTATTCCCTTATTTATCAGGGTTTGCCACAATGGAATGAACCACCTCTTGTAAAATGTACCTTTTTTAAAAAATGTGAAGTGTTCCTTTAATATTCTAATGATTTTTGCCATAAAATAAAAATTTATAATTTTGATGTATTTTGTCAATAGCCAAAGATATACTAACATAATACACCAACATAAGACTATATCAATGCAATACCAACAAACGTGATCCAATTCATATATTATATTATATTATATTATATTATATTATATTATATTATATTATATTATATTATATTATATTATATGTTATTTTATTTATTAAATTATATTTATTATATTATAATGTAATTTTATATTTTATTATTTTATATTTATTATATTATAATATATTATGTTATTTTATTTTATTTATTATATTATATTTATTATATTATATTATATTATATTATATTATATTATATTATATTATATTATATTATATATTATATTATATTATATTATATTATATTATATTATATTATATTATATCATATCATATTATATTATATTATATTATGTTATTTTATTTATTATATTATATTTATTATATTATATTATATTATATTATATTATATTATATTATATTATATTATATCATATTATATTATATTATATTATATTATATTATATTATATTATATTATGTTATTATATTTATTATATTATATTTATTATATTATATTATATTATATTATATTATATTATATTATATTATATTATATTATATTATATTATATTATATTATATTATATATAATAACCAACTGCCAACACACTGGTGTAACAGTGTTACCATGTTCATGGCTTGTATGAAAATCAACTTGGCTCCTTTTGTTAACACAAATCTCTTATGATGCATCTTCAAGTAGACTGGGAGTTTTAAGATTTGATTACAGAGGACTCACGTTACCAAAATAACATATATTGTTATAACAGCATTTATCATTGCTATGCTTCTGTTCACTGCATTGTAGTAGGACTGTGCACCAGATTTTGTCTCCATAACAAATTTCCTGGTGACCCGTCTTTTCTCTGTCTGAAAAGTTGCAGCGTTGGAGCCTGGAGCAGCTAATGAGACAGAGGGGCTATTACAGCAGCACGGACAGCAGTCACGCTGAGTGCCTACTCCCATTAAACAGATGTACAAACGTGTCTCACTCCTGACACTTCAGCTCTGACCTTTAACGGCTCCCGCTCCTGCAGATCCGACGAGATGTCACTGCTTTTGTACTTGGAGTCTTTGTCTCGCTGGTCAATCGTGGAATAGCCATCTAATGAGAAGGATAGAAAGCAGTGAGGCTCTGTTATTCGTGATCGCTGTGTGTCGGCACCCTCAGCACGACTCTTCAAACAGCAGCGACAGATCCCTCAACCTTCAGCTGAGAGCGTCCCGTACGTGCTGCGTTCACAGATGTTCTCGCACTCGCCTGATGTGTGCGATTACTGTGTGTTCGTGTGCATGCAGGCGGTGTGTGTTAGCGCTCTCCCACAGGCGGCACTTTTCATCACTTCCTTCTACCCACTCAAGCAGCGCCCCGTCTTCAGCCTCTGTCCAATTATTGTCAGTCAGGCTTGGAGAGGACGCTGCTTCAGAGGAGAAGATCAGAGAGACGATGCTGTAATGAAGAGGTGGCGAACAAGCAGTAGTGCTTCTGGTCAAATTTCCACTGGCCCATAACACAACAACACTACAAACATCTTATTAAAAGAGGGGTTTCGCAGACAGCGTTGGGATGAATGCAACTCTTTAGGGAAAACAGAGACACGGTTAGATCTGAATTACTAAATGCAACACTGATGGGGGACATTTTAGAAGTGGCGAATTAGACGGATTATGGTATTGTGTTCTCACAAAACCACATTAGTTTTTGTTTTTGAGGGCATGCCGGTGTTGTCTTACCTGGACCGAGTTCGTCCATTGGTATCATATCCCCACCGCTACACCCTCGGTGGCCTGCAAAGCATTTTACAGGCTGCATTTTTCACTGAACTAAGACTTACTGTATGTTCATTATTATTAAATAGAAATGATCATCGATAATAGTATTTAATTAGATTCTCTTCTTTTGCATGATCCTGATTCTTTTTTTTTTTTTTTATGTAATCTGATTTACCGGTTGCAAGGGCGTAGATTTGCTTTTGATATTGGTGGGGACCTAATTTGACGTAATCTTCACTTTTTTAAAATGTAAAGTTTAAGGAATGTGTGACAAAAAGGTGGTTTGATAAAGACTTCCGTTTACTGAGGGCTTATTTGTACATAATCACTTACCACCGCATCTGAACACATTTTTGCAAGTATAATATTGCCATTTGTACTTTAAGCTTGAAGATGACTTTACATGTCCATGTTCTTTTCCTTTGAGTGTGCAACGGAAAAGCACGTTCTAGGGGAGAGCGGGGCACAAAGTAACACTTTTTGGTTTTGGCCAAATAATGAACAAAGTAATGGGGTTAGACAAACCATAATTTTTGTTGAATACACAAGCCTCTCCTACAAATGAGCATATAATAACAACGATAAAAAAAGACTAAAATGTAGTGAATAACATAAAAACTAACAAAAACTTGCACTGTTTTTAGTTTTTAAGCTTCGTTTTTTAGCATAGCAGTATTTTTTCAGCATTATTTGTGTTGACGAACACTGTTGTGAATCTTTAATACCCATCAATCATCTAAAGTGACAATTAGAGGACACAAAGTGAGAACAGCAGTAAAGTAACTGAACAGTGACCATCCACTTTCAAAAAGCATATAAATAACAATTAGTCACTATATTAATTATAATATTTTGACAGTCAGTAACAAGGCAGTGGCAGCTGAGGCTCACACAGGCTGCCTATTTTTGAGAAAACAAATCAAATGTGCCAAACAGCAAACATAAAGAAACTGTGGCAAAATGTAAATTGAATTTATATTTATAACCTATGAGTTAATGATTCTTCAAATGCATACTGATGAAACATGTTTTTATACATTTGGTAAGAACTATGAGGTAGTTGAAGAAAGTTAACTTCAAATTTAGAAAGGGATTAGCTATAAATATTTATATATACAACTTTTTAACATTTTTAAATCGAAAACACCTATAATAGAGACTTTAAATATCAGAATCAAATGTGAGGTAACATTACAGAGTTTTTATGGATCTGAGGACAAATATTTAGTATGATAAAAAAATTGGAAATTAATTTAAGGGGAAAATGTCACATATATGCTGATTTATACAAAAGTTCTGTCTGGTTCTTGAATCTGATTGGCTGATAGCCGTGCAATATTCTGCAATAACAGAACTTCTACATCCTCCTCACCCTTCTGTATTACTCCGCCCACATAGAGTGACAGCAGATCAATAAACAAATATTGCTGCTGTTGGACAACATAATGTAATTTTGAAGCTTTTTTAGTCGAGAATGTAGTTGTTTAGATTGCAAATATGCAGTATATTTATAAGGATAGCCCCTATTTTAAATATTTATAATTTCTGAGATAAACCGCCAGAGACCAAGATGGTGCCAGAGATCTCATAATAAGCCCTTAGAGGTGGAAAAACCCAGCGTAATTTTAAACTACAGCTGATCCAATCTTTATAAAACTGGTAAGTGACTATCTAAGTCGAGATCTCTCTTTTAATTTAATTTTAGTGTGTTGAGTGTCTTATATATTAGGAATGTATTTTGTGTTGGCCACTGTTTGTATAACCCAGAGTTACTTTTTGGTTGGCTACCTGTTTCTGAGTCTCTTGTTTTTATTTCTACAAACTAGTTCATTAAACAGAAAGAAAGAAGAAATGCCCACATGTGTTTAATGTTTTTTCCTTATCGCAAACACAACAATAATACGGTAGTGTTTGCACTGCTTTTGGTGATAATTATTGTGATCTCCCAATTGCAACAGAGAAATACTGGGAAATCTCTGTAGACGGATGACATTTCATACCGTTTAGCAGTATAATCTTAAAATGTCAGCAAAATCACTTGTTTTGTTAGATATTATGGTAGAAATAAATGCTAGTTCTAATGTGATGTTGGTGAATTAGCAACAATTTCTGTCATTTTCTGTCAATTTCCCTTAGCAGTGCAATATGGCTGTATATCATCACTGGTGGGGGACTAAAGCACTCGGCCTACACACCAACACACGCCTTCCACCAGTGCCCATATACAGCCATATCGCACTGCTACTCCTGTGGTATTGCTCATTTATGTAAGAGCTGATATACAACATTAATGCAAAAATCTTTGTACAAGAAACTTATTACATAACACATATTTTTTTTTACTGTGGTTTTACATATAAGATGACTGATGGACTTGCATGAACAAAAAATTACAAAGCTTAATGTCAAGCTCTGTGTTATCTTAAGTCAACAGATTGCTGTTGCTGATCACTTGCAATGGTTCATGGATGAGGAATTCATTTCAGAGTTGAAAAAGTTTTAATGCCTGATTTTTTTTTCCAGCTATGGAGAAAAATGAACGAGAGCATTACTTTGGAACAAAAGCTGTTGAATAGGTGGGCGGTCACTGTTTTTTTTTCACATTAAGGCAAGCAGGGAATGGTGTGGGACTAATGGATATGATCTAATGTATCAATGTCATGCGCATCCATGCTAACAGCGGTAATAAAATCAGAAAAATGCCAAAGCTGTCATGCTAACTCCTCTCTCAATGAGATGTGCTCGGGTGGACGGATGGTACTCTTTATTGCAGCACTGCAGTAATTTACCATCATTTTACTTCAGAGTGAATGAATAATGAGCTCCTATGTCGAGGCCCATTAATCTGCTGTCTGATCCTCATAAATCATTCTGTATCATATGAAGCGCTCAAATGACCGATTAAAGCACAAGAGATGCGGCAGCTGCACACACCAGCTGAGGCGCAGAGGTGAAAGATCAAGCATTCTGCTATGTGGTAAAACACAGAAAGTAGTGGCGCTCAGAAGACATGTTCGCTTAGGTGCACCTGAACCTCCAGCACTCCCCTGAGCACCCGGATTTGCAGCTATCAGGGCCTAGTATGTTAAGTCTCTGTTTGGGGTCTTACGCTAACCTTGGCTCTTCTCCATCAAGGGAAGTGTGGTGTCGTCGTAGCCAGGCTTGCAGCTCTTGGATCCTTTGGGAGTTCCAGCTGCTATCGGCTGAGGAGAAATGACAGAAGAATGGTTCAGAAACAAGGTAAAGTGACAAACATACAAAAAAAAGAAAAAAAAGAAAAAAAAAAGAAAACAAACATTTAGATTCTGCAAGACAGTGTGAGACATAAATCTTGTAGGTATATAGGGGTGTGTTGTATCGTATTTATCGTCCATAGTGGTATTGTAATTTATGCGTTTACCAAAAAAAAAAAGCATTCACTACATGATGAATCCTATTGCAATTTTCTGTTATTTCAGTTAGGAAAGCAAAAAAAAAAAAATGTATTAAAAAATAAATGCATTTGTAAAAAAATAAATAGAAGCACTTTATAATAACTACACACTTATGAATCATCTATTAAGCATTAGCGAATAGTTAATTTATATTCTGTTAAGAATTTACTCTACATAAACAAAAGCAGGTTATAACTGCAGATACAAACTTATAAGCACATATATAATGTACTTTATAACTGTGTTTTCATACTTTGTTAATTTAATTTTTTTATTACTAAATAACATATTGCATCATTTACAATCCAAGTTGCTGGTTTTTAAAGATTTTTTAGAATGCGTTTATTTTTTTAGACAGGATTATAATGATGTACTGTTCATTTGATACTAAGCCTTTAATTGTCATTTATTAGCGATGTATAAAGCATGAATAGTCCTCACTTTAGATTAGGTCACAAAACTAAATTACGTTGAGTTATTAAAGCATTTATTAACATACAAATTAACTATTAGTATATGCCTAAATAATAAGATATATAAACATTAATTTTAATAGTTTATTAATCATTTACTAACTCATTCTGAATGATCTTAAACAAACCCAACTACTCCTAAATACATATTGATGATTTGTAAATAATGCGATACTTAATTTAGTCATGAAAAATTAATCAGTAACAAAGTATGAAAGTACAATTAAGCACATTATAAATGTGCTAATAAGTCAAGAAAACAGCATTTGTAGCTGTATTTATAAACTGCTTACTAATGTCTCTTAATATAGAGTTAATGCTTCACTAACAATGAATTCACTATTTGCTAATGCTTAAAAATAATTAATAGTGTGTAAAAGTGTCACCCAAACTTCATACTGATTTTATGCAACAGTTCTACTGTATATAAAAAACTAAATAAAATACTTTTGAGTTACATTTGGCACAATAGTGTGGACCAATTATTTAAAAAAATTAAGTCAATGAATGGCTTATAAAGTGTCAAGTCAAACTAATATAGAAGGAGAAAAAAAATCATCAAGCAGTCGGAGGGAGAGGCGGAAGGACATGCAGTAGTTTGGCATTCACGTAAGGAAAAAAGGAAACTGAAACCTAACTTTACTTTGGTTATTGCATGAAAATCATGATTTGAGTGCTATCTGACTGACGTTAAGATGTTAATTTTCCTCCGTGATTCATATGCATGCATGAGAGGATCACGTGCACATAAGCTGATTGCTGCAGTAGCAAAATTAATCGCATTTCATTTACATGTCTTAAAACTAAATATTTAAGTTCAGTATATTAAACTGTACTGTTGATTGTGCTTTAACAAGTGTTAATTCGGTATAATACTTGAAAATACTGTGTGAAAAATCAGACAAAATTCACAAATGTTTGTATATATATGTTTATTTGCAATTTAATTACATATGTTGTATTTTTGTTTATTTTAAAGGTTTTTCACCTTTCTACTTTCCACCTTTCTACTTTTTACCTGCCTTCTCTTGCATTTATGATGCAATAAATGGATGAGTGGAATCCAGTCAAAACTTCCTTGATGATGTGTCTTCCTTTCAAGCGGAAAAACTTGTGCATAAGAGAAATAGCTTGACATAAAGAAAGGGACTTTTTGGCCCATACTGGACATTTTAGTATCATATTTAATTATCTTTATCAGGCCTAATCCAGCCAGAGTACCAGCACAAAAACATACTACGCATATTCAATAAATCACCATTGAATAGCCTTATTTCATATCTTGACTGACCTCTAAATAAATATAATTATAAATAAATAAACTGATTTGTTTCATTATAGTTATTTTCCTGCAAAATAGGCAGAATAATAATAAATATATATAAAATGTAATACTTATGTAATAAATGTAATAATTTTTTGTCATAATATTAAATTAAAATTTTGTTATTATTATATTATCTTTAATGTAATTTTTTTTTTTAATTTTTTAAGTCATCGAGTAGAGACTAATAATCACAATATCAGAAGTTTGGGGGAAAATACTGCACCACTGTAATGAAATCTCCACTTTTGTTTTAACTTTTTTTTGTTTAGTAAAATCTTACCCATGCATATCTTTATAAAATTTTGTCTTTTAATACTTAAAGGGATTGTTAACACAAAAATTTACCTTTTCCACACACGTTTGAGTCCTTTTTGCTGTTGACCCCAAAAGAAGATATTTTGAAGAAAGCTGAAAACCTGCAAAGCATTAGTTTGTCCTACTATGAAAGTCAATGGTTACAGGTTTTCAGATTTCTTAGTATGTTTTTTTTTTGTGTTCAACAAACAAAATAATTTTTTTAATCACTTGAGGAAGAGTAAAAAGTGTGTAAGTGTTCCTTTTTGGGTTAACTACAGTTTCCCTTTAACCATTTTTTTAACATTATGAATTTATTGCTACTGGGATATTTGTGGAATGTGGAGAATGCATGTTGGAAACGTGTAATACAACTAGTCAGTACACCAGACATTAAAGTTTTTCCAGATTTTTTACTATGACTCTACCTGGAAGTGTGTTTTATTCCAGCCATCCTTGGTGAGGGCGTTCCTCAGCTCCTTATAGCTCCAAACCGTCTGCAGAACATGGGAAGCAGCTTTGGTCTCCCTTGCCGACTGGCTGCAACGCATAAACACACACAGAGTTAGGAGGGATCTTGAGCCCGCTGGAATAACTCTCACATTCAAAGTCATCCAGTCACCACGGCTCCAATCTCCAACCCCTGTGGCCACAGATTCCTCTCTTTTCACTTCGTTAGCTTTTCCTGTGATCCTCACTTAATTACCAGGAGCCTGAGACTTCAAAGCCGCATCTCCAGAGTCAGAAAGAGATAGAGAAACGCTCTCTGGTCGCGCGTGTACTCTTTAAAAAGTTAATCTCTCACAATCAATATTTAGTTTTGAGGGTAAAATCAGACTCGGGCAGAAGCGGTAAGAAATGATGTGAAGCTTTAAATGAGGTCACGCGTGGAGAGGATGGAGGAGGTTTGTTTAACATATGGCTTACTCTCCTGAGGTCTCCTCTCCTGCTTTTGAAATCTGCAGCACTACAGCATTTAATATTCAGTTTTGCACACGCATATATTAAAGATGACATGTGTGGTGATAAAAATAAGACACTTCAAAGCGCCGCAACTCTTGTTGGTGTTTTTCTCTGAAAGCTGAGGAGGACCCTGACTAACCGTAAGATGTTTGCACAGATCAAAAACCTGTTGTTGGTGTACACAGCACACTAAGAGCGCTTTAAGAAGTTATAATTGGTTGAAGTGGAGGTAGAGCACAGGCTTGACATGGTTACACACTTCAGAGTTGGAGTCATCTTGTTTGCAATAGAATGACTTACTCTCGGTTTGAGTAGAAATTCTTGCTGATAATATACACTACCTGATGAAAGTCTTGTCACCTGTCCAGGTTTTAGTAACAACAAATAATAACTTGACTTCTTGTTGATCATTTGGTATTAGAAGTGGCTTATTTGAAAGGCAAAGACCTCTAGATTACGCTCATTTTACCAAAATAAAATATGATCATGCCTCAATTTTTAATTATTTAACTAGGACAGTGAGGTCTGACTTTGCTTAAACAAAAGTATTGTCACTCAACAGAAATAATGTACAGTCTTGAATATAAAGTCATGGTGCAGTGAAAAATAAATTAATATTGTGTATGACTCCCATGAGCTTGGAGGACTGCATCCATACATCTCTGCAATGACTCAAACTTATGAATAAAATCATCGGCAATGGCAAAGAAAGCCTTCTTGCAGGACTTCCAAAGTTCATCAAGATTCTTTGGATTCATCTTCAATGCCTCCTCCTTCATCTTACCCCAGACATGCTCAATAATGTTCAAGTTTCCAGACTGGGCTGGCCAATCCTGGAGCACCTTGACCTTCTTTGCTTTCAGGAACTTTGATATGGAGGCTGAATTATGAGGAGCACTATCCTGCTAAAGAATCTGCCCTATCCTGTGGTTTGTAATGTAATGGGCAGCACAAATATCTTGATACCTCAGGCTGTTGATGTTGCCATCCACTCTGCAGATCTCTCGCACAACCCCATACTAACTGTAACCCCTAAATCATGTTTTTTCATTACCAAACTTGACTTATTTCTGTGAGAATCTTGCTTCCTTGTAGGTTCCAGTAGGTCTTCTGCAGTATTTGTAATTGGGATGAAGTTCAACAGATGATTCATCTGAAAAATACCTGTTGCCACTTTTTCACATGATCAACTAGAAGTCACATAGTTATTATTTGTTGCTCTTATAACTGGGATCGACGACAAGACTTTTGTAAGGTAGTGTATTAGAAATGCACAATTGATATTCATCAGCTATTTTTGTCTGTTGTATAACAATGAAATCTGAATTGTGGGACAAAAATGCTACTTATACTAATGATTACATTTTAATTAAAAACTTAATTTATAAATGTTTTCAATAGTTTATTATTGAAAGTCTTTTTAATCTTTTTGAGTCTTTTTTTAACTAATTAATTTTTGGAGCCATTTGATGGGTCAAACACATTGATTAATCTTTAATTTTTTGGGAAAAATCGTTATATTAATAAGTAAAGATCATGTTCGCAAAGACATTTTTAAAATTTCTACTGCAAATCAAGTTGAAGTCAGAATTATTAGTGCCCCTTTGAATTTGTTTTAGATTTTTTAAATATTTCCCAAATGATGTTTAACAGAGCAAGGAAATCAACACAGTATGTCTGACAATATATTTTCTTCTGGAGAAAGTCTTATTTGTTTTATTTTGGCTAGAATAAAAGTAGTTTTAAAGTTTTTAAAAACCATTTTAAGGTCAAAATTATTAGCCTCTTCAAGTTATATATTTTTTTCAATAGTCTACAGAACAAACCACCTTTATACAATAACTTGTATAATTACCCTAACCTGATTAGTTTACTTAATTAACCTACTTAAGCCTTTAAATGTCACTTTAAGCTGTATAGAAGTGTCTTGAAAAGTATCTGTAAAATATTATGTACAGTCATCATGGCAAAAATAAAAAAAATCAGTTACTACAAATAAGTTATTAAAACTATTATGTTTAGAAATGTGATGAAAAAAAAAAACTTCTCTCTGTTAGACAGAAATGAGGGGAAAAAATAAACAGGGGGCACATTTTTTTGACTTCTGACAACTGTATATTAATTCATTTTCTTAATATTTTGTTTTCCAGATTTTCAGATCTTGGTCAAAAATTGTTCAATCTTAACAAAGCATACATTAATGAATAGATGATTCAGCTTTCAGATGATGTATAACATTATGAACGATTTTGTGGTCACACTTACTTTATAAAAAAAGCACATTTACCAAATCATTTAAATTTATTATTACACATTTATTTAATATAAATTTATTTAATAATGATTCCTTAGAATGATAAAGATTCATTTTTTAAATGAGAAGAAATGAGAAATGATTCTGTAGTAAATCACCTGGTCCTGTTGATGGCCACGAGTTTGTCGATGGCTTGAGCAGTAATGAGAGAGCGGGCATTTTCAGAGCTGTCTGTGATGATTTCATGGATAGTGTTGAGGATGGCCACTACTGTGTCTTCCTCCAGGTTTTTGGCTGGCCGCTGCTGGCCACTGGGCAGGTTGCTGACCAAGTCCCTCATAGCATAACTGCCTGAGGATGAGAATACGACAGAATCTGAGATTGGCCTCAGGAAGAGAGTGAACTGTTGAAACCTGAGAGCTTATTAACAGAATAATCTGTTGACAGCTTAAAATAAAACAAATAATATAAATAAATAAACTATATATTTATAATACCAATATATTTAATATATATAAAAATAATTATATATTACTTCAGATTTTTCCAAATTTTAAAATAGCAGAGTACGTATCACTGGTATAATAGAACAGCATGGAAGAATGATATACAGGTAGATTAAATTACTTTCACATAATGTTTTTTTTTTTTTCAACTTTTATTCGTCAAAGGTGATATAAATAAAATGCATTAAGGTTTCCACATAAATAATGAGCAGCATAAATATTTTTAACAATGATAATAATAAGAAATGTCAATTGAGTGCTAAATCATCATTATATAAGAATACCTTCTGAAGGATCATGTGAAAATATTATATCATATCTTCACAAAAATAAATGAGATTTTCCAATATGTTAGTGTATAATGTACACAAATGGAAAATAGCCCATTTAAATTGCAAATTTATTACCAGTATTACTGCTTTTACTAGAGTTTGACTTAATAAATATAACATTAGTGAGTACAAAAGTCTTCAAAAGAAATAAATAATAAATATAAATAGAGATCTAAAATAACATTTAATAAAATATGAAAAAAAATACACACTTTTAACTCACCATCAAATAGTTCCAAACCTTTTGTCTTTTTCTGATGAACACAACAGAAGATAATTTGAAGAATGTTGAAAATCGTTGGTCATTGACATCCATATTAGGAGAAACAAATACTATAAAAAGCCAATGACTACCGGATTCTAACATTTTTTAAAATATATTTGCTGTTTCTCAATAGAAAAAAATAAAAAATCACACAGCTTTGGAACAAGTGAAGGGAGAGCAAATGATGGCAATATTTTCACATAATCTCTTTAAGACTGTGATCTCAAACATTTAGGCCCCAGCAAGGCAAGCATTTAAGCTTTTTTCAAATCTTCTAATAATTTCCTTAAAACTAAAAAAAAAGAAGAAGAAAGAAACACATTTTGAGTATGTTCGAGCATCTTGCCTATGAGATCTTTGTTGCGGCGGTCAATAGACAGGTTCCTCAAAGCGATGGCCACCGCTCGCACCACCTTGTCTGAGTCTGAACGCAAGAGCTCCACCAGGATCGGCAACCCCTTCTCCTTACGCACCGTCGCTCGGATATAGTTTGACCACTGCACAAACGAGAGGAACAGACTGTATAAAGCCAGTCATTCAGACATGTGTTCCACTGCAATCATTTCATTAAGTCGGGTCAACAGCAAATCTTTCAGAAATGTGCCTGCTTGAGTAAGAAACAGCTTCTTTATTCTAGGAAAAAGCTATCTAGCAAATACTCATTTGTGCCTGTCAGACTTGTGTCCCTGACTTGACTCTCTTGATTCACAAAACATTTCATTCCTCTATTTATTTAAAACCTTTATTTCTTAATCAGTGTTCCACAGATATTAATTAAATGGAAAAGAATAGCACCATAACACAACACGACTAGAGTGCCTGGATTAGGAATTCAGAGTTCCCCCTTTAGTTATGAATTAAAAATATAAGATTAATATATAACAAATATATTTTAAAAATTCATCTACAAGATGTCTATATTTAAAAATAAATATATGTTATGTACTGACCACATTTTTAAAAATAAATTAAATAATTCACTTCAAATATATTTTCAATACTTTTCAAAAGGTACACATTTGTACTTAAAGGGTGCGTATTGTTACCTCAAAAGTATATAAATTACTACCTAAACATTTTTGAAGGAACACTTTAGGTATTAGTATGTACTTTTTAGGTATCAATGTGGACCTTTTAGGTACAAATTTGTACCTTTTGAAAAGGTACCACCCCAGTGACAGCTCAAGTACCTTTATTTCTGAGAGTGTATGGTATGGAGATATTTCTTTGATATACTTAACTGTTTATAGATGTTTTCCACTTTAAAATATATAAAACCGTATGCTAAAAGTATAAGATTGAATTACTGATAAAAAAGAATTTAATTGTAAAGTATAACTTAGCCTGATAAAAGCAACCACATACAGAAGTGTTTAATACTTGTGAATTATTTAAAAAGTGTTCTGTTTTTCAAAATCTGTTGTTGTATCTATGTGGAAACAGAGTTTGTATTATTTCAATCTATGGTTGTTTACATTCACATGAATTACATATATAATCATTTTAATCAATTGTATTATTTGTAACATTCTAATAGTCCATTATTAATGATGGGAAACAACAGCTTCATGAAGTGTTAAACTTTTTTTTTTTTAATTTGGTGGCAAATACTGTATTCAGGTTTAATATTAAGCTTTTCCTTAAGACAGCATTTGAAGCATTGGTGGACAATTTATATTAACTGTCACTTTCTAACAAAATGTATTTATAACTAGTAAATACACCAATAGTTATGGTCTACAAAGATTGCACAATCTTTAAAACATTCAAAGCACACTTTAAAGAGATATTCTAATTAAACTAATGAAAATCAAGTTGCTGTTAACAGTAAAAGAAATTAAGGTCATAATTTATTTTGATGATCTGTTTGCTGAATTTAGGGTACATTACATCTACATGCCAAATAATTCTCATTAGATTATATGTAGACTGTTAGGATGGGGTTAGGGTTATTGTAAGTTGACATGTTGAAAGACTTTCTACTAATACTCAAATGGACCACCAAAATAAAGGGTTACCGAAATTAAAAATGAGCTCTTTTTACACTAAAAAAATGCAGCAACTTCTTTGCATTAAATTTAAATAGTAGATGCTGTTTATTTACACCTGATAAATATAGGTTATTAAATACCCACAAGGTTTCTTATGAGGAAAACAGAAAAAAATTAGTTTAACAGAGAGTAGATTTAAACTGGGTTAATGACCAATTTCATCAAAACATGTTGCCTTCCTTATAACCTATCGTTGTTTTCAAGTGTCTCTTTGAAAATGTTGTCTGTCAATCAGCTATTGACATGACATGTGGAGATGTCATAATTGGTAGCCATTAACATCTATAAAAACCATGGACCTCAATGGAAAATATGACAAAGTAAATTATGACAGAATTTGTAATTTTAGTTGAACTATTCCTTTAACGTGCGGATTTCTCAATTAGTGGCCCTGAGATAGTGAGAAGTTGTAGCAATACCAAATCATGGCCACTAGGAGATAGTAGTGAGCCTAGAAACACATTAGTAAAAGCAAGGGAGAGACTATATGAATAAATAAAGGCTCTCAAATCCTCTTCTAGACCACAGACATGACAGGACAGGTCTTGTGTCGGCAGGAGTAGAGACGATGCTGATCTAAAGCACTGAAACCACACAGAGACGCCGTGAGCTTCTGCATGGCTGCTCTTCTGGTCTGACATGGAGAGGGAAGCGGGTCGGGGCTGTGTGCTTTAATGGGATTTACTCATGCAGCAGGTGCATGTTTATTATGGGCATTTCCTCCTCCATTTCCTTGTTTTCTGAGAGGAAAGAGCTCCGCAAGTGACACACTGTGGTCTAGACGTGTCATGCTCATAATTAAGTATTGATTAGGAATGTGTTCAAGGTGCACTTCACTGTAAGCAGACAGAAACAAAACAACTCAAATGAAGGGTTATGGATTTGTATGTTGTCCTCCAGAAGGCCATACAGAATCCGCTGGGGGTTTAAAAGCTTGTTTTGATTTGTGATGTTTTGTCTTGAGTTAATTTTGATTACAGGTTTTCCTGACTGGTTATTCAACTTCATATGTTGCTTTTGTTAGTAATTTGAAAGAATAATGAATTGCCAATGCTTGGAAACAAATTGCTTTTGCCCAAATCTGAAAAGTGATTTTCACTGGCGTCGAGCAGAAGAGTTATAAATGCAAAATCACTCCTTGACGTCAGATGGCGCTTAATGGAAAACAGAAAGAGCCCTTTGTACAGGGTGGCGCTACACAACTTTAAGCTTCTGACACCCGCTTGAAACAGAAAAAGAAGACAGAAAGTTGACAGGCTTGTTGTCAAAGTTACTGCTGATTCAAACAAGCATGCATGGTTCAAGTAGCAGCTATTATTGTTCACCAGTGCAGCTGCACATTCATATCGTCTCTGGGAATCTTTTTCAACGTGCGCTCTCATTGACAGTTTTGAGCTTGAGCGCCTCCAAGTGCTGTTTACTGTAACTTTAGCAGCTCTGTGCACATGAACAAATGTATCAATCTGATTGGTGGATAAGGTTTTCATGTGGTGCTTCAAAACAAAAAATAAGCATGAGGAATTTTTTTTAAAAATGACACTTTTATGCTGGCGTTTTGCGCGTTGGTGTGCATGATCACACTGTTGCCCTTCATTTAGTCACGAGGCGTTAAACGTTGACGGAAAACGTGAGCAGAAAGCTTCCCGGTGTGAAGGGGCCTTAAGAGTTCTATTCTAATTAGATTTATTATTTAAAAATTTAATTAATTAATAAATAAATTAAATAAATTTAAATTTAATAAATTAAATTAATTAATAAAATTAATTAAATTAAAAATTTAGATTAAAGTTAATGTAGTTCTCAAAAGATTGACATGCACAGTGAAAATAAAATGAGTGACATCTGTTTTGTGTCAATTGTTTTAGATTTTATCATAAAATATGCTTAAGATAAAGAAAACACTATCGGGAATTAATGCAAATAAATGTCATAAAAACTAACCCTGACCTGGAATTGGATCAAGAATCGATTTCTGATTCAGTTGGGATATGTGCAGGACTGTAATGAGAAGACACTTACTGTCCACTGTCCAGCGCTGAGGTTCTGCAGAGCACCGGCTGCTGCTTCTAGCGTGTTGTAGTTCTGGCTCTCAGTCAGCAGGGACAGGTAGAGTCGAACCACCTCCGGCTGATACAGTAACTCGAAACCTGCACACATACACACAAAACACCTCTAAACACAGTCCAGCACAGACACAAACACACAGATTAGCTCGGGAGCGGTAAACATTGATTGTGTTTCCTGCTGTCGGTGTTGTGATGCACCTGGTGAAATGAAAAGTGGACAAAATAACAGGGTAGGACAATGCGTGATTATCACCCCAAAGAAATAGAGACAGAAAATCAAAGACACTCCACTTTCACAGATATATTGAGCAGCTCAATAGACAAACTGCCTAAAAAAATCCAATAGTCTGATGGACGCTTGGCTTCTTGATAGCAGCAGCTCTGATATCAGTCAGCGTAATCAGCAGGTCTTTTTTAAACATGAATTGAGGTCGGAAATGCAAAAGAAGAAGCTCCCCTTCCCTGATTCAGGGTCAGTCGGCTCTAATGCAAAAAACAAAGTAATTTTGAGGATACCCAGTTAGTTTGGACACGGTGATAGCAGCAGTGATAGTAGGAAGTGGATAATTAGCTTCCTCCAGTCTAAATGTTAAATGACGCCGGTGGGCCTGTGAATCACTGTGCTGCTGCAGCTAGAAAGTGACTGTTTTGTGTGTGTGTTTGGTGTGTGTGCTCTTGTTTAATATGCCTTGTGAAGACCAAATGTCCCAGCAAGCTAGGCAAGACCTGACCTTCTTGACATTGTGCGGAAAGGTCAGTTGTAAACAAATAAAATATATTACTAAATAAATTATACATCTGTAGCCCTAAAAATACAATACTGCACTCTGTATTGTAATAAAGATCTGCTAATAATTTAGATTTTTAACAAACATGAACCAAGAATTACATTCCCTATCAATTATGGATATCCACCTTCTTGTATTGCAGTTGTTCTTGGAAAAATCAATCTCAAAACAAGACCACAATGATTAATTGTAATAAATAAAGAAATTGCAACCCAGGCTCATTGCGAATATGTACCCAGGTCTACATTTCAGGGGACAGCAAAATACGTAACCAGAGGTACATCTGCTCGCAGTTTTTGTTTTTGCAAATACACCAGAGGCTGCTGTATTTGCTTTTGGATGTTCTCAAATTTCTTTAGCGCGTCCTCTTCTCGCATAAACCTATCAGAGGGTGCAATATACTTTAGCCGACTGACTGACTGACTGACTGACAGACCCACCCAGTCCCTAAACCCAACCCATAGTGTTTTCAAAAGCAATATAGAAAAAGAAACCAGTCACGGCCGTGTGATTTCACCATGTTTTCAGCCTGTTGTTTATTTATTTATTTTCAGTTTCTGAAACCATTCTTTGCCGGACTCGAACCCCACCATATGGTTAACTCTGCAACACAAGTTCATCAGTGTATGCAGCAAGCTACTGGGAAAACCGGAAAAGCCATCCATATGGAGGTATGCAGTCAGCTTGTAGCGCTAAAAGAAACAAGAAGCCATCGGCGGCGTCACACCGCCCCATAGCATTAATTTTAAAGACGAAATGAAAACATATGTACCTCTGGCTATATAATTCACGCTCTCCAGAAATGTCCACAATGAGCCTGTGTTGCAACAATAAAAAGTGTTATTAAATAAGAGCCAAGATTGACATGACAACTGAGAAAATAATGACAAAATTTTCCATTTCGGGGTTAACTAATCTGTACATTTAAATTAGTATGGACAGAAAGTTGCAGCATTTGAGTTCCTAAGAAAAAGCATTCATTTAAAACCTTCAAGAGTGCAACCACCACACATCTGTCATGCTCAGCAGTGGCGTAATACTAGTCATAAAGCGCACATGAACTCTCAGCGTAGCCCAGGCCAGCATTACTCTAAGAGTGACCATGACGGATGTGTGGCGCTTCAGAAAGCCGCCTTCTTTTTCACTGCCACGTCAAGATTTGCAGAAGTCTGGTGAAGTTCAAAGAAGCCCGAGCAGTGATATTCCTACAAAGGCAGCAACACGTTGTAACTCAGTAACACGTCTGAAATGAAGTTTGTGTGCAGAAAAAGAGCCGGACACACTAATGCGTGTTTTCTGGTGTGTGACTGCATTAGAAAAGCTCAGCCTCTGCCTGGCTCAACTGCACTTTCTAAATGTGCACCTAACACCTATAATTTCCAGAGGGAAGAGTGGCCCTTCAGGATGTGGGCTGCTCACTATACATTTTTATTTCTGTCTGACTGATGGTTTGAGCGAAACAACTGTCCTTGCTGGAGTTTTTTTTTCTTTCTATTTTGCAGTTTCCACACATTCACAACCTCAATTACCATTTAAGGCTATTTTAAGTCCTTCTCCTCCCCACTGCTTTAAAATTCCTTTTGAGTGCGTTCCTGTGCAAGCCTTAGAGAGTGAGTGTGTGTATGAATTAGCTAATGCATGTGTTCACTTCAGTGTTATGCTTTTGTACACAGAGCTAAGTGGAGAGTTATAAATCGCTCGGATATAGAGCTGCATTATTTCACTTTGACGATATCAGCATTTCCTTTTCTCTCAATCAAAACTGACTCAACATGGAAAAAAGGTCAATGCTTCATATTGTAGAGGGAAGATTGCTAGGTAGTTTAGATATCACTCAAACAAATCAATAAACACAAAGTCACCTGATTAAATGAGCTTTTATCAAGAGGGAAAATGACTGACACGGTGATAAATAAATGGAGATTGTTTTCCACATATGACTGACGTTGGTGTTAAACACTTACACAAAATTCATCTGACATGGGTTTGATATTCAGGAGTGTGCAATTCCACATTCCTCTTATTGCACAGTCCTAGCAGGCTGGATTTGCCTGGGAGTATAGTTACAAAACCGCATATTTAAAGCTGTGATGAAGGATTAGTTACAAAAAAACGTATCTCCTTTAGAGAGAGAGATTAAAACAGCAGGAGATAAAATATAGGGCTCCGCGAGTATCACTCATTCATGTCGGCATTCAGCGTTCACTACTTTGAACGTACTGTAATGTTGAATACATTGAATGAGCTGTCCTACATATAAATGGCAAAGCCACTGTACACATAAAATAAGCGCTTCTCAAACATCCATACATCAACCCTGGTGCTTTATTATGTGAATGCAGTTTGCAATCCCAGTGGAAAAAGCTTGGGAAAGGATCATGATTCAGAGACACAGTCTTGCTTTTGCAATAATACTCTTTTAGTAGGTCAATAAAAAAACTCTTTCAGAGCAGTTAGATAGAGAACTTTTGGAACTGTCTTTAAATATACATTTTTAGACACCATCTTCATAACTGCTACATAAATGGCTGAAATCAGAAATTATTTTTTTTATTTATGTTTTAATGCCATATTAGCAGCATTGGCTATATTCATGGCAAAACCTATACTAAGACCCAATTCTACCTGACAAATTAAATTTAATTATGTTCAGCTTAATTTGTTTGTTTAAATTCAGCTCAAATAAATTGTTTACAACCACTTAACTTAAACTTGAATTGAACTGAGTAAATCCAAGGAATCATCTTTGAATAATTTTTTCAGTGTATAGTCTTCTCCCTTACCCAATTCCTCCCTTGTCCCAATTCTCTTTAGCTTGAAGGTGCAGGGCTAAGGAGAAGGTCTAGATAGCCTTTGAAACTGAGATTTTTCAGGACCACACTCCAAGAGGTATGAACATTTCCCAGAATACACATCTACAATTGCAGTATGGTCAGGAGATGCACAAATTGGTATTTTTAGACATTATTGCGACTTTTACAGCAAAAAAAAGCAAATGTTTTAATACATTTATGACCCGGTTTGGGTTTTACTGTCATGCTTTTTAAAAAAAAAAAAAAAAAAAAAAAAAAAAAGCTAAATTTTGCTATAATAACTCAATCTAATAAATCTGTCACTCTATGACACTCAAATCTCCTGTCGGAAAAGTCTAGTGGATGGGAATTAGCATTTTACAGTGTCTGGTAGAACGTTAATGTTGTTTTCGTGTGTTTAAATAAATGAATATGGCCACAGTAAATCCACAGTACAGTTATGATCTTATTGCAGCATCATATCATTATGATAACATGATATTATTTCCTTCAGTGATTAACTGGAGATAAATACCAAAAAATAGCACACCTGGAATAACTACAGCAGTTGCCATTGTCGATCTCATATGAAGCAAGAGATTGTGATGACATGTGCAAGTGTTGTAGTGCAGTCCCATTTTTTAGGGGTAAAACTGGAAGTTTCTACTCTTCACACTCTGTTTCAAGGGCCAAGGAGAAAGGGAAGGGGTAAGAAATAGAAGGAGGGAATGAGCCTAAATATACAACGTATAACATGCAATCTTATCAGTTACATAATAAACTACAATAAAATAATTGTTGTACAAAAAACAACATACAAATCACAACAACAATTATACAAATAACAACAGCACGAAAAAGAGTCATAGACAGTCTTTCAGTCGATTAATGATATTATTGTAAAATTACTTCAGAAGACACCCTTTTAAACATTTCACTTAAAATAATTCCTGAATAAAAATGTTCTCAAATATCATTTAAAAAAATACATTCTATTAAAATGTGCTTTGTCGTCAAAATATTCTTACACAAGTTACAAATAGGTTTTTCTTTCCCTTTCAATAAATATGAGTGTGTAAGTCTTGAGTGACTGATATATATATATATATATATATATATATATATATATATATATATAAAGCATATGTACATAGTTAGAATAAAACTATACAAATAGCTTTAGCTAATTGGAATAAAAAATTGAATCTTAAAAACAAAAAGTAAAAAAAAAAATAGAATTACAATGTGTGCACTTATAAGAAGATTGCGGATGTACACTGTATGACGACTTAAATCGCCAAATGGCCATCAATAATCACTAAATGCATTACAGAATGTTACATTTAGCCCGCAGCTAGCTCTCTGCAACTCTCACATGGTCGCCCACTGAAGTTAAGCAGGGCTGCCCCCGGTCAGTACCTGGATGGGAGATCACATGGGAAAGCTAGGTTGCTGCCAGAAGGGGTGTTAGTAAGACCAGCAAAGGGTGCCCAACCTGTGG